TGCTGTCGACGTCCATTAAGATGCCTACCGCTGTTGGATTTTTGCTGAACTTGGGCAAGCTGGAGTGTGCCTGACCGGAGGCATGTGATCTTCAGCGATGAATCCTGATTCAGTCTCGCTGCTGATGACTAACACACATGCGTTGGGAAGTGGCCAGACTAGTGGTCCAATCTGGCATCACACATGCGTGGGGAAGGGGCCAGACTAGTGGTAAAATCTGGCATTTGTTGTCGAATGGCATATGGCGATTACACAAGGTGTGACAGTGTGAGGAGCGATTTGCTGGGATACATGATGACCTATAGACATCCTTCAAGGGGCTATGATTGCTCTCAGTTACATGGACGACATATTAACTCCAGTTGTACTGCCTGTGCTATTACAGTGTTTGTATGGTCCTTAAGAGTTCTTAAAAGTCCTTGAAAATTTTGAAATTGATTTTTGGTCCTTAAAAGCCTTTAATTTCAGCCCAAACCGGCAGAAGGTCTTTAATTTTTAATCATCTGAAATTTCTGTCTGTTTCTACGACTGCCATTTTGAGTGTGAATTAGCATTTTGGAGGAATATTTTTGGTGATTCACTGACAAATATGGTTATCTTTTGAATGGGTTATAATTTGTTCCTATTTCTAATATAAAATCGTGGGATACTCAAGTTTCTGAGCAAAAGTGAAAACTTAGCATTTCGAAATTATTTCATTTTTTCTAATGAAGAGCTCTTAAACAACCTTTTCACTTTTGGGGGTGTGACTTCTTTTATTAAACGAATCTAAATTTAACAACTTATCAACATTTTGGCAATTTTAAGATCAGCTTCTATAGAAAATTTTTAAGATCCGAAATCTAGGAATTTTTCGACGATTTTTTTTTTTAAAACATTGTAACATTGATAAATTTCATTAAAATAATGGTAATATATATAGAAATTAAATTTAAACAAAATATTAAAATAAAAAATTTTTATTTTTCGGTGTCATATAAGTTCTATTTTGGCCACTTATTATACAAAATTTTGAATCTAGAAAATAATCAAGGTATAATTCGATAAACAGCAAAAGCAAAATAGCTATGTAATTTATTAAAAATGTCTTCTTAATTTTTTCATGGTAAGAGTTTTTTCCATATTAATTGTTCAGAATATTCGGAATTCTCAGAATATGCATAAGTTTTCTTAATTTTTTCATGGTAAGAGTTTTTCCATATAATTATTCGGAATTCTCAGAATATGCATCAGTTTTCTCTATAAAATTAATTTTATGCTTTTTCCTCCTTCTTTTTTTCCCAAAATATTTCAGACTTTTTGCTGTTACAGAATTGGTTAGGGTAATTTTTCTGTCAGATTTTAAACATTGCAGCTTAGCATGTTTTAGTAGGATTTAAAGGCAAGATTTAGAGATCCTCTATTCTAGAAGATTCCAGAAAAATGTGACAAAATGAAAAATTTCTCCATGCTATTAATACCCAATGGATGTAATTTACAGAAAGTTTGCGATGAATTTCTTACTTTTTGGAGAATATCTGGAAGACAATGATAACATAATATTTGAATGTTTTACTTCTGATATTAGAATCTTTTTCTTAACATGTTTATATTCCCTTTATTTTCTCTACTTTTTACTAGGCACAAGCATGGAAAATATCGAAAATGCTTCTAAACTTATCACGTGGACAGGCATTATAGAAAGAAGTTCTTGTTATTAGTCAAGAAATTGAAAACTTACAATTTAAAAGGTTCATGTCTTAATGCATCATATACAGAGCTGGCATTTTCCCACCTGATGCAATCTCTGTGGATCCTAAATTCTGCTGCCTAGTGCTTTTCTAAATTCTGCTTCCAATACCTGCTCTAAATTCAGAAAGTTTTGCCATTTCTAGATTTTGTTGCTCGGTGTTTCAGTAAATTCTAAAATATTTGCCACACCAGGTTTGCAATCAGCCCTTATCATATATCATTTCAAATTTCTTCTGAATGTTCATATTACTACAGAAATAAAATTAGTAGCTTTTTCTGTAAATTCTAAATGCATTTAGTTTTTTTTTTAGAATAACAGAAATCTTTAATTAAATCCAAAAAATTCTGAAATGAAAAGGAAATGTGTTTTGAAGAAAGAAACTGAATGCATAAAGAGGAAGAAAATTATTTTTCAAAAATATATACAGTTATTATTTAAATTACTCAGTTGCTTATAATTTCAGCATTTACTATAATTTTCTATTTATACTTCCTCATCAGAATACAAATCGCTTAGACAGTTTTTAAACTGAGGTTTTTGGAGTGTAAGACAGAGTGTGTTTCTGACCTCCGCTTGCTCCCTGCATTAGTTCCTACCAGCTTTGATAATTTGTATTTATTCATCTTTGTATTATCATCGCCAATATTTGAATTTGTTATGACGCTGAGTTACTGAGCCAGCTTAAATTAAAATTCAGTTGTATAGTCTTTGACCACTAGTCTACGTTTTTAGTTTGAATTTGACTCTTGTTTAAGTACATCACTACGAGCTGTAATTGATTTGGTTAGCATAAGAACATGCCATTATATTCTAAGTTCTTTTTAAATAAGAAGCTTACTTAAACCTTTGTGTGACTTTTAGTTACTTTCAGACAAAGTGATAATTTGCCTCACATCTGTTGGGGGGAGGTTTTGAACTATTTAACTTTTACCAGATCAAGTAAACCCTGATAGGTACATTATGGAGAGGTGACAAGTTAAGAGATAAAGCACGCAGAAACTGAGAACTTTGGTTTGCATATTGAGACAAATTTTTAATTGTTAGAAAAGATTTTTAAAGAGAAGGAAATCGATATAAATTAGCCAAAATGTCTCGGAAGGCTTCAAATTAAAAAGACGCATAAATATTTTGTTGAGAGTTGTTGCTACTAAGGATTTATGTTTTTTAGCAGCAACTGTTTTTAATGTGTAATTATCCTAATATTGTTTAAGAATCAATGTCATAAATTACATTTATTTTAAAATAAAAATTTAATCGTGGCCATGTAAATCCATAATGATTAAGGTTATTTATCTATCTAATTTAATTACTTATAACTAATGCTTACCCTTAAAAAATTATCTCTGCACATTAAAGTGAGTTATTGCCTTTTATTAATCCTTACCGTGATCACAAGATAAAACACAAAAATGTAAAAATTCATGTTGAATTTATTTCTGTGCATCTAGTGAAACTTGAAATAATACAAAACAGCTAGAGCATAACTTTCAAAATTGTCAACCGTGCCTAGATCAGGCCTTTCAGGTTTGCTCTGATCAGCAGGTCTCTCTCTGGGCAAGCAGCAGCAGTGACAACAGCCAGTCTTTTATTATGAATCATACTGATTATAGCTTTACTTGTCATTTTAACCTATGGCACTTGACATAAAATCTACCTGTTATTTACTAAACCTCTAGACTGAGTAAGTATGTGAAAAAATGAGTCATAAAAAACATAATCATGAACCTAGCTGTTCGTAAAACGTTAATATAATGTCACTTATCTTCTTTCAAATCTGTCCAACTATTATGAGTGTAAAATATTTAATGCTACTTGATAAATTTCATAAAGTTTATTTTATTTTCAAACTTATTAATAACTATATTAATTAATTTATGTTTAATTATACTGCATCCTATGCACAATCTATTTTATTTTTAGGATGGTATTACAAAAGTGAAGTTTACGCATATAGATAATATTTTTAATTGAATTGATTCAGTTTCCATTTGCTCATATGTCCTTAATTTTTTCACTAATGGTCCTTAAAAGTACTTAATTTCCATGGGCAGAAATGTGTAGGAACCCTGTATTAAATCGCCCAGGTGCCATTTATTAGCAAGACAATGCTCATCCACACACTGCATGACTCCCATCAGTGTCTTTAAGGATATGACATACTCCCATGTCTTGTCAGGTAACCAGACCTCTTACCAATAGAGTAGGTTTAGAACATGCTTGGAAGGCAACTGCAGCCGTCCCAGAATATTAGTGAATTAACTGCTGAATTGCCAATAGCAAAGATTATGGCATGATCTTCCACAGGGGATCATAGGTGACCCACTTGATTCGATGCCACATCTAGGTGTAATTTCATCATTAAAATCAAGAAAATACTCCATTTTATAGCAGTTTTGGGAAATTTGGAGTTTCTCAGCGAAACCCTCTGCTGGTTGGTGGGTTGAACTATTAAAAACCAAAAGCCTTTAATGACCTTGGAAGGGACAGTTTAATTCTAAAATTAAACATATAAGACACACTTTTACATACATAAGCGTTCTCCGCCCAAAATTTATCTTAGCTATCAGTTGCTCCTGTTAACAGTGTTACTTTGTCTTAGCTATCAGTTGCTCCTGTTAACAGTGTGAAATGTATAAATGCCAAAATATTACTGTATTTTTAAATGCTCTCACTTGTATACCAGTTTACAGTTCATATTTTGCTCCTCAGTTCTTTGAATAGATCATTTTTGTTTTGGAAAATTGTATGTACATAAAAACGAATCATTATCAAATGTGCAATTAAAACTCAGTGATAAATATTGTAGTACAGAAAGAATCTGATATGTCCACGTAATTAAAAATAAATCATTCAGTGTATGAGGAAAACCAATAATAAACATGAACAAAGAAAATTGCTTACTCGCTTTGTTTAATATATAGTCAAGGCCATTAGGCTGTGGTATGCCAAAACTCCTGGTATATAAAACTTTATATGGTATATAAAATTTCACATAGGTGATTTAACCGTGAGTATTAACTATTAAAAATATAAATTTGTTTGTTTACTTCCTTCAAATATTAGTATAATAATCCAAGATATCGACGGTTTGGACTAATGTAGTTTGCAGATAGAGTTCCCACAGGTTAGAGTACTTAATCATGTCTTAATTTCTTGCAGACTTGTCACCAAAAGCCACTATTAATTTAACATCTTGTATCATGTTTTAGAATAAAATTTTATGTTCAATATATTTTTTATAAAAATTGAACTTATTTTATTTTTGCAGTTGTATGACAATTTTCTGGCTGATTTTGAAAATAAGTAAGTTTTTTAACTACTTTTGTTAATTAATTGTGCATATTAATAGCATATGCTTTTGTACATTTATTGTTATGTTTGAGATATATTTAATAAATGTAATACATTTAATTAAATTTTAAGTAAATAAAATGCTCTTTGTATTTTCTGGATTAGCTTAAATTCATCTTGATGTGTCCCCCCCCCCCCCCGATTTTCCTTTAAAAAAAAGAGGGCTTTGTGTTTTGAACTTTATTTTTGTTCTTTCTGATTAAGTGTTAACTCTGCTACGTAATTAAGAGTAACTAATCCACAGGAGTTATAGTAAGCTAAAGTTATTCACTGTTGTGCCATTTTGTGTATGCAGTATACAAGTGTTGATAATTTATTGCAACCTCAACAAAACTTTTTACTGGAAATTCAATTTTGGGTATACTTTGATGCATCTTCTTATATTGATGGAAAGGGCATTGAAGACAATTTGAAACTTTGTTGGAGACTTAAGTAATAATTTGTGTATCTGCTATTTAATTAGATGAAGGTGCTGGTTAAAAATAGCTGGTAGGGGAACCAGCAACACATTAAATTATCCTTAATGGCAAGAACAAATCTCTCCTAAAACAAAACATTCTTAACAATTTAAAGCTCAAACCAAGCGAAGATATAGTTTGGCATGAAAAAGCTAGGTCATCTAGAAATCTGCGTCATCTAAAAACTACTTAGTCCAGTCAATTTCCTAGGGCTTAAAATATTCCTTTGTTTACAGTTGCCTTAAATCAAAATCAAGCTCTTTAGTGATTTAATCTCATACCTGGAGACACGTCTCAGTCATTTAGCAATTTTTATACTCTATTTTGACCTTATTTGGCAATTTTAGTTCAGTTTAAAATATTAATTTTTAGAATATTTTTACATTAACCATCTTGCCAACCACAATAACCAATGTGTTTTTCCTGTTTTTGTATGCAAATGGATGAGACTTAAGCAATTCATTAACAATATCTGAATAACAACATTAACCACGTTCACATGAAGGGGCACTTGCTGTATTAAACACATCAATTAATGATCACACATGGTCATATAGCAATATATTGATATAATTTATATAATATTTATGTTTATATAATAATTTTGTTATACATTTTGTCTATTCTGCATAGCTTTAAAGCTTTACTTCTGTTTGTTTATTTTTTAAAACGTATTTTATGAAATTTGTTAATCGAGTAATTTAAAATTTGCAGTCATTAATCATATTTACATATATCTGGCCTATAATTTCATAGTACTTATGATTCCAAGTATTAAGATATTGGAATTATGAAAATGGCTTATGAATAATAAATATGAAAATAATATAAAAATTAGGCAATAGACCAGGGTTGAATTAACCATTAAGCAATACTTGTATAAGCACATGTTTAGGGTATCAAGAAAAGGGGGCACCACAAAAAAGGTCTTTAGGTATTCAGGAACCAAGGCATCAAAAAATTTCCGTTGGAATGATGGTACAGCTAAACCAAAATCAAGAGAGAGAAGGAATAAAATAAAAACAAGTGTAAACATATGCGAGGGCACCAAAATCTTTCAAGTGCTTACCACTTCTAAAAGTTTTAATCCGTTCCTGCTGAGACACCTACACAATCTTGGCAATAAATTGTTGTTGTCAAATTGGTAATATTTGGCAATGTTTCTTTAGCCTGAAAACATTTTTCCAACAAATACATTTCTCAGACCCTAAGAACTTATTTTTCTAGAAAGTTCTTCAAGTGCTGTTCCATCATTTAACAATGCATAACTAGGAAGCTGTTGAAAGCTGTCAGTTAATTAATACTGTGAAAGCCATCAGCCGATAGCATATGGGTTTGTCCGCCTCAGCTCATGTGCTACTGATTATTCCTCTATAAACTCATTCTTTATTCTGAAAGCAACTCAGCAGTTGTACTGTGTGCTTATAACTTTAAAAAATTAGTCAATGGAATGCTGCTCTTAATTTAAATATATCTCAACCTGTTTTATGCAGTATTTTGAAGAATGATGAAGAAATTGTTTACAAATCAAAGAAAAATTTAAATGAAAACATGAAACGAATGCATAGTGAGAAAGATCATCTTCTTCATAAAGCATGAAGAAGATGCTGAATTACTGAAGATGTGATTTATAATGTTCATAAATAAGATGTAGTCACCAAATGTTCCATTAATGCAGCAGAAAGCTGAAGAAGTAGCCATAAAAATTGTGAAAGATCGCTTTATGGCAAGCCAGTTCGGCTGATGGAAGAAAAGAGAAAAGTATTGTTTACAGATACATTCATGGTGAAGAAAAAGATGCTGCTTTACCTGCTTTTGGAACATGATTATCAAATGCATTGTCTTGTAAACGTATATGATGCTGATAAACAGGTCCGTACTATAATGCATTGCCTAAACATACATATTTATTTAAAACAAAATTCAAAAGGATATAAAACATGGATTTCCAACCATTTTCTTGCATTGACCTGTTTTAAAAGAATTGTTTTCTTCATTGACTCCCTTACATTTTTCTCTGTAATATACAGCATTCAACATCATAATACAAATAATTGCACATAATTTGAAAATATTTATTATGAAGATTATTATGTATTGAATTAGATTTTTATGTATGAATATATAGTATTAGACATTGAAATTTGAATTAGAATAAGAATGTGAACAAAAATTTTGGAAAAAAAAAGTTTTATTTGATTTATGTTTTATTATTTTTGTAATATTTTCAGTTTTGTATATAAAAAGTTTTCAGGAACAAAATAAGATGCTAATTGCATAAAAGTTCAATTTTAATATGGCTACAGTTACTGTACAGGTAGAATTTTTTTAATATTTGGTATAAAATTTCTTATTTTGAAGTCACCTCTTTCAAAAATATTTAATTTGTGTCTTGTTTTCCATTGTAAATTACTAGCCTGATTAAAGCTTGCTTTCTATAGGTAAGGAGAGAAAAAAGTCTATATTGTTGGTTTGGTAACAACTTTTATTTTGGGATAATTTTCTCAGTTGACTTTAAAATTACAAAACTTGGTGTAATTGTGTGTTTTGAATAAGACTTGTGCTTAAACATCCTTCTTCAATTCATCTTTACTTTTTGTATCATTAATATCAAGATGAGATATATTGCAGTTCAGTTCTATGAGCCATGCTGTCGCATTCAAATTTTCAATATGTTCGAAGCGAGCATTAAAATCTTCTTTTAAATTTTGCAGGTAGTTTGTATATAACATCATTTGAGGAAATAAATCCTTTTAAATAGCGAACAATCACATTAAGGTGTTATGAATTTAACATTTTGGTGGATATTAATGATGAAACTCAAGTTTAGCATCAATAGCAAAAGATGTTTGCCAGTCGCTTTCTTAAACAAATTCAAATGCATCATGTGATTGTCTGAAAAAGTTGATGATTAATTAGTGAGTGAATTACTACAATGTTGAAATGGGGATGTCCTCTAAGTATCAAGATTAGCAGTACAGTATTAAATAAATAATTTCCAGAAATATTAGATATGAACAATTCATAAATGAACTTTTGCATAATAATTGCTTACAGGCAGTTATTAATGCACATTTTTACCTAATTAAAATGCTGTGAAAGTAAGTATTGGTATGTTTCTAGTTATATTTATATTAACTGAATTCCATTGATGTTTTGAAGGGATATATTTCTTGTTGCTTAACATTATCTAAGTTGTTTGGACAAATATGATCACTATAATGTGATATGGTAGTGGTGCCTACTGTATTCAGTTTCTGCCACACTCAACGTGTAGTATAGTAAATTATTCAGTTGTATTATGCTTTAGATCATTAATATGATTGCTTCAGTTATTTCAGTTATACTTTAGATTGTTAATGTTGCATATTCATAGATTTAAATTATTTTATGTTTTAGATCATGAATGTCATCAGTTACTTTAGATCATATTCCATAAACCATCATCTTTAGTATGTTTGAATGATAAAGCTTGTGGCTTTTTTTTTTTAGCATTCTAAGTTTTACTGGACTTGGATGTCTCATTTTAATTTTTTAATTGTTGGGTTTTCTTTGGAATATTCATTTTCATGAATCCTACTTCATAGACAAATTAATAAACAGATTAAAATTGGAAAATTATCTTTCATATAAAAATAGATATCTTCATAATGTTTGAAAAATATTGTTTTGACAGATTTTTGAAGCTGTAGTGCTAATTTATAGACATCTTAATACAATGTACAATGAAACTTCCATTAGATGATTGCCTGAGGTTTATACAGTTTTCTCTCATTGAAGGTGAACATGACCATTTTTTATGTTCAATACTGTTATTTAATTATACTTTCAAGAGCATCAGGAGGGGTGTATTGCAGCAATGCATTAGCTAGATGGTTACTATGTGAAGTTTCAGTGTAGTTTGGTGTGGTGTATCAACTGTCACGAAAATCATATTTTATTTCAGCATTTAGAAATTTTGTAATTGTATTTTTGATTTTATTGTATCATTAATATAGACATTTTGTTTGTTAGATTATTATATTCGGTTCTGCATTCATTATTTTATGTTTTTTTCATAAAAATAATGGCACATGTAATTTTATTCTGTTAACTTGAATTTTGACAATAAAAGATAAGATATAATTAGTTGAAGTAATCGAATGAGAAAAGAAAAATGAATAAACTAATTTTTAAATATCTGTTATTGCTAATGTTTGAAATTAAAATTCAGTGCTGCAGATTTTAGTGAGTTTTTAACATGATTTTATTTTTATGTATGTATTATGATTTTATATTTATGTTTTATGTAAGATCTTATATTATGTCTCTTCTTATTTTACTTCTTATTGCTTACTTTTTATTTTATAGAATTAGTCCATTGTCTCTTGTTGAAATATTAAAGTTTGTTGTTAAACAAATTTCTGGTAAGCCTTTTTAAAAATTTTTAAACTAATTTTTTTCTTAATTTAAAAAGATCTGAAAATTTCAACATTCTTTTTTATGCTTTTGCATATTCGTTATTTTTTTTTTTTAATCTCTACAGATTATGATAAGAAAATAGACTTTATGATGAAGACAAAGGAAAAGGTAAAAAAAAAAAAAAAAAAACATTTATATTTCTAACTTGCAGTTTGAACTAATTTTGAAACATTTAATATTGTTTATTATTAAAATGGAAATTACTTCTATCTTCCTGCAACAGTATATGAATTAATTTAATTCGTAAGTTTTTAACCTTTGTAATTTTTAGTTCAGTGATTCAGGAAAAGCAGTATTTTCACTAGCCTGCTTAATTTCTAAGACTTTCTAAGAGTTTCTGAAAAACTCAGGAGAAAGGCATTATTTTCCCAGTATTATTCAGTGTTCTTATTACTTTATACCAGGTCTCTCTTTCTTCCATTAAGTCATTGAGCATATTCAAAGATGTGCTTATTACTCAGAGACCTAATTCTTTCATTAAGAAATTTAAGGGCATGTCCAATATAATTTATACTAAAAAATTGTTGCTTGACTAAAACAGGTTTTTTGAAGAAAAGATTTGATTGCATGGCTCAGGCCAACTTTTTGTTATTTATTAGCTAAACTTAAAACAAATGAAGTTTCTTATGAGTAATTCTGTGTTATCGAAAATAATGATATGATTTATGTTAATGTAATATTGTTTTACAAATGTGAAGCTTTTTTTTTGGGGGGGGTCACAACAATGTGGAAGATGGGTCATTAATGTTTCATTTTAGATTCTGTACACTTGCAATCATGTTCACCAATAGCCGAGCAGTAAAACTGCTGAACACTAAAGCCTGTTACTTTAAAATAGGAACTTCAAGGTCATTTTCTGCTACCCTGTATGCCTTGTAACCATTAGAATAACAACTGCAGCAAATGGTTCGAGTTGCCTAAATTTTTTCCTTCCACTTCATTTTCATTTAGCTTGCTTTGCTTCCTGAAAAGCTTGTGAATGAAGGGTGACCCTGATCTACAATCTTAAATGAAGTGGAGAAAATAAGTGCTGTATGGTAGTGATGATAATATGCATTACTATCACAGATGGGGGTGGATGGTAATGGCCTTTGAAGTACCTTTCAAAGAAACATTGTAGAAGTTCGACCTGGATTCAAATCCTGGTGAAGGAGATGGCTGCATGAGATATTTTATGCTTTTCATCATGCATAATGTGAACATGATCAAGTTGCCATTAAGGAGTCTTTCACAAAGGCATTAGGAAGTAGTTTTTGCATGCTTTGTCATAATCCAAATGACTTAATCCATACATATACTCAAATTTACCATCTGTGCCTGGGGGAAAAAAAAAAAAAAAAAAAAAAAAAAAACATCTAGGTAATTTTTGACCTGTTTGTGCATAAAGCTCTGTATAGTTTTCTAAACGACAGCTATTTATGATTACCATTCAGAAGCTTTGTTGCAAGCTCAGCAGCACTCCTTCTGACATTCATTTCATGTAAGAAAATTTACTACATATGCCATAAAATGCATCATAATTTTGAAAATATTATAGATTTATGCTTTATTATTTTACAGACTTGTGTGATATTCTCTGGTGCTTTGCTGATTAAAGAAAGTTCAGAATGATCTTCTCAAGTGCCTGATTTTGAATTAGTTATATTATTATTTTTACAAAGAATATTTCAAAGTTTTTGGCAAAGTTTAATGCTTTTATGTTATTATTTTATGCTATGCCGTATTAATTACAAAGTACGCAAACTTAATTTCTTATCAGAAGTAAGCAAGTCAACTTTGAAACATTGCCATATTGTAGAGTAATTTAAAATATAACACATGGTAAGTCAAAGAAGATGCTAGCAACTTCCATGTAGTTTAGCGGTGATTAATTTGGAAATTTTTTGAGGATATTCATTTTGTTTTTTGAAAATTTTTGCTGTATTTTTTTCATCAGATCGATTATAAAGCTGCATAAAATTCTGATATTTGGGCATGTGTCCTTTAGAGCTGAATATTTTGTAATTAAAAAATTATTAGTGTACGTACTGTTTTATGTTATCAATCGTTATATGTTCTTGCAATTGAGTTTTGATTGAGATAGATTGAAAATTTTCCAGAATGAACAAGGAAAAAAAATAATTGAACTAATATTTTATTTCCCATCATAAAACTTTTAAACTTTAGTCCAATATCTCTCTTTACATTTCAATTTCCTTCTAGAAGTGATTTTATTTAAGCTCTGCAAAATACCCATTCACAGCCTTTTCATTTGACAAAAATCTCTTTCCAACTAGGAATGTATTGAGATTTAAGAACAGATTAAAGTCCTAAGGAGTCAAATCAAATCAGTACAATATATGCAGAAAGATCACAATTTTTATGAAGTCATCAGAATTATGCCTAAATATTTCTTCACTGGAGGCAAGAGGGTGAATGTGTACCTCTGTCTAAAATACATGTTAACCATGCTTGCACATTTTTGTTCACAACAAATGTAATTGTTTAAAATCATGACTCCATAACTAATAAAGTCATTTTTATTACATCTTTTTATACTGCCAATGTTTTCGTATTAAGCTTGTGAAGTTTTTCAAAAATGTTTTTGGAAAAATAGTAGTGAATCCAAAGTTATTTGAATTTTCTACTTTTGATTTTAGAAGCCTTTCTCTTGCCATATTCCTCTTTCCATTATTTTATGTTCTTTTATTTCCATGTGTTTCATTGTACACAAGCATAGAAAATAGAATCTTTGACTGTGAAAAACTTTTAAATTAGCTGACATTGAAAAGGTGATTGTGAAAAACTTTTAAATTAGCTGACATTGGAAAGGTGATTGTGAAAAACTTTTAAATTAGCTGACATTGGAAAGGTGATGAAATTGATTACCAAACAAAGATCAGAGATGTTACAGCATGTTAAAAAATAGCTTTTAATCTGGATAGCAGAAAAACATTTCTGTATCATGTGCTGTGCTTAATTTATATGCAGCATATATTTTACCTACTACATTTGTATTTTAATATTTGACATTGTTACAGTAATAAAAAGTAGGATTTTTTTAATAAAAACAGATTAATTATTTCCCCTTTACTTCTTATTGGGAAAAGTTTGGTATAGTTCAAGAATCTGGAATGTATTAATGACGTGTACTGAGGTACCATTGTGTAAGAAATAATTTGGGTGTTAGTGGTGTGTAGGTGCATAAAGACATAATTGCAGTCATAGCCATTAGATAAACATTTTAAAGCCAACATAAATAGTATGGTGCAATAAGCATACTTGTTCTTGAAGAAGCTTACATTTTTGAAAAGCAAAGGAGCAACAGCAGTCTAGGTAACAAAAACAAAAAAAAAAAAAAAAAAAAAAAAAAAAGCAGAGAGTAATTGCTTTAAGATGAAGTCCCTATTCAGAATGGTCTGGTTTAACATTTATTGGTTAATAATAACTTTCTAAAATTATTATTGCTATAGCCTTGTGTAAGTATTTGCATTATTAGTGTTGTGCAGGAATCATAGTATATAGATTGGTTTTGAAATGACACAGTTTGTAGTAATTTATTATAAGCAGTTACTGTTGTTAGAATAGATAGGGGAAGTATTCAAATTAAAATGGGGAGATAAGAGGCAATTGCAAATTAAAATTAGAATTTAATTTACACATTCTTTTATCTTAATACATATACATGTACAAGGTAGCCATAAAAAATTTCCTGATACATGAACCTCTAACAGCCTATCTGCTGAACCAATCAAAATGAAATTTCAAATATTGTTAATTGAAAGTATAAAGATTGTGATTTAAAACAATAGAGCTCTAATAGTTACAGTGAAAAAATTTCAAAATTTTTCAAATGTCAATACCAACCTTTTTCCTGCGCAAATTGATTAATGCATTGAAAAACTATAAATGGCAGTGGAATGATACATGTGGGATGAAAATTACCAGCGTAAAAAGTTTGCAAAGAAGAGCATTATAAAAGACCAATGACAACACAGGAAGGAGATGTATTGACCTTCTTGCATAATTCTCAGAGACAGGCAGTAGAAGCAACAATCACAGGGTATGATGTGCAAATCATTGCTTGTGGCAAATCTGTAATAAGGAACGTCGTGGCACGCAATGACCTAGAAGTTGATCTGTCAGCACTATCCTTATCTTCAGGGCAAATGTTTTTATTTTATTCGGTTGTAATTCCTTAATAAATGCAGTATTTCATCTCGAGGTACTCCGTCTTTGATTGGACACATCAGAAGCTGGCAGAAATTTTTGCTTGTAATGAAATTAAATATCATCCTTCTGTATGGAATTTTATGTCCTTAGCCTTTGGAGTGTTAAAATCTAGTCCTGACACAAAATGAAAATAATGTGCTGATTTGCCCGAATAGGTATGTTCTGTCATTATGCATAAATGTATCTAGATATGCAGTTTAGAGGTAAATTAAGTATGGGCTCTGAAGAACAAAATCTCAAAATGTTTGAACCATTCATCGCGTTCAACAGCAAACTTAGTTAACTCTTGGATGTCTATGTTTGCATATGATGTCTGTCAGAATAAGAGTGAGAGATCTGCCACGTTTGGTTTGGTTCTGGCACTTGCATATGATTGAGCTATAGCATTATTGTTGTGAAGCATCATCTTTCTGGACCCCAAATTGTTGATTTGTCTAAAAGGGTTGCACAGTATCCGCTAATAGCATTTTTTGCTTTTATAAGATAATAAGTAAAATATATTTGGTATTCCAAAAAACTGATGATGTCAATTTTGTAGTCAACTGAATGCTCTTTTGCCTTCTGAAGTCCATGCATTATCTCTAGTTCTATATCATGATTTTAGCTTTTGGTGAGTATTTGTTAACCCAAATCTCATCTTTTATAGCAAATCGTTTTCGAAACCTGATGGACTAAAAATGTTTAGATGTTCAGCTGAGATTTGTGTTTTAATGAATTTTTGCTCAGGTTTGAGCAAACATGAACTGCTTGTTCATAAGAGATGCTCACTGCTTCTTGAATTTCGTGCATTTTTTTTTTTTTTTTTACTGATTTGTTAAAATCATGTCATGGACTTCGCAATTTATTATTTCAAATGTAGTAACCTTTTGTACATAACCAGAATATGGTTTATTAGAATGATCTCAAACTGGTGGCATGGGGACCCCAACTAGCCTCTGAAGCAACTTTACACTGCTCAATACATTTCAATGATGTATTTATTGTAAATATGATATGTATAATTTAAAAAACATGGATATATGGATTATATGCAATTACTGTTGAAAGAAAGAGAGGTAAAATGCAGAGGTTGGGGGTTGAATTGCTTAAGTTTTACCCAAATGTCATGTGGGCAATCCTTCTGTGTGCAGCGTTATTTGCTCGTATATGTTATGGATATTTCAGAGTTTTATTTTTATTTTAGTTTACTTTTTCTGTTTCTAGATGGCATTAGTTGACCATAAGAAAAAGTTTTTTTTGGGGGGGGGGAGGGGGGCTATTGAATTGATAGTAAAATGTCTGCTTTCTTACAGATACACTATGTTGTAATTTCTAAACATTTTGCTTATTAAGATTTTATTACAAGCTAATAAACATCTATAATCTTATTATTAAGAGCTTATGAAATAGCTCTTAAGTTATATAATTGTAATTTGCATGTTTTAATTAGTCTAGCACTGTACTTTCTTGCTAAAACCAAATGAGTTGTCACTTAGATTTGAAATTTATTTTCTGTCCATTGAAAATGTTGCCTTCTGAAATATATTAAAATTAATTTGAAAAAATATATCCACTGATGATTTTAGAAATGTTTTAATCTAAGAGCATAGTGCTTCTATATGATATCAAATTAAATGTACGTGGAACCTTTAGTTTATCTCATTAATGCATTTCTAAATGAACTGGTGTTGAATATTGATGCAAATCAGTGCAAAGCCAGTGGCATTCCTGGCACTTAGACATTAACATTTCTTATTAATCATTCAATATTGAATAAATTTACATATCTTTTCTTTATGTTCTCCCATTTATTTAAATGAAACATATTTTACAGGTTAAAGGAAACAATGAAGCAGTTGTTCTGTGTAACATAATCTTAGGATTACTGAAGTTGGAGAAAGCCGATTTGGATGGAGTAAAAGTAAGTTTTTAATTTTTAATGATTTCCACAGTTAATGTAATATTACTTTAATTCCATTAAAATATTAAATTAATTGCTGTGACATCTCTAATTTAGTAAAGAAGGTTAAAATAGTTTAAAATATTTGTTGAGGTAACTGAAAGCAGTGAAACAGAAATTTAAGGAATATATAACTATTAAAACACTTTAAAACGCTTCTAAGAATGAAAATGCTGTATACTTGTAAGAGTAATAATTTTTAAATGGCATTTAGACTTTTTTAAAATTTTACCATTATTATTCTCGTTAGCATACAATTAAATTTAATATCCGCTATATGAAAGCGCAAATGAAAAAGGAACTATTTCTGCCATGAAGAATGTAAAACAGTTGTGCATTGTTCAAGAACAGTAGTTTAGCTTTTGTAAGGCATACAGATGTTGATTAAAAATTGAGACTATTTCAAATGATTCCTAATAATCTAATCTTTAATTTAGAAAATACTTGAAGAAACAGAAGCTATGATTGATGCAATGGATGGCATAAGTACTGTTCATGGACGGTATTATCAGCTCAGCAGTGATTATCATCAGATTAATGGCCAACATGCCCAGTATTACAGAGATGCATTGCGCTACCTTGGGTGCACAGATCTTGATGATATTGATGGTTAGTCAATAACTTAGCTGTTACTTAAAAAATATAATTTTTATGTCATATGTTATTATAGCCAATTTTTTGAAAAATTTATTTTTGAATTTGTTTGCTGTTAAGTTTTTTCCTTTATCAAAATATTCTAATATCAGAGGAACATTTTAATAATATTTCTTTCAGGTGAAGAAAAGAAGGCAAGAGCTTTTACATTATCACTCGCAGCTTTGTTAGGTGATGGTGTTTATAACTTTGGAGAATTAGTAAGCTTTATAGTTATCTTATTTCATAAGCAAACCCAAATTTGTGTGTGTATATATATATCTGTGTGTGTGTGTATGTGTATCGGTATGAATGTAGGAAATTAAACGTAATGATAGTTTTTGGAATAAAATGCAAGAGGCTAAAACTAATGAAACATTTATTTGAGATTAGCAGTGCCAGAAGAATGTCATACTAATTTGTCAATGAATGATATCAATAGAAAATGATGTTATGGATACTTAGACATTAGAAATCTGATTAAGTACTTTGGAGCGAGTGAAAGAATAAAAGTGAAGAATAAAAATGCAATAAATACATAGCCTTTCAATATTTTAAAAAATATTTTAAAAATATCACTTTTAGTATCAAACAAAAACTTATACGGTCAAAAGTCTTTAATCCGGACTCGTCGAGACTTCGGCGATTTCGGATTATAGATCATCAGTTTAAATCTGGTAAGATGGCATGCAGAAATTATAAAATTAAAAATATGAAACCATAATTTTTGAAATAAAGAGCAATTATGATCTAAAGAGTATCAAAATTTACAAAAAAAATAATATTTATTTGTTTACTTTATTGAACATTTCTTTCAACACGCGCATGCGTAAAGCATACATTATGCATAGTCGAAATTAGAAAATTGCAACCAGAAAACTATTTGATTTGTGTTCGTGATATTTATAATGACGAGGAATTTCATTTAAATTATATCAAAGATGGAGTACATCGAGATGAAATACAACATTTAGTTAGGAATTATAAGCCAAATAAAATAAAAACATTTGCCCTGAAGATAAGGATAGTGCTGATAGATCAACTTCCAGTTCATGGCGCGCTGCGATGCTCCCCCCCTTCCCCGCACAGAGCAGCATGAAATTGATGAACAGATTTTGGAATGGTTAGAGAAACAAAGGAGCCTTTATCCATTTTTTGTAGCAATTCCACTTTTTGTTTAATGGACATCGAAACATGCTTTCCCTTTGTAGATCCAGCATCGGAAATTCTGTTTGACATAATCGAAAGTTCCAACTTACTTTTATAAAATTATTCTAACAGTCTGCAAAAAATAATAAGCCGGATCCAATTCGAAGATTAAGGAACAACACAATCTGCAGCACTAACTGAAATATATAATTAGATAATTTTAGCTTAGCTTATACCGTCCGTTATACATTAAACACGCATGCATAAACGTATTATGCGCATGCGTAAAGGTATTACGCGCATGCGTCAACGCATTATACATTGATGCATGCGCAGAAAGTTTGAAGCTTTGAGTCCGGATTATGGGTGTCCAAATTAACGACTTTTGACTGTATTATAACAATTTTAATTTTTCACATTTTTGACCAAAGTACTGTTCATACATTATCTTTTAAATTTCATATTGGTATCATAATTAGATCAATATCATAATCTCTGTGGCTTTCCCCTTAAATTGTGAATTTAAATGTTTCATTTATGTAGTTTTTAATTTTTGTCTTTAGTTAATGGAGTATTGAATTTCAATTGTATTTTATGTTATTACTAGATATTTTTAAAGCACAATAAAAAATGGAGTAACACAATAATTAATAAAATTCCTTAATTACAATATGTTAAAACATTGGAAAATTTTTTACTTCATAATCTTAAATTGTGTAGAATATACATTAATATTCTCTGCAATATATAACACAGCAAATATGCATGCCTTTCATAACAGTCTGGTATTAAAAGCAAGGCTTTGCTTATATTAACATTAGTTTACAGTCCTTTCTTCAGAAACCATCATTTAGTATACTGTAGTGATAAGATTGGATTTTTTAACATGAAGCCATAATGCAAGTGCTTCCTTTTAAGAATAAAATTGGAAAGTTTCTATTTGTCAGCTACAAGCAATGATACTTCAGCTCAAATATGCACTTATAAACTGAAATTATGAACAAAGACCTCTGATGGTTGAATTGCATATTTAAAAAAATTACTTCTCTTCAACGGCTGCATTTTTTTTTTAATTTAGAGGTTTTCTTAAAGTCAAGTCACCATCGGTAATATTCACTAGTAGTCCAATTACCTGGGTTTTAATGGTCAAGCAGCTGCATAAAGCTCATAGTCAGCCTCGGAAATTCTGAGCACAAAATAGAGTTGCATAAAATTTTAGGGTTGCTTAGAAGCTCTCTCTTTCTCTCTTTTTTTTTTTTTTCCTAAGATTCAAAATCCTTAGCTTATATACTCTGTAAGCTAATTTGAATTCTGGTGAGAAATACAGAAAGAAGTTAAAAATACAGATTAAAATCATAATGATTAGTTAATTAACATAAGAACCTTACAGATTCTTCTGAAATTTTTACCAATTCATGATAAATTTGTCATTTTATAGGTATCATGAATCACTGTGATAACATCACTGTGCAAATGCATTCTATAAAATGATAAAAAAACCTTTTACAATTTGCCAGCTTGATAAGCAAATATATAGTGAATACTAGAAGAATGTTTTTTGTCTGGATGCTTTTTGTTGTGAAGTCTGGTGGTTGAGACATGGAGAAATGTTCATCAAATATTTCTGAATGTGCAGTTTAGTTTCTGTGGCTGAAGTCTGTGGAGATGTTAAAGACCAGCATTTCTCAACCTTTATGCTTTGAAATAATATTCATGCCTCTGGAAATTTTTACATAAATATTACATATGATTAGCAGTATACATACATACAGTAACAAATTTATAATAATCCTAGCAAATAAATTTGCTTAAATCCTGACAAATTCTTATAAAGCTCCAAGGTTTTAAGAAAACCTGAATGAGAAAAATTGTTCTAGAGTGCTTTAATCCCACCTTTATAGTGATGATTTAAGAAAAGCTGTTTTCTCTATAGTGTGATACTATTATTTACTAAACAAGGCCAGTGCATGATTATGCATGTGAATGCTCTTAAGGAGCTTGAAATGGTCTTGAAAAAGTTTTTATGAGAAACATATGGAGCACAATATATTTTAAGCTCTGATTCCAAGAAAAAAGTCGTCAATCATCATTATGGAGTTTTTTTTTGGGGGGGGGGCGGGGTGTCTTCTGGAAATTTCTGCTGTTTTTCAGCATGCCCTTTTCTGATTGTTCTGTTACTGCTACTAGTGAGTAATCTTGATGGACATAAATGTTTAAATGTAGTTTTTCTGCTCACATTGCAAAATTCTGGGATGTGTTGTGGCATAATTTTTGTTTCAGTGCAGGTGCTAAGAATGGAGAATCCAAAAGTTCATTTTTCTCATACTATGGTCTTTCATTTTAAAAAAGAAAAAAAAGCTGTTGGTCAGACTGTTTATAAACTTTATGTATAGAAAATGTGCGGTTTCTGATAACGCAGTCTGAAGTTGGTTTAAGAAGTTTAAATGTAAAAATTTCAGCCTTGAAGACGATGCCCACTCTGGATGATCATCTTTTGTAAAAACGATTTATCAAAAGAAGTTGTCACTAAAAACTATAAGGGAAAATATATATATTCCAAAAACTTTAGGACATAATAATTTGAAAGTGTTTGGGTATGCAAACTGCTACAATGTATGGTTATTCTATACTTCAACAGAGCAAAATATGCTTGCTTGAGGATCTGCATTCGATTCATTACTGGGTTGCGGCATTCCTTTTTTGATGTGGTTCTTTACTAGAAATGAGAACTGTACTATACAGTAATATTGCAATAAAAAAGTTAAGCAGTAAGCCAAAAGAACCCCCTTTAGTAATACTGAGAGGGGAGTGAAAGAATTTTCTTGCTGTTCTTGGTAGCCATTCTTGGAAACCATCAATGAGAGATTGACTGATAAAATAATCAGTCTTCAGTGAAATGTTGTTTTCTGTAGGCTGCCTGACAGAAAATTATCTTCATGTTTTTTACAAGTATGCCATGGTTCTGGAGTGGATAATTAGTTCCATAACTTACGCAGCCTGCCTGATTTCCATGATGTGATGAAGATAATCAACAAGCTATTATTTTCTGGTGATTTATTTTCTTTAATAGTATTGATAACAATATCTAATTCTTCTAGAGTGAGGTTCTTTAGAAACAGGTCATCATGCTTGTGTTCTCTTCCCTTGAGAAGCAATTTTTTGGCAGAGCTTTTTATTTTCTTTCTGATAATTAATTTTACTAACTAGAGAAGTGCATTGCAAGCCCATTGGCCACTTTTCCATTAGTATCTACTGTTGATCCACCTGTATGAAGGATTTTTGAAGATTGGGCAGCACTTGGACTGAAAAGTTTTTCAGTAATTTATTTATTTTCCAATACTTAGAGTTTTTATTGGATCTAGGGTCTTACAAAGCTCGGCCCATTTTTGTTTGATGGCAGCAACCTTTTCTTCCATTCTCTTATGCCTCTGGTAGCAGTCTTCTGTTTTCTTCCATGTTGTTTGCTTTAAGTTGATCATTCAACAAGTTTCTCTCTTTAATTAGGAGTCTATATTTGGCCCTTCCAATAGGCAATCCAATTTTATTTCCTTTTCCTCTTGGAATGAAGCTCTTAGCTGCAGTGTTAAAGTTATGTGTTCTCTTCGGCTATTTCTCTGGGCAGGGATTTCAACATTAAATTGAGCTTCATAACAACTGGTCGATGATTGCTCATTGCATTATCAAGAATCTTCCATGTAAATTGAATGTGTGATAACTCACTGCAGTGATCAAGAGCTGGCTGTGTACCTGTTCTTGAAAGATGAGTATTTTCTTCATTGTTTAGGTAGCTAAATTTAAGTCTGTCAGTAGATCCTTCCTTCATCTGCTTTCTCTTCTCATTCAGAGAATGCAAACCCCAAGTTGAACTTCTAGCATTACAATGGTCGATCGTAATAATGAATTCAGCTTGGGAGTGAGGTATATTACATAAGGTTTCTGTATCGATACTTGAATAGTCCGAGTGATAGACATTAATCAAGAAGAAGAAATGTCATAGCAGGAGGATTTCCGTGGCCTGAATTTCTGTGCTTTCCAAGTGATCAATTTTAATCTTTCTGTATTTGGCATTATTATTTCTAATAAGGAAAGCAAGTCCTCCTCCCATTCTGTCAGTCCTATTTTTTCACAGGATAGGTTAGTTCTTAATGTTGAATTGATGATTTTTATTTAGCTTAGTCTACTGGGTACAAGCAGCGTGAATGTCATTATTCTGTAGGTATTGTATACCATCAATCCGAACTAGAGATGTGCGTGTTGTGTACCTAATGGCTGCCCAAACTATTACACCAGGTGCAGGGCTCCTATGCCAATATCGAATGATGTGCGTTCTTCTCGGACACTCCAGAAACCTATATGGCCATCAGAATACTGCATGTAGAAGCGGGACACATTTGAAAAGGTGACATTGTGCCACTCTTGTATCCAGCTTTGTTGTTTGGTGCACCAGAATCACCATCTCTCTCTATGCTGCATTGTCAAGGGAAGCTCAAGTAATTGTCACCCTGCATATAGACCATGCTGCTGCAAACGTTGATGTACCTTACGAGCTGATACCGGGCATGCTGCAAACATGCCCATTTCCTGTCTGTGATGGGGTCATACGGTTTTGCAGGCTGACCTCATAATATGTCTCTCCACTCTGGTGTCAGTCATGGGAGGGCATTGAGATCATGTGAGCCATTCAGTATGACCCTTAGCAATCCATTAATTACATATTTGCATGACAGTGGTTGGATGTTGGTTGACCAGTGTGACCTGTAATATCATGGAACGATAATCTACACTTTGGATTGACAACAATCCTGCCTCTATCGAATTTCGAAACTTGATGATAAGCATTTTCTCTTCTTATTTGAGGCATAACACGATATTCTGAGCAAAGTCCAACCGTACAAAGTACTTTCTGAATGAGATATCCGCTACACAACTTTTCTTTTATGCAGTGCTTCAGATGTTGTTTCTCCCTTCTACATCTTCTAAATGTGCTGAAATACTAACCATTCGCATATCCCAACTTCTTCTTTCTTTCATGTGATTTTGACGTTCTTCAGATCGTCCGTCCTCACCGTGCAAACATCGTAAGCAAATGCCTTCAATCGGAGGATATCACCCATATGGACTGGCCAGTGTTCTCACTGGACTTGAAACCAGTAGAGCATGTGTGGGACATGCTTGGCCGACGAGTTGCAGCCCGTCAACCTACTCCTACATGTCTATTGGAACTTCGGAGAGCAATGCTTTTTGAGTGGTGCAATATCCCCCAAGATCAGATCGATAATTTGATACTCAGCATGCCTAGGCATTGTACGGACTGTATTGCATCGTCTGGGAGACATACAATGTATTAAGAATTATACCCAACTATGTAATATTTGTTTTTTGTAAATAGGCTTTTTTTTTTAATTTGCTCCAGGGAGAAAAATTGCTAATTTTTTTAATAATATCAAACATATAACATCTTTTTTTGCTCTTTACTTTTTGTTTAATAAATAAGCTTTACAAATAAGTCAAATTTGTTTTGCTTCTAACTTTTCTTTTACCTGATTTTGCATTATCCTTAATTTATGGACGTGAGTGTATTTTATATCAGAATCATAATGTAAGTAGTTGAATAAATTGAATCATGCGTTATAAACGAAATTAAAATCAGTTTTGAGTTCTTTTAAAATGGTGTTGCTGTACAATTTGAAAACTGCCTAGAAACTCCTGTTTTTCATGTTTCATAGACAAAAAGGTAAGAAATTTTACGCAAAGAGCCAAAAGAAGTGAAATTCAATACCAGTAAAATTCCAAATATTGAAAAAATATGAAAAGTAATAATTAAAGAAATGTAAAACTAAAACCTAGTTTTACATTTCTTTAATTATTTTAACCCTTGGGGGGGGAGATATACAAAAAAATAAATAAATAAAAGACAAAGTAAAAAGATGAGGTTACATCAGATTCAATTACATTCCCACTCAATTTCACTTCTTTTGGGTCTTTGTGTAAAACTGGTTCTAAATTTCTTACTATTTGTTAATACTGATCAATATTCAGCAGTGCATTGCACAGAAATACTTGCAATAATTATGTTTTTAAATCAAAAAAATTTTGATACTATGTATATCTTGGCTTGTAGAGTTATTTTATAACTTAATTGTGTTGGAATTTGGCATTTTATATAATTTTTCACACACTAGTGTTTCAAGAAAGGTTGATTGTTCATGTAAGTTATTATTGTTATTATTTTTTTTTTTATTTGTTCAGTGCAATCATCACTGAACAGAAAGTTCATGCTTTTTCCTAATTTGTTTGGATTGGAGATTAGAAACTATTTTTTATACTGCAAACTATGTAAATTTAGATTTAAATTTGGCACCCTAAAATCTGTTAACTTGAATGATCCTTTTAATTTCAGAATAGGAAGAAAAAGAGGAAATGAACTGATAAAAGTAGAAACATAAATGTTAATAAACAGTAATATTGTCAACTGAAAAATATTTGTTATTATTCAGTACCAAAAAATGGAAATAATGCAGTACCAAAAAATGGAAATAATTAAGTTTGTAATAGGCTTGAATAATGTATTTATATTTCTTTATATCTGTTTCATAGAAGAGGGACTGAAAGTTAACAAATTATTTTATTCCATATTTAAAAATGATTTGCTTATGAACAAAACTGTGTTGAAAGTGATTTGCTTTTTTCCTTTTCTTATTCACCATTTTTCGTCTGTGTATTAAAAATAAATTTTATGTAATGTTTTAAAAGTGTGTTTCTTCTTTAGCTTGCCCATCCAATATTAAATTCCCTTAAGGATACAAGCAAGGAATGGGTTGTTGAATTATTGTACACATTTAACAGTGGAAATTTATCAAAGTATGAAGAACTACGTAAATTTTGGATAACACAGGTATGTTTGAATACATAATGTTTGTGTAGGCATATTCAGAGCAACTGTATGTAACAGATAATATAAATCATACATATATAAAATCTTTGTAAAAAAGTGTTTTTTTTTTTAAAGCTTCTAAAACATTAAACATTTTTAAAGCCATAGTGTTAGCATGATGTATATATAGTCAGAAACAGTACATTATACAGTCAAATACCGAAAATCCGCCAACTCCTGAAATCCGCGTTGGCTCTCAAAATATAAACATTCAGTTTATAGGTTCCGGAAACTGCAACATGGAGTACGAAATATCAAAGAAAAAATACTTACCCAATAATGACATCATAATTATCAAATAATAATGAGTCATAACGGAAATACCAAATTATTGACATCATGATAAAAGTTTTTTCCCCTCTAATCTGCATCGAGGTAAGAATGCAGACGATTCACTCAACTCTTCTTTCAAGTTCACGATTCACGTTGTATTTTCTGAGCTTTCTTATTTCACAAGATTATTTAGTGCTGCCTTTTTTTTATCCGGATATTTTGTGGATAAATTAAGAATATTTTTAATTTCAGCCCTTTTTAATACATTGACCGATAAGAAACGTTCTCATGATTTTACTGCTTGCAACGTTGAAAAATGTAAACACCTTGCATTGACGGTAATGCAAAACGTGCAAATTATGCAAAAGATGGAGGCAGGTTCCACTTTTCGGTTTATAGCAGAATCATATGGAATTGCGACATGATTGTGTATGATATACAGAAAAAAAAAAAAAAAAAGAAAAGAAAAGCTGTTGAAATTTTACAGCAACAGTGATTCTAACACTGGAATCCGAAACTGGAAATCTTTGCATGAAGCGAAATCGGTAAACCTGGATGCTGTGTACATATAATACAATGAATAATGTAATCAATTTATATATGTAATAATAATTTAATGCATATAATAAATTACTGCAATAATGTATATAATAATATTAAATGTATCTAATATGCCTTTTTTATTTTGCACTTTGAGTCTGAATATTATGATTTATCTTTTCTGTTCTGAAATCCACAAAATCCAAAAATCCGCACAACCTCTGGTCCCAAGCTTTGTGGATTTCTGGACCTTCTACTGTAGTATGAAATAGTAAATTATGCTTAGAAAAAGATGAATAAAATTTTTATAAAATATCTTTCTGATTCTAAAACATCCATTTCTTTATGTAGGCTGACCTTGCTGCCCATGAAATAGCTCTACGGCAAAAAATCTCATTGCTTTGTTTGATGGAAGTATGAATTCTTGATTCCTTCCGTGTATTTTTATCAGTATTTTTCTAAATTAGCATATTACTTATATACTGCATACCATATACTTACATATATTTTTAAAAATCCACTGTGATACACTATTTTGTATAAATATATTTAAATTCTTATTTGATATTTTGTTTTGATGTACATAAAATTCAAGTTTTATAAACTTCTGCTAAATGTAATTTTTGTGAGAGAAGCCAAGAATTCTAGATTTCATTAATATGTACTGTTCTAGTATCCTTTCTTTATTAGTTTATTTTATGAAATCTTGTTTTTCATTATATTTTTGATAATTATGCCTTTTTAAAAACATTTTAGATGACATTCAAACGACCTGGTAACAATCGGGTGTTAACATTTACTGAAATAGCAAATGAGACAAGGCTACCAGAGAATGAAGTAAGCACATCAAAGTCATAATTTCTTATAAGTTATGCAGTTATAGAAGGATTTATAGGAAGTTTGATTGTAGTATATGGAACAGTGCATTTAATGTAATTAATTAAAAATTTAAAAGCAGGGCAGATATAAATGAGAATGATGAAGTGGCTTTAAGGAACAAACATAGTTAAAAACCTTATTATAAAGTTACCCCTAAATACTTGGTAAAGGTAATCTGTGAAGGGGGTAACCTAATATACACAAACAACTGAGCAATGTAATCAAAGTTATAATATATAGAGAGGGAAAAGTAAGTGAATGAAATGTTAATATAATAAGGGTTAACAAAAATATTTTAAATAAAATTGAGTTTTTTAGTGATTGTAAATTATTCTTTAAATTTAAAAATGCATATAACCCTCCCTTCCTAAAGTTCCATAATTACTACTTGAAAACCCCTGAATTTGTAAAACATTCTGAATAATATCTTTGAATTGTAGCTTGCTGTAATTTCACAAAATATGAAATAATTTTTAAATCTTGAAACATTTTGAATTTGTTTTCATTTTTCTCTATGTATTATTAAAAATTTTACATTTCAGTAGAAAAATAATACCATAAGCAATGTTACATTATTAGAGGTTTCAAGTTCTGTCATTTTTTTATATTTGAGAAGGGAAACATGCTAGTTAACTGTCTAGTGCATTTTATTTATACATTGTATATCAAGAAATTTTAAGGGAATAGTGTTTGAGTTACCTTTTAATGATTAATATTTTGTAAGTGAGTGCAGTCTTATAAAATTTATTATAGAATAACTGTTTTACTACTTTTATAAAGCAAATGTATTTTTTAAAAATTGATTTACAGGTAGAACTCTTGGTGATGAAAGCCTTGTCTTTGGGTTTGGTTAAAGGCTCTATAGATCAAGTTGATAAAACTGTAAATATGTCTTGGGTTCAGCCACGTGTTTTATCACTAGAACAGGTATGTTTAAAAGCATATATATATATATAATTGTGATAATTAATGTAATTGGAATTAATTTAAAAAGAATAACTCAGTATATCAGAAGATTTTAAAGGATTGGCTGAAAACCTTATTAAAGTTTGAGTTACTGTCTGTAATTGCCATTTCTTAGAATTTATAAAACAACTGTCAAAAATAAATGTAATAGTTAAATCTCCTTTCTAGATTTCAAATATGAAGCAGAAGCTTGACCGTTGGTGCCAAGAAGTACAGAGTATGGAAGTGCTTTTGGAAAATAAGGCATATGATATTTTAACATAGTTTATTTATTAACTTCCAATCATTCATCATGCAATGTAAGCAGTTATATTGAATAAATATTTTAAGGACATTTCTGACCCAAATATTTATTTGTATAGCTAGAAACAGCTGTTTTGGGGGAAGAAAATTTTCTAAAAAAATTTTCATTTTCATGAATGCATAATAGTAGTCTAAATAATAAAATGGAATGTAAAAGTTGCTTAACTCTTGTAAAATTTATGAATGTATGTGGAATACAAACAATGGACAGAATACTGCAGTTTCCAACTTTATTCATAGTTTAATGTAAAGTTCTTTTAAAATAATACTTTCAGAGCATAGCATATTCAACACTGATTATAAGTATCTGTTAATTCAATTTTATACATGTCTTCCATGACGGGCTTTAACTATAAACCTTCTGGCCATGGCTTGGACTTTTACAATTTTCTTCACATGTGTCTCATATAGGCGGGAAAGATATTCTTCAGCATAATATTTTAAGAATACCTGGAAGAAATTTAAACACCATGAATAAAAAGGAATAATAATAATGTGTAATAAAATAGCCTAGTTAGCATTCATTTTTTCTCTGGACAGGCTGCTCAGGCCTGTCATTTTTCATTTTTCATTTTAAATCTATTTACATCCTGAATTTTCTCTCAGTTCTTCTAAAATTTTTCCTTCGTGTTATTTTTTGCTTTCTTTTCTTTTTTGTTGAGGGGGGTCATTAGTCTTATATTTTGAACCTGAATTCGTTCATGTAGTTTTGTTTTTTATAATTAGCCAACCCTGATAATTTAGTTAGGGTGACCAGTTTTCCATTCTGAAAGTAAGAGAGATTTAGCTAAAGATGGTATTAGTCCTTTTTTTTTTTTTAGGGGGGATGTGATGACATGACTCCAATAAATATTGATTTTGAATTGAATTTGATATTGAATTGATATTAAATATAAAGTAATACAAATACAAAGTAATACTTTCTGTAAATACCATCTAAACCCAGACAGTCATCTCCAGAGCCTCATACAACAAATGTACCTTGCTTTCGCTTGATAAATAATCATTTTTGTAGAGATTGAGAGTCCCACTTTTCTGTGGCCTAAAATCCAAGTATTCAGCTCTGCTTCATGTTCAGGCCATTGTGCAGTTCCCCTTCATAGATTATATTTACTGCAAGTTTTTTTTTTTTTTTTTTTTTAAGATCCTTTTTCTGATTCTGCCAAGTTCTTATTATTTTCTCAGTTGGAGGTGGCTCGAAATGCCTTTCTGCTGCTCTGTTTCCATGTTCTGTTTAAGTATACGTAATCACACGTAACTTGTGTGCTGTGTTATAGCAATGTCGACATTGTTTTTAAGCGATGACTTGCCAACAAATTTAAGAAAATTGCACAGTCGAAATTTCACACACTTAAAAGTCATTAAAAAAATTGGAAAGTTTAAATAAACATGTGATCGTCGATACAGCACATGCACATTCATTGAACTTTACGCAACTGTAATATTCCCACACTCCTTAAGGAAACAAGGAAGAAAAAAAAATAACCCGAACTCCAAATAGAGGAAATTTCCAGAAATGAATGTAATCAAGATCTGAGTACCGAAGTAAGATGCACCTCGTTTTTCAGACCTGTTTTCAAAGAAAAAAAAGTGTGTCTTGTATGCTGGCAAATATGGTATTTTTTTGTGGAGTCATATTGTAAGATATAGTTATTCTTGTGGATTCTCAATTTAAAAGTTATTTTTACTCAAAAAATAAACCTGCAGCAAATTTTCATCTGATCTGAATCTTAAAACAGAATGGTCAAATCTAGGCCAGACATTGACAACTTTTTTTGGCAGTGGGTGAAAATCCACCAAAATGTGTGTATTAAGATGTTTTGGGTCAGTGGTATTTTCATTTTAGATCAGTCTTGGTGAATAATAAGATAAATTTTATTGAGAAAAATAATTACGATATGCTTATAAAGTATTTCCTCCCTCCTTTTGGCATGCTTTCATGGTGTAATGGTAGCACACTTGGTGTGGATTCGAAAGGTCCAGGTTCGAGTCCTGGCGAGAGATTGCTTATACTTCAATTCTCCAGCTTAAAAATAACCAAATGATTCTAAAGTTATGCCTGAACTAAAAAGGTGAACGATAGTTCATCACAACCAGGATTTAGTGATAGGGTCTCCTAATTCCCAGTCGTCCTTTAAAAGGGGGAGTATATAAAGTATTTTCTTCCTCCTTTCAGCATGCCTTTATGGTGTAACTGAGCACACTTGGTGCATATTTGAGAGGTCCAGGCGAGGGCTTTGCTCATTTTTTACCTCTCTAGCTTCAAAATAACCTAATGACTCTACATACTTTAAACATAAAAATTAAAACTCTAATTATTATAAAAACAAGCATAACTGTATTTTTTTCTTCAAGATCAATAGCTTCTCAGATGCTAGTTTAGTTAAGTTTGGCTTGTCATTAGTTGTCTTATAGACAAATACAAGCATCTGAATTTTCAGCATTTAAGCTGCTTCTGTTCTTACTTAAAATAGCTATCATGTGCGAAAATATTTGCTCGCATTTATAAGTTGAACTGAATGTCGGTATAAAGGGTAACTTTCTTTGGGGTTAAGGAATTATGGATTATGGATTAGCATTGCAAACGTACTGATTTCTCCTTGAAATTATAAATGCATGTTTGTTTACTGTAAGTTTGTAATCAAGCAAAAATGTTATTGTTATTAGATATTTTTTATTTATTATTATTTTGTTATGTATCCTAATTGCTTATTCCATGCTCTCTAATTGCCTGCTCTTTGCCATTTTCTATATTTGATTTCATTTTATGAAAGCATTTTAACATATATCTGATTTTAAAGTTGTATTTTTAAACATTGTTCACCATAATAGGCTTTTTCTTTCTAAAATAATAATTATTTATAAAAATACATTAAATTAATTTTTTTGTTGCTTTTGATTACCAAATAAAGTATTCATTTATAAAGAAAACTGCATCTCTTTGAGTTTGTCTTTAATAAGAACCCAAGTGAAAGTTTTTTCTGTCTTTTTACAATTAGGTGTTAAAGTATTCATGAAATAAATAGTAGAAAAATATTCTCATAATGTTATATTTGTGATGATTAATTTGTTGCATTTGAGGGTTTATAAGATACAAACTGAATCACATCTCTCATATACTTTACCTTATTTAGTCCCATTTTCCAACCATCCATTTTAAGTCTGATCAATAAAAGCTGACAGTTCTGTTTATTTAATTCTACTTCTTCATCAAAATCGAAAGCTAGGTATTTGTATCTGGAAAAAAATTTAATAGCACATTAAGGTTTAGTATGATTATAATAAAAAAAATATAGTCTGTTTAGCAGAGCATTGAAATCATAAATAGTGTTGATTACCTATTGATCCTAATTGGCCAAATATAGTTTTATAATGGGCTAATTCCACAAATAAATTAATCATGTTTTGCAATCAAAAAATATTTATGATCTGTTTAAAGACATTTTATCAAACTTTGTAAAACCAGTCTGTGTTTTATCTTTTTATTCTATATATGATGTGATTTATGGTGAAATTAGAAAATCAGAAGAAAGATGAAGATTTGGTAATAGGAGCTGCAACTACAAAAGTAGTGGAAGAACTTTCAATAGAAGACAAAAATAAGTTTTATCTTCATGTTAGAAGTTACTTCTGTCGAGTATGTGATTACATACATAAATTTCCAGTCAACGATGATTTTGCATGCTAAAGTTGCTGATGTTTCTGCTCTAGCAAATGCATCTTTTTCTGATATAAAGTACTTTTTGAACAGATTACCTGTGTTACTTCATTTAATCATGAAAGATGATGATATTGATGTTGCCACCGATAAAATATTGCAGTTTACAATTAGAAAACTTGGATGTAGTTATAAAATCAGCTAGGATTGACACCCAGTGGAGTTTAATTGGAAAACAAGTTAATTGTAAAAGGTGCTGATGGAATTTTAAAATATAGTGAACTGTGTAGAATTATGTTGGCCATCATGGCAGTTCCCCATAGTAATGCAGAGTGTGAGAGGATTTTCAGTATTGTTGTGAAAAAGATGACTAAATTTGGATCTAAAGTTAGTGATGACACATTAGAAAAACTTTTATTAGCAAAAGCAGTTCTATGTGGGAATTGCTATTAACAAAATTATGAAGTTTCTTTCTTAACGAAAGCAAAATCTGCCATTGTTCATAACATTTGTATGAAAACTGATTTAAAGTGCCTTTTTTTTTTTTTTTTCTTAAACGATGCAAGTAGTAAAAATGTTTTTTATGTGTAAGGTATTTTTGTGTTAGTTGCATTTAAGAATTAGTAACTATTTAAAGTTAATTCATTATCAAAAACTATATTTTTATCATTTAAAAAGTCTTTTTTAACATTGTGAAAAATCTGATGTCTTAAAAAAATCTCCTGATTTTTGAGTGTATTAGGCTGGAAAGTATGAAATTGAAATTATGCTAAATGAAAGTCATATTAAAGTTCCTGAGTGGTCAGTGATTAATGCAAGTTAAAATTATAAAAAGGCTTATTTAATCTTTTCTATTACAGTACAAAGTCCGAAATCCGGACTGGTTGGGACCTTGGCGATTCCGGATGTGGTATTTTTCCACATAATAAATCATCAATTTAAATCTGGTAAGATGGCATGCAGAAACTATACAATTAAAAATATGAAATTGTAATTTATGAAATAAAGAACAATTATAATCTAAATGGTATCAAAATTTATCCCCCTCCCCCCCAAAAAAGGCTTAATATTTATTTGTTTACTTTTTTAAACATTTCTGTCAATGTAAGTTGCTTAAGATGCTTTCACAAAAAATTCAAAAAGTTCCTTTTTCTTTTTTCTTGTGTTATATACAGTGGACTTTCCAATGCCATACTCCTCACATAATTTTGAGACGGATACGCCTTTATCCATTTTTTGCAGCAATTCCACTTTTTGTTTAATGGACATCGAAACACGGTTTCACTTTGTAGATCCTTTGGCAACTCCAGTATTGAAAACTCTTTTCAACATAATCTAAAGTTCAAGCTTAGTTTTTATAAAATTGCCGTAATAATAACAGTCTGCAAAAAATAATAAGCTGGATCAAATTAGAAGATCAGGGAGCAGTGCAGTCTGCTACGTTAATTGAAATGCCTTAGAATCAGTAAAGATAATTTTAGCCTAGCTTAATAGCGTCCGTTATACATTATTGGCTGTTTATCACAAGATTGGCGATGAAAACCAAGTTGTTTGGCTAAATTTTGTCTTGCTCATACTGTGTCCTGAATTAAGCCTGAATTGTATTAGTTTAGTTATTTACTATACCTACGTTTATTTCTTGCACATGCTTCAAACTAATCCGAGTCCTCAATAAATAAACTCCCACATATACTTAAGGCTTTATCTAGGGCCGGCGCTTGATACTGCCTGCTGCTGTCTCTATGGGTCCTAAATTCTGCTACAAAATGCTTTCCTAAGTTTTAAATTTTCACCGTGCCTAAACTTTGGTCCCAGTGCTTTCCCTAAATCATAAAACTTCTTTTCTCTTAATTTTGCCACTCAGTGCTTCCCCAAATTCCAAAAATTTCATCTTCTTTAAATTCTGCCATCCAGTGTCAACATATTTTGCCACCGCTTCTGGATTTATGGTGAATAACATATCAGTTATTCTTAATTAAAATAACACTAAATGTAATCTTTTTGCATTTTTAGCATATAAAAAGAATTTTTTGTTGTCAACATTTCTTGGAGCATTTAAAAATCTATAATCATCGCCAAGCGTAATGTGAGCGTAAAAGGTTGCCATACTCTTGTTATTTAATTACTAATATAAGAAAGGTTCAGACATCACAGCATGAGTTATTGTTGAAGCTGTCATGTATTGATAAGCATGCGGTGATGAAAGCAAAATATAATAAATAATGGGTCGGCGTCAGGGATATAAAATAGGTGAATGTTTCGGTTTGAGATGTATGCCAAGAAGATACTCGGCTACGGAGCCCAGTTATTAATCTCACAAATTTATGCTTACATGATTGTTTTTCCATAACGAGGTATTTTATTTAGTGCTTAAGAGAAATTAAAAATCAGAATTTTTAAGTGAAAATCTCCACGTGTTTTATTATGGAAGCAAAAATCAAATGTGCATGCGTAAAGCATTAATAAAAATATTTGTGGTTTTGAGGTCCGAATTTTAGATCATTTCGGATAATGGATGTCCGGATTTCGGACTTTGTACTGTATTAAAGTTGTCTGTTTTATGAATTATTTTAAAGAATATTACAATATTTCTATTAATTTGAAACGTTTAATAAGAGGTTAGTAATTCTTGCAACATCTCAAACATTTTCACTAATATTAACTCACTAATACTCAATTAGGACCATTAATAATAATCAGACAGTTGTCACTAAATGTTTAAATGAAGGGAAGAGTCGCATAATTCTCATTACAAATGGGCCCACCAGCGGCCGAGCGGTAAAATCGCTGAACATTGGTATTTTGGTTCGAAGTTCGAATCCTGTGAATGGGCTGGCTGTATAGGCAGTTTTGTAATTTTCTCCAGGTGTAACATGTATATGAGCCAATTTTCCTTAAAAGGTCCTCCATGAAGGCATCCCTCCCCTTAGGCAGACAGCCCTCGATGCTTTACCATAAACACATAAACAAAACCTCATTACCAATAGAAAATCAGAAATCACTTTAAAGGATGTGCTATTTTTGTGACAAGCATTCAACCAATTTGTGAAGCAAAGGGGAAAAGACTTTTGAAATAAATATTGAGAAGTGCTTTTCAAGCAAACACATAAACAGCAAGCTAGTATGCTTTGCCATAATCTACCAAACCAAACCATGGATGATAAGAGAGCAATACATTTACAATTTATAGATTATTGTGTATATATATTGTGTAAACCAAAATGTCCATATGATTTCTTTCATTGCAATATTCATTTCGTGGGTGAGATACAACAACAAATATTGCACCTTGAAGTTTACCTGTATGAAAAAGCCATATTTTACTACTTGCATATTAAAAAAATGTCATTACTACCTGTTAAGGAATTCTGAAAACGATAGTCTTCGTGCATAACCCTTTTGCCTTATCATGATAGTTTCCATGAGTTTAAAAGCACGCAGCTGGTGTACGACATACTGAGGATCAAATCGAATGTCTTCTCGGCACGAATCAGTAGGCTGCATACATACGACCAAATGTGGGAAGTCTTCAGTTATCCCTTCAAGCAGTTTCGGTAAAAGAAACCGTGTTTGTTCTGCTAAAGACGAGTTCTCATCTGATAGCTAGAAAAAAATACGATCGATATTATCATCATTGCACATATTATCAGGGAAAATTGAATAATATGTAAAGTCATGAAATGAGAAAATCAGAATACATAAGTTCTTCACATATTTGACTGATCAAGAAGGCTGGAATGTTATTGAAACGCAACCCCCTTTTTTAAACTAGCAGATACATTTTGGATGCCGAAAAATTTTAATAGATGTAATACGTATACAGATGTAATACAGAGCTTGGAAAACGAGTGGCCATACTGAATGTAATTAAAACTGAGTAAAAATTTTAAATTTACAAAAAATGAGAAAATAGTTTGAAAGGGTGTATTACAGGCTAATTATCAATAGGAATTAAATGGATAGAACATTTATTGCAATGCAAGAATGAGTTTTGAAGACTACTAAAGTATTTAAGTGTTTACATATTAGGTTATTATGCTGACTGATTGAAATTTTCAGTCTTTATTCTTAGTTGCAAGATGGGTGATTAAAAACTTTTAGCGCGTATATGTGCAGTTTTTCGATTTTCAAAATAATGTCATTTAAAAATTTTCTTTTCCAAATATACTTCATATGGCATTTATTTATGATTATTATTGCACTCGATTATGATTATTACAGGATTCTTATTAGCACACAGTATTTGATAAAATACAAATACATTGATTGATAAATAAATATATGTGCTATTGTATATTGTAAAGAGAAATGATGAATGGTACGTGAATGGTATGAAGCATATTTTCTTTTTTTTTTACTTCATATAAGACACATACGTTCGAGCTTACCAAGATTGCACTAATCAAGTTGTTTCTATTAATGCAAAAGCTAGCTACTGTTGGAACATTGCTGAATGCATTTGAAAATAGTTATGAACCAGTGAGATGAGCGAGATATGATTTAATGTTGTTGCCCTCAATTATGGGAAAATGAAAATGACTGCTTATAATGGAAAACATCTGGGAAAGAAAACTCTTAGCAGGATTAGCAGAACATTGGTAATATTTAAGCAGAGCTAATAAATAGCCTTTCTCTTCCCTCTCCCAATAGAAAGCAATGAAGTAAGTCTGATTGGATTGTTATGCATTGTTCTTCAGTTTGAAGAACTGACTTAATTGGTAGGTAGCTAAAGGTCAATGTTATTACATATGAAAAGGAGTGCAAAGGATTACTTCATTCTAATTGCAAAAATTGTATGAGAAGCTCAGGTAAAATTTTCGCATGTAGCATTCGACAGATTTTGAGAAATGGTACATGACTGACGAATGATGATCTAGATCGGTAGTCTTAAACAGCCAAAAGTTTCATTTCAAGAAACTAGAAACGGCTCAGAGACACTGGTGATGTATACAGGTAACTAAATCAAAGTCGGAAATGGACCACAGCAGACTGACTCTTAGGATAAAAATTGGACTTTGGCAAAAGTTGTTTCAAGTATTTGGCAACAGCTGATATCAGCCGAGATTGCTAAGGAGCTTGGTGCAGCTGCAGTATTTTGACTATCCAGCTGTACTGTGAATAACAGGCTGCATAAAAGATGTATATAAAAAAAATTAAAATAAACCAGTACAAGAAATTGTTTTTTCTTGTAATGGTTTATTTTAATTTTTCAGAATTCTAATTCTACATTAAGGATTTCTTGAACTTTATTTATTGAATTTCACCTTTTTGTCTGAAACACTGGTTCTAAATTTCTTTTTTTTTTAATATACATATATATATATATATATATGTAATATTAGCACAACTTTGGAAACATTAATGTAAGAACACTGAGATGTAGATGCGTAGAAATGCTGGTTGCAAATATACTTGATGCTTAGAACGTCCATCCATTTGAAGAATAAGCAGTCAAGCTGGATTAAATTCTATATTTATTTAAATTTAGATTTGTGGCCACAATTCACTTGGAACTCCAATCGTGCCTATTTCCAGAACAATTTTGATACTATTGTGATCATAGCACATACAGGATTGTAGCAAAGTGACTGGCCACGAGGAAAGCACAAGCAAAAAAGGGAAGAGTGTCGCAGTACTTCAGAGGAAGAAGAGAGGAAGTCAAGTTTCAGTTCGAGTTAGTTTTAGTTTACAATTATTTTGATTGGGCAAGGGATATCTGCAGTAAGCAATACGTAAGATCACATGATTAATTTTAATGATGCAGTTTAAACTTATGGGTCTATTTCTAAGAGAGAGAGATGAAGTCCCCCAAGTAAATAAAAAATAAAAGAAGTTGTAGCCAATTAAAATTAGAAGTTTGCTTTCATACTTTTTATCTTGCATATATAATATTTTCTAGTAGATTATTGAACATAGTATTGCCTTTGAAAATAAAATAGTTAAGTTAGAATTCTATTGAAACCAATTTACACATTAGCATATCTTGAATTATTAAAATGGAATACAGTACAAAGTCTTTAATCCAGAATTGTCGGGACTTCGGCGATTCCGGATTAAGGTTTTTTCCGAATTATAGATCATCAATTTAAATCTGCTAAGATGGCATGCAGAAATTATAAAATTAAAAATATGAAACCTTAATTTAATATAGAGCAATTATGATCTAAAGGGTATCAAAATTTACAAAAAAAAAAAAAAAAAAAAAAGAAGCTTAATATTTATTTGTTTACTTTATTAAACATTCCTTTCAATGTAAGTTGTTTAAGTTGCTTCATTTTATGTTCTAATACTTTCTCTTTAATTCTATAAACAGACATAATTTCTTGTTCAGTTACAAAGTTCCTCAAGTCCTGTAATTGCTGTGCCGAGAATACCGACTACTTGTCATTCGAAATTTTTTCGTTTTCACTAACCTCTCTGTCACTTTCTTCATGCCTTTATCCATTTTTTGCAGCAATTTCACTTTTTGTTTGATGGACATTGAAACATGCTTTCACTTTGTAGATCCTTTGGCAGATCCAGAATCGGAAACTCTTTTTGACATAATCAAAAGTTCAGTTCAAGCTTACTTTTTATAAAATTGCTCTAACAGTCTGCAAAAAATAATAAGCCTGATCCAATTAGAAGATTAAGAAACAACACAATCTGCAACATTAACTGAAATAGATAATTAGATCATTTTAGCCTAGCTTATACCGTCAGTTATACATTAAAAGTATACGTAGGAGCTACGCATGCGCAGAAAGTTTGTAGCTTTGAGATTCGAATTATAGACGTCTGGATTAAAGACTTTGTACTGTAATTAAAAGCAAAATTACAACCAACAAAATAGGTAATTCTAGTCATTGACAGAAATTAGTTGATTTTTCAAGGGAATATATATATAAATAAATATATATACTCACATACACTACTGCAAATATTTACAAAACATAAAGACAAACATGCATATATACAGTCAAAAGTCGTTAATTCGGACACCCATAATCCGGAATGATCTATAATCCGGACCTCAAAGCTAAAAACTTTCTGCGCATGCGCCGCGTTGGCACATGCGCACAGGCGTTTTACGCGTGCGCGTAAGACCTTGACTACTGCGCATATGCGTGTGCGCAAGTGCAGAATACGTTTTCGCCTGCGCGTTTAATGTATAACGGACGGTGTAAACTAAAATTATCTAATTATCTATTTCAGTTAATTTTAATGATTGCGTTGTTCCTTAATCTTCGATTTGGATCCCGCTTATTATTTTTTGCAGACTGTAAGAGCAATTTTATAAAAGTAAACCTGAAATTTCGATTATGTCAAATAGAATTTCCGATGCTGGAACTTCCAAAGGATCTACAAAATGAAAGTGTGTTTCGATGTCCAACAAACAAAAAGTGGAACTACTCCAAAAAATGGATAGACATGAAGAATGTGACAGAGAGGTTAGTGAAAACGAAAAAATTTCGTTTGACAAGTTAGTCGGTATTCTCGGCACAGCAATTAACGGGACTTGAACAGCGGAACTTTGTAACTGAAAAAGAAATTATGTCTGTTTATAGAATTAAAGAGAAAGTATTATCACATAAAACGAAGCAACTTAAACAACTTACATTGAAAGAAATGTTTAATAAAGTAAACAAATAAATATTAAGCTTTTTTTTTTGTAAATTTTGATACCCTTTAGATCATAATTGTTCTTTATTTCATTAATTATGGTTTTATATTTTTAATTTTAGAATTTCTGCATGCCATCTTACGAGATTTAAACTGATGATCTATAATCCGGAATCGCCGAAGTCCCTACGAGTCCGGATTAACGACTTTTGACTGTATATACATATTCACTCTCATTTTGTTAAAAATAAATCCTTCTGCAATTTTCATGCAATTCAAGTTTGAGAGCAACGATGTAGAGATAATCGTGTTTGGAGTTTCACAGGCTGGAGCCAAACTTTTTTTATTGTTGAGTCTTGTTTTTGTTTACAGAGTTATTCCAAATGTCTTAGAATCTGAAAGTAGCAAAACACATGCAATAAGCCTCAAGGCATTTGTACAAAGATGATGGAATTATGCTATGAGCTGGCATCATTTTGAACGGCTACTTTATGCATTTATCAAGACAGCAGTGCGTGCTGAAATACGAGGTTCTTGATTCTTACATCAAGTTGTTTAGGAAAAAGTTGTTGGTTAAATCTTCCTTCTAATGAACAAATGCTTTTTTCATCGCTAATTCCTTCTAATGTTTATTCCGATGGCTCTGCACTTTGACGCATTATCTTGAAAGAGAAGTAATCCAGTGGAAGGAGTGGGCCGCATGTTTTCTGAATTTAAATCTGATAGAACATTGGTGGGATGCACTAAATTGCTGACTTGCATCACTGTAGCTCCTGGCATTCTATTTCGCATTCTTCAATGGCTTTAAGGCACTATTTATCTTGAATATACTTTGTTAACATAGGAAATCTTGGACAATCAAACGCATAGCACGGAAAATCTCAATAAAGCTTGCATTTTGGTCAAGGTTTATCAAACCTTATTACTTTTTTGTTGTATCTCTAAAACGTCGTGTGACGCCAACGTTTAACTACTCGACAACATATTCCAATTCTTATATTAGTATTTTAATTGTTATTCTTTTAATTTTTCCTGCTAATGTGTGCCTTCATCATACGATGCGAGTAAAAGTGTAGCTATACTTCCTTGTAAATTGACTTGCATTTATCAATTTATTCAAAGATTCGAGACTTAGCTCTTATACTGTCAAACTTATGAAGACATGCTATGAAATAAACATGAAATGTACTATTGTGCTGTGTAACTAGTTTTCACATTAAAATATTATGTCTTTCTGCGTATCGTTTTTTAACACATTATTATTTGAGACTGAATTATGCACTAATATAAACAAGCATCTTTTAAATTATTCGATACTTACTTTATTGGCAATGGCTGATGTTATTTGATCATCAGTTCCTTTAAAAGTTTCTATGAATTCCATCTCATTTATATTGCTAATATTTTCTACTGTTAGCTGTTGAATATTGTATGATACCTGCAAATATTTTTATAGCTTTTAATTTACTTTAGATTTTTGTTGTTAACATACATGCACTTATAAAAATTAAACAAGATTAAAAGAATGAAGCATATATTTTATCGTTTTAGATTTAAAGAACTTAATGTTAAAAGGGAAAGCATATATATTATTTTATTATTGGCATCAGAAACAGAGAAATAATGGAAATTTATGCTAAAGAAACTGAAATGATACTCATTTAAAATGGATGCATATTTTAGTAAGATTTTGATGTTTTTAATTCTTGGTAAAGAAAGTGTAATTTAAGAAAATGTTTATTAGCAGACCTGAAAAATAATAGAAAGTAGGGTGGTTGCAATGAAATATGGCTGAGAAAGTGTGAATTCAAAAGTGTGAAGTCATACACACTGAAGTTATACTTTAGAAAGCAGTTCTGTATAATAATGAAGCAAAAAGTGTACTTTGTTAAAATTTCTGAGCAAACTTTTATGCCGTTAAACTAATAAAGCTCCATAAATTATTTAAATTTATACAAAAATGAAAATTTTAAACTCAAGTATGATTCACTAAAGTATTTTAATTTTAATAATAATAAAAATTTAAAATTATGCTAAAAAATTCAATAATGTTTCTTACATGCTTTATTTTATAAATAAAACATTGAAATCTGGAAACTTCTGACTGCAGTTTAGTCATCTAAGAAAAGTTTATGATTAAAATTTTAAAAACATAAAATAGGGTGAAAAAAATCAGTTACATAACATAACTGCATTATTATAAAATAAGCTACAGATATGAATCAATACTTGCGGTGCAGCATGAAAGATTTTAGTCTTTTGTGTGTTTGCGTAGTGGCAGGCAGCACTTGCCAAAAGCTGCATCAATATTCCTTCTTCTCTTTGTGTATCTTCAGCTTTCAAGGCATAATCATGTTTGCAAAGTTTATCTTTTCCATAGAGGATCCCCATGTGTAAGGTGAATACGAACACATTACACATAGAAGCTCTTAGAAATTTCTTCACTAAGTTACCCATTCTTATAGTCAGATAGCCTTCGTAACCTTGGGTAATTAACCTCTAGCTGTTCAAAAAAGAAAAAAATTGCAAAAGCAAGTAATGCAAACAAAACTTGCATTTTTAAAGGGTTCAGTTAATTAGCCTAGAATTAAAATAAATGTGTTATATATATATATATATATAAAGAAGGGGTAGTGCATCGTTTAAGCGGCCATCTCGATCAATCACCAAAATTGGTAACTTAATCGAAAGATTTTGAACGTGTTTAATTCAATGATTACGATATTGTTCACATGGAATTATCGATTCAATATTTTTCTTTCGTTGAAATGTTTACCATTAACATAATAAATTGGAAAAGAAGCAGTTTTTCTTTATTTTTGATATAAGTATATATAACGTGCAACATATTTTATCTTCACGCTCATTTTAGTCTAAGTGATATGTGATGGCATTCCTTTACTTTTTTGCCTCTGAAATGCAGGTTATTTTTAACTTTGCATCAAACAAAACCTAAGAAGTCGTTTCTTTGTGATATCATTTTTTTTCGTATGCTTCATTTTTTTTTATTTCCCTGTGAAGTATAAACTATATTTAACTTACCATCAACTGAAAAAGAAACAGTAATTTTTTCCCTCCAAAAAGCATCAAATTTTGCATACTGAGCGAATATGCAAAAATACTCTCATTTGGGACCATTTTTGCATATTCGCTCAGTATGCAAAAATGGCCCCAAATGAGAGTATTTATTGGGAAGGAAAGTGTTTGGAGATGCAACGTGAAACACCGAGGGGAGAAAATGGTCTTTATACCGGTAACTGATTGTGGTTCTAGGATTCATTCTGTTACTGCTTTGCGCTTCATATACAGTCAGGTTGAAGAATTAACTTCCATCAGATGATGTAATAAACGAATAAATATTTGTGAAAACACAGCTATTGATTGGAAAAATTATATGAGAGAAGTTTATTGCTTGTTTTTGATTAAACACTCAAAAGGTAAATCTAGTGTACCTAAAAAAATTGTCAATATTCAATAATGTGTATTCGTCAAGAGGAAGGGCAGTATATGCAGAATTGTGCCGGATGTTCACATGGAATTATCGATTCAATATTTTTCTTGAATCTTCAGGAGAAATCTTTCTTGAATCTTCAGGTTTGGAGAAATCTTCAGGGAAACAAATGAACATTTATTACAAATACCGGATAACGGAGACTCCAATGAAAATGATAAAGGTCATATATATGAAGGAAGTATAAAATACTGGGACTGCTCACGCGTTTATCACATTGAGGAATTAAGGCTGGTTTTCAGAATTTTACTGTGAATCGTAAGTACAGCATTGAAGTTTCAATATCTTGTGCACAGAAAATCCAGTTACTTTTGGAGGGAGGAATGGCAGAATAAAAGACAAACGGAAAGGCTTACTAACGATTTAATTCATAGTTAGTACTTATGTGGCGTCGATGTGCAGGGCGAAAAAATTATTTGTTTCTATAATAGCAACAATTACTGATTAATTGCTGCAGTAAACCCTCACCAGAATACAAATGAGATTAAATACACTGAAAAGCCAAAACACCACCTACTCAACGCAAACAGCCGCAACTCGCCTTGGCATGGATGCCACAAATCTCTACTTCGCACGAAGTTAAAGAGACTAACGTATTTTTTTAATCTACTTTCTGCAACAGGAGATCTAAAGGATTAATCGAAATTATTTTTAAGAAATAATATTCCTATTAAACAGTATGTGTACGTTTTATTTCTTTATCATACCAAAGGCATTTTTTTTTTTAACTTATTACGTGCTCCGCCCTTAGGCATACACGGAAAGGGAGGGATGCCCTGTGGAGGTCTTTTTAAGGGAAACTGGCTCGTATCCACGTTACACATGGGGAAAACCACGAAAACGCCCATGCAACCAGCCCGTTCGCCGGGATTCGAACCCCGGACGAACTACCAGTGTTCAGCGGCTTTTACCGCTCGGCCGCTTGTGGGCCAATCCAAAAGCATTCAACAACAAAAATGGTGCATGCTTAATAATGGGAATCATTTTCATTATTATTTTTATCATTCAAATTATAGAATTTATCTGACCTTCTACAACAAATTTGTTGTTTCCTCCCCTTCATATATTAGTTAAGAATTCTCTAATTTTACCTTCTATTCCTTCCTTATGGTACTGAAATTGTGAAGGCGAAAGCATCTTTTACTCACAATCTGTCTTTCCTGTCACAATAAAAAATTTTCACAGAATTTAAACAAACAGAAATATTTTTAAATCCTCCCTGAAAACAAAGTTATTTCAGATCGTTATTATTGTAACAGTTGGTTGTAGATATATAGTTACAAAAATACAGGGTGTTTATAAAGTCCCAGACCCATTTTGATGATTAATAACTCATAAAATAATGAAGATATAAACAAACTTTTGGCATTTACTGATGGAATAACTTATATATTTTCCTTTTCAGGTTTGAATACCTTTACTTTTGTAAATATTGTCTGCGTGTGTGGTTAATTTCAGATAATTTCATTTTCCAGTCTAAATATCTGTACTTTTCTAAATATCATCTGCTTATTAATTGCATTTTTCATAATTATTAAGGAGTACTGTAATTAATAAGGAGAATGCATACACCACAAGAGAAAGCACAGATTTTATGGTGGTTCATAGAAACGAAATCCATAATGCAAACACAGAGAAATTGCAGAAGATTTTACCAAAAGGATTAAAGAACTTCGAACTTCAATTAAGAACCAAAAAGAAGAAAGAAAGAGGTTTGTGGAAAACTTCGTATTTCCACAAGCCACGTGTCTTTTTGCAACAAGATGTTGCACCACCTCATTGGGGTACCATCGTTCGTAGTTCTTTGAATGACCATTTTACAGGAAGATGGATTGGGCGAGGAGGTCCAATTCCTTGCCACCCAGATCACCTTATATAACGCCGCTGGACTTTTTCCTTTGGGGATTTGTAAAGGACAACGTTTACAGGAGGAGAGTGTCGAACATTGATGACCTAAAAGCCAGAATTACAACTGCAATAGCCTCTGTGGATGCCGACATGCTTGCTGTTACCTGGCGTGAAATTGAATACCGACTTCATATTCTCCGTGCGACGAAGGGGGCACACGTGGAAGTTCGTTGACAAGGGTCATGAAACTTTTTGAGTCTATCTAACTATTTATGGTATTAATTTTAATCTATCTTTATTATTTTATGAGTTATTAAAGTTTAAAATGGTTCCGGGACTTTATAAACACCCTGTATTTTAAGTGACTTAAATATTCATATTTTAGCATTTTTAAAGTTTAAAAATCAGTTTTATAAAAATTATGAAATAAGACTTTTTTAATGGTTTCCCATTCCCTATGTTTATATTTAGGAAGTTGTTTGAATCATTATTAAAAATAAAAAACAAAAGATTTGACTCCAGAGTGAAAAAAATTGACCGAGACATATAATAACAAAATTTTAGATACTTGACGCAATTTTCAACTTCTTTTGAGGGGTCTGTTTGTAAATAAACTAGAATAATTCGAGGTGCATTTCAAGCTCTACAAACAGGTTATATGATTTTACATATTATATATGCAGATGGAGGACAAAATAATGCGAACACCTGAGAAAAAATATGACGTATTTCATACCTGCAGTACAGCCTCGCCACCTGCAACAGAAGTGTGCCAACTAGTGAGCGTGAAGAGGAAGGTATCAGTCTCTCAACAGCAGTCACCTGCATTGCATGCTTCGATCGAACTGTCTGTGAGAAGTTGAAATGTCAGACCTGTCAGAGTTCCAAAGAGGAATGTTAGTTGGAGCGCGTTTAAGTGGAGCATCGGTTACGGAAACAGTAAACCTTGTGGGGTGTGTAAGCAGTAGGATATCAGCCGTTATGACAGCATACACGAAAGAGGGTAAGACAATGTCTTCAAAGCACAACAGTGGCCGAAAGTCAAAGCTGGCTGATAGGGATAGACGGGTCTTGAAGCGCATAGTAGCCCGAAAGCACAAGCAATCTTTATCTGAGATAACATCCTAAATGTACAGTCATCTCCAGGACCCTTTTTCAACAAAAACTGTCAAAAGGGAACTTCACGCTGCGAATATTTATGGCAGAGTGGCAATTCATAAACCCTTGGTGACAACAATTAATGCTTTCAAGCGCCACCAGTTGTGCAGAGATCACATAGGCTGGCCCCCACAGCAGTGGCAACAGGTAATATGGTCAGATAAATCGTCATTCACCCTATTTCAGACGACCGGACGCGTTTATGTCTGGAGAACATCCAAAGAAGCGTTTCATGCCGACTGATTCTTTCCAACTGTGAAGCATGGGGGGGGCGCCATTATGTAATGGGCTGCGATATCTTGGCGCGGTCTTGCGCCACTTGTTATTCTGCATAAGAGGATCACATCCAATCACTATCTAAGCATTCTAGGGGATCATGTCTATCCTTTCGTCCAGATTGTAACGCCCCTATCCACTGCTAGGTGTGCTAATCTCGCTTGGCCCCCTCAGTCTCTGGACTTGAATATTATTGAACATTTATGGGCATATTTGGAGTCCAAACTTCGTTCCCGATATCCACCTCCATCCGGACTTTCGGAATTAGAGACTGCTCTGCAAGAGGAATGACTTAATATTCCTTTAAATATTGTGCATGACTTTTATGCATCTATCCCACGTCGCATTCAATCTGTACTTCAGTTAAAGGGTGGTCAAACCCCCCTTTTAATAAAGATTTTCCATTATTTCACAGGTGTTCGTATTATTTTGTCCTCGATCTGTATATGTGTTGTCTATAAGCCATTACTGTATTTTTAGTATGTGTCAGAATATAATTTCTTATGATATGTGCTGAATAAGAGCTCTTGTTTGAAAAAAAGGATATTGAGCAATACTTTTCACAACTATGTGTGTAGAAATGCTCCTAACTGAATCAATTAATGCGAGAAAACCTTTTCTAAACTGATATTTTATTTTGTTAGTTTGATACAATTGTCAACATTTTGCTGTCTCTGAATTTGATAATCAATATTAAAAAGATATATCTCGGTCGATTTTTGTCGCATGGTAGTCACACATTTTGTTTTTTATATTTTATAACAACTATAAAATTTCTCTAAATATAAACACGGAGAGAACATGAAAAGTTATACAGTTAGATTTCGTAATTTCTTTAACATTTAAAATGCCAAAAAATTGAATGTTTTTATTACATGAAACAGTTTTGGTACTGGAAATATATATGTCTACTATCCAACGCTTAGAACTTTTGGGGGCACAGTGTATATGTAGGTTTATACATATACAGTCAAAAGTCGTTAATCCGGACTCGTCGGGACTTCGGCGATTCCGGATTATCGATTTTTCCGGATTATAGATCATCAGTTTAAATCTCGTAAGATGGCATACAGAAATTCTAAAATTAAAAATATGAAACCGTAATTTATGAAATAAAGAACAATTATGATCTAAAGGGTATCAAAATTTGCAAAAAAAAGAAAAAGCTTAATATTTATTTGTTTACTTTATTAAACATTTTTTCAATGTAAGTTGTTTAAGTTTTGCTTCGTTTTCATGTGATAATACTTTCTCTTTAATTCTATTAAACAGACATAATTTCTTGTTCAGTTACAAAGTTCCGCTGTTCAAGTCCTATAATTGCTGTGTCAAGAATACCGACTAATTTGTCAATCGAAATTTTTTCGTTTTCAATAACCTCTGTCACTTTTCTTCGCTATCGGAAGCGAATTATAATGACGAGGAACTTGATTTAAATCATATCAAAGACGGAGTACCTCGAGATGAAATACTACATTTAGTAAGGAATTATAAGCCAAATAAAATAAAAACATCTGCCCTGAAGATAAGGATAGTGCTGACAGATCAACTTCCAATTCATTAGGCGCCCGCCGCCGAGCAGCGTGAAATTGATAAACAGATTTCGGATTTCAAAACATACTTTCGCTTTGTAGATCCTTTACATATTAACAAATATATATCGGAAATTCTATTTGACATAATCGAAAGTTCAAGCTTACTTTTATAAAATTGCTCTAACAGTCTGCAAAAAATAATAAGCCGGATCCAATTCGAAGATTAAGGAACAACGCAATCTGCAACATTAACTGAAATAGATAATTAGATAATTTTAGCTTATACGTCCATTATACATAAAATGCGCACGCGAAAACGTATTCTGCACTTGCGCACACTCATATGCGCAGTAGTCAAGGTCTTACGCGCACGCGTAAAACGCCTCTGCGCATGTGTCAACGTGGCGCATGCGCAGAAAGTTTTTAGTTTTGATGTCCGGATTATAGATCATTCCGAATTATGGGTGTCCGAATTAACGACTTTTGACTGTAATACATATAGAGGAACAAATATATTTGTGAAAAGGATACTGTAAAAAACAATTATAAAAGATAAAATGTAAATAAAAATTGATAACCATGAAAAAATGAAATGGCAATTAATAAATAGAAATGAAATAGGTACTTAAGTTGACACTGCAATCATCATAACGATGAGAGCTTCAAATAAAGATGATTACTGCATATTTCTGTTTAGCATATTTATTCAATTTACATTTTGATTTTTTTAAATGCATATACACTAGGCAATGTTGTAAAATAATAAGTTAATCTTTTAGAGGATGTTCTTAAAGCAAGAACAGTTTTAGGAATAAATTTTAAATCAAAATTACAATGATTAGTAGATTTTTGAATACATTTACATCAATATTTGCTTTTTAATGATTTTAAAATGCTCATTATTCGATTAATTTTAAAATAAATTTTTTTTCTTGCTCTCTAAAAATTCCAAAATTTTTGCGAAAGGTATTCCTCGAGGAAAAAATAATTTGTTGAAATGAAAAATAATTGATTGGAAAGAAATAACGACATCAGAATGTTTTAGTTAAAAAAAAATCATAGAACTAAGTTTGTGATATGTATTTAGTGGAAAGATACGTAATCTGAATGAGCACCGTACTTTTCTGCTAGCAAAAAAATCAGTTGTATTTCAGTATAAATTGATTTCATGAGGCGGAAAATTCAAGTTTATGCGCACTTGCATTATTTACACTGCCACTAACCTTTTGAAACATGTGATATACTGTAACTTTATCGTTTTCCACTTCAACACACGCGCATGGCAAAGATCTCATTTTTTCTGAAAGGAGAATATTAAAATTATAGATTCATACGAAGCAAAAACTGGAAAGAAATTAAAAATGATGTCGAATGTTTTGTGCTCAGAGCTTACTCAACCAGTTGAAACTTCCTTTCACACCTGAGCTCTGCAGACCATTCAGCAGAATTTTCTCACTTTCTATCAAGTTATTCAGTGCTTGCTGTTGTAACGTGGATTCTTCGTACTTGAAAGGTATGTCCACGCTCTCTTCTTTGTATTCTTCCTACAAGAAAATTTGATAAACTATCAGATAATGCAGTTCTTTATTACGCATTGCTTAGCAGCCTGTAACACTAAAAGGATAAAGTAATGTTTTATTTTGTATATTCTTAGGTTTAGAATTTTATTGCATTTTTTCTTAAGTATGTTATGTTTCCCACAAAGTGTATTTCTCAAATATGGAATTTTACAAAGTATGTGCTGAACTGACCAAAATGTTCATTTGGTTTTGTCCTTTAATGGATAACACTGTTAATTAACTGGTAATGAATAAGCGGCTTTTCTTATATACCATTTCATAACTTTTACTACCACTTAGTTTATATTATTTTTGGCAAAAGAGAACTGAAATTAAAGATATTTTCTGTATGCCATACAATGCAATATTTCTGTATGCAAGTGTCATGAGCAAGGTTAATTTTGACACGCAAGTTTTTTTTTTTTTTTTTTTTTTGTCTCTGCTCTGTACTTAAGTTTCTTCTGTTACAATCACCAGATATGTAAATTAAGTTCTATTTAAACGACGAATGAAAGTTTTAACAGAGAGTGTTTTTAGCAACACACTTAAAGAATTATTTCTCTTGTGAATTGCCCTTCCTATAAATTGTATAGGTTTCGGTGAGTGGCCTTCAGTCATTTGATAGTGTTTTTGCTTAGAAGTCTTTAGAAGCCAGGTTGTTAGGTATTAAATTTATTATTTGTGTTGTTTATATTTTTGTTGTGTTCCAAAATCATGCAAGGATCAATGATTTAAATTAAAACTGTTGCAAGGATCGATGATTTTTGTAAATTTTTCAAAAAAAAAAAAAAAAAATTGAATTATAACCTATAAAATTTTTACCATCATCTTAAAGTAGGTGTAGTTCTAAGCATACCTGAAAAAAATTAGACTTTTTTATTCAAAATTTTCTAAGATATACACGAGTTTACATATTTTCGCGTTTTAATTTATTTTTTTTTAATTCCAAATTTTTTTTTTTTTAAAATAAAATTTTAATTAATTAAATTTTTTTTTTTTTTTTGTTTTTTGCCAAGGCTCTGTCCCTGAAGACTATTGTTTTCGTTTTGCGATTTTGCGTCGGACTCATAAACGTCGGTTCACTTTTCAAACTGTTGCCACAAAATGTTAGAGTCCTGCATTATATTTGAAGAAATTAAATAATGAAAAATCTGCATATATGATTGTCTATTTCTCGCATTGTGATAAAACAATGGTATATAGAGCCATCGAATTTTGAATGACGAAATCCTACTGCGAATATGGGCATCTGAAATCCCAAATTTGGAATTTGTTTTATTTTATTATAGATTTTATATTTTGTAAAACTTTAACGAATTTTTGATTTACAAACTCAATGCTTTAAAAGCGAGAAATGGCAACGTTATATAGAAAAAAAAAATACTTTTATCTTATCTCCAGCTCGCGAGACTGTGTATATCGGAAATTCTAAAGATATGCTTAATTTAACATTATTTTGCGATATTGCTCTTGAACTGAATTTTATGGTTTAAGTGCAAAGAACATGATATTTAATAAATAAAGGTAACACTCAAAACGTTAAAAAAACGCCCCTTTGGACGTAATTTAAAATCTGAAACATTTCAGATTTTTTTTTTTAATTATATATATTCACTTTTAACTTTTATTTCTTCTCCTAAAAATATTTAGAGTAAATTTTACCTCGCTGTTTATCGCTCTACTTGACGCATTTAAATTCATTGTTAAAATGAGAAGTCATTTGATGTTTTTTTCACAATTTTTTAGCAAGGATATTGAAATTGGGTCAACCCACTTAAAATTATATATAGATAAGTATAATTTTTACATTAATTCTCTTCGAAAGAATGTTTAAGTAGCTAATTTTTTCTCGTGTTATAGATTGTATAAAAAACATGATCTTTAATATGATTTAGATTGACACTCAAAACGTTAAAAAAAACGCCCCTTTGGACGTAATTTAAAATCTGAAACATTTCAGATTTTTTTTTTTTTTAATTATAGATGATATTATTCAAATTTTTAACTTTTTAAATTTCTTTCTTCCTTAAAAAAATATTTGTAAGAGTAAATTTTTACCTTCGCTGTGTTATCGTCTGCTACTTTGACTGCATTTAAATTCAATTGTCTAAAACTGAGAAAGTTCATTTGATGTTTTTTTTCACAATATTTTTAAGCAAACAGGATGTTGAAAGTTTGGGTCATGACCCAGCTTTAAAAATTATATATAGATAAGTATAAATTTTTACATTAATTCTCTTCGAAAGAATGTTTTAAGTAGCTAATTTTTTCTCGTGTTATAGATTGTATAAAAAACATGATCTTTAATATGATTTAGATTGTTTGTAGCCGATATAATAATCGGGTTACTCAGTGGTACAGAATAAACACTGCTATATTGTTTTATTTCTTTGTCATTTAGCAAAAATTCTCTTATTAAAATATTTATCCTTTGGACTTTGCTTTAACCTTTATTTATAGTTAAAATGCCTAGAAAATGAACAGCTGTCTTCAACTGAAACGCAGTTGATATAATTGATATTTAAAAAAGAATGACAAGAATGCAAAATTTATGGAAGTGTAGCAATTGTAAAATCTTAATTTTCTTGTGGTTAGCACTCAAAATAATGTAGAAGGAAAGAAGAAAATTAGGGAGAAAAGTAAGCAAAAATTTGAAGGGGAATTTGGCTGTCAGAAATACCAAGGTGTTTTGAAAAGTTGGATGCTTTTGAATATACTTTCAGAATACTTCAAGGAATTTGGGTGTTCAAAGAGAAAACACTTGGACGCGTACACCAGCAAATACCATCAGTTGAGCTTGTGCTAACGGAAAAGACAGAAACAATATCATTGCAGATTAGTGAAGAATGACTGGTTTTCGACTATATGTTTGTATAAATTTAAATTACGTTATAGAACATCATATCATCATAAACGGAGAATCCCATGATTTCTTAGTCGAATTATTTGAGTATTCACGAATTTATCTAGTGACATATATGGATGTCACCTAAAGACGTTTTCCCTCTTGATGAAACCAATCTTTCCTTTCATATCATTCCTTTAAAATGCTTAGTCTCTAAAGACTGATAAAGGTTGTGACTAAATACTGATGAAATGGATTGAATTGGATTATTAAGTTACGGCAAAGCAGGGCTATCTGTCTAAAAGGAGGGATGCCTTCGTGAAGAACTTTCTAAGGGATACCAGCTGGCATACACGTTACAATGAGAAAAACCAGAAAACTCACATGCAACCAGCCCATTCGCCGGGATTCGAACCCCGGAGCGGATTATCAGTGTTCAGCCACTTTATCGCTTGGCCATTTGTGAACCTTTATGAAATGGAAGGCGATAACTTTATTTAAAATGAATGTCAGAAATACCAAGATGTTTCGAAAAGTTGGATGCTTTTTAATATACTTGCAGAATGCCTGAAGAAAAAGAGCAAGCCATTAGAAGAAAAAATAAATTGTTTGCATAATAAATTTAGTATTTGTTTTAAATTTAAACCTTTTTAATCTTATTAGTCCAAAGGGATTTGAATCCCGAAGGACTATTAGTTTCGTTTTGGTATTTTGCGTCGGACTCATAAATGTCGGTTCACTTTTCAAACTGTTGCCACAAAATGTTAGAGTCCTGCATTATATTTGAAGAAATTAAATAATGAAAAATCTGCATAAATGTATGTATATTTCTCGTATTGTGATAAAACAACGGTACATAGAGTCATCGAATTTTGAATAACGTAATCCTCCAACGAATATGAGCATGTGGAAGACCAAATTTGAAATTTGAAATTTGTTTTATGATCGATTTCCTATTTTTTAAAACTTTGACGAATTTTTGATTAACAAACTCAAGGATTTCAAAGCGAGCAATGGCAACGTTGTGCAGAAAAAAACATTTTTATCTCCAGCGCGTGAGTCTCTGTATCGGAAATTCTAAAGATATGCTCGTTTTAAAAACTATTTTGCGATATTGCTGTTGCACTGGATCTTATGGTTTTAAGTGCGAGGAACATGATATTTAATAAAGAAAGGTAACATACAAAATGTTAAAAAACGCCCCTTTGGACGTAATTTAAAATCTGAAACATTTCAGATTTTGTTTTATGATATTTGATTCTTGCGATTTCAAAAATAAAATATTTGACTAAAATATGAATAACATTTTAACAAACTAAATGTAGGATGATAAAATTGTGTAAAGCAATGAGCACAATGTTAAAGCTATTTAAAGCAATATATGCAAACCATCCTGTTTCTGTATAAAATACTGAAAAGTTAAAATACATCTTTCTAATTCATATATCTTTTTTGAGCGGAACATTGAAAGGCGTGTTAATTGTGCTTTACTGTATTTTCTCTTTTGATATATTCAGTTATCAGATGTATCGTAGTCTGGGACACAACGTATTCTTCCGAAAGAACCGCAATTCAAATAAATAAAATCAAATCCTATAAAATTTATATTAATAAATGTATTTAAAATGCTCAGTTCGAATGAATAAATAGAAAATTTTAAAACAATTATCTGAAGAGACAATGCAACACGAACAATTAAAATAAAAGTCTAAAAATTTAAAAATTACCTAAAATAATGACGAAAAAAAAAATATAAAGAAACATTGAAAAATAAATACATAATTATGCATGTTTTATTTAAGCTACGTAGTTCGAATGGGTAAATAGAAATTTTAAAAACAGTTATTCGGAAGAAACCATGAAACTTAAACAATTAAAATGAAATTCGAAAAAGAAAAAAATACTTAAAATATAACAGTTATATAATTAAAAATCTAATATAAAGAACATTATTTGAAAAAAGGAACAATTGTAACTTTTTTTCCGCTTACGGGGAAGGAAAATAGGTTGCCATATGTTAAGAAGTTCGTCAAGTGAACTATTCTTGGCGCAAACTGAAAAAAAGAGCCAACATAAATTTGTGAATTTCTCTGTAAATTTCGCGCCAAATTCTGCGAAATTTCATATTTAGGCATAATTTTAGTTGTAGAATCGAAATATGGAAAAAAATTGGTATGTTATTTCGGAAAAAGTCCGATTTTGTGTCAAAATAACTATGTTAGAATACAGCTATTTATAAATCTAATATATATCCTAAGTTGCGCATTCGAGACATGAAGAACGCAATTTGAATTTCGTCAATCGGCCCAGTAGGACGGGAGATATAGAACAGTCTCTCTCTCTCTTTTTTTTTTTTCGCAGTGTACAAATCTAAAATTTTTTCAGACAATTTTGGAAAGGAAAAGAGAGAAATTGCTCGAAAAATAGGTAGTGCGTGTACTCAAACAGGTGTATTTAATAGACATTCTACTGTATCACTTACATTTTAGTCCATTTAATTCCTTAATAATTATATTTGAAAAATATAAAAGTGAAATGTTTTGATAAATATTTTTGTGGGACATATATCGTAATCCTAAAATTTAACACATTTTAAACTCAAAATGTAAGTCAAAATCAAAGATCATACTTTGATAATATGCTTATCGCCTGTTTCTAACATTTTAAGTAGTATTCTGCTAAAATAACACCAATAATAGATTTATTGGTACTATTTTCCAAATTTGGGTGTCGAACGTATTCGGCTACCTTTGAATTTATTTCAGAAATCAAAAGTCATTTCTTTGGAAGATGCTACATTTTCTGATGTCTTTACTTTTAATATTTAAAATAAACGAACAATGCTAATCATTGCTTCTCTAAAAAGGATTTTAAATAACATTTATTTTTGCAAAGAAATATATTTCTACACATACAAAAAGTGCTCATGTGCTGATGTTTCTAAGTGCATTTGAGAACCTTTTATAAAAAATAATACAGTTAAAAGTGTTTAAATAACAGAATACGTTCAAATGAAATACTATAATACTAAATCATTAAACATTTATGAAACAAACCTTTCATTTCAGCTAAACAAATAAAACATCTTCAAATAGCATTTCAAAGTTTTTAAAAATAGGTGAACTTTATGTTAAAGAATTTTAGTGGTTAATTAAAATTTCGTTTCTGTATAAAATACTGAATACGGTGGTCATGAAAAAAATATATATATCACTGCCCATTTCTCAAGAAATAAATTACATTAATAAACTTCTTTGCAGCTATATTCCGATATTTATATTCAGAATATTTGCATTGATTGTACTTATTTCTTCAGAAGTATAATTTCTGGTAACAACTATACTAAAATCTGTTACTGTAATGTAAACTTAGTGACAGGTGTAAGAACTCACTGATCATTGGCAATGTATAAAGCATTTTAAAAATGATTAGGTTACATACCCAAGGCTTCCTCATTAGAGGCATGCCTCATAGCAATCTCTTGATTTGATTTTATATGAACATTTCCTGTTCCGAACTTTCAGTAATATTTCACACACACACATAAAAAAAAAGTGAACGATGTATTTTTAGGTTTTCTAGTTAAAATCTGTAAAATTTACTGTTAGTTTCAATTAACATGTGAGCATAAAAATGACTTTTTTTTTTTTTTTTTTTTTTTCAAAAATAGTCTTGAACCAGAATTTTCTTTCCAAAGTGTCTCGTACATGTCTTTGTGACATTGGCACTACATTATATCTTGTAAGTTCAATGTCATGGGGATATGAACAAAATTAACAGTAGAATTAATCTACTGGGAACAGCAGAATTAATATACTGTTCCCAGAACGCAAACTGGATAGGTAATGGAACTAATTTTGCAAAGTACTTCGAAGCCCTTATCTAACATCATTTGACTTTTAGCTGTAGAAGATTTGGTTTACTTCTTAAAGATTACCAGTCTGCAAATTATACACATATATGCCATCTCAAATATAATTACTGAATTGTTGAGCAACAAATAGTCACTAACGTAATTCTTGACTCTACGTAGTCCCTTTCAATTTTATCCCCAATTTAGGCTTAATAATACAGATTCATGTGAATGCGGTGGGTTTGGCAGTTCCTGTTTTCAACACGTTGAGCGCCACGTCAGTCATCGGTGGCTGACACTTTCTGTTTAGGCTGCGTCAGCCATCTGCGGCTGACACTAGACTTTCCGTTTAGGCCACGTCGACCACCGCTGGCTGACAGCGTGTAACATGATATATAACTATAAAATTTACTCTATTTTATGGAATTGCAGAAAATTTATTTAAAATTTACTTAATTTTGATTCATTACCGGACTAATGGATTTCATTGAAACACGATAAACATAAAAACGGCTCTCCATTACAGCTATTACAAAATGTGACAGTCTCTTAGTTTTTTTCTGCCCATTACTCTACCAGCTTCTGTTGCATTCTTCAAATTTCCGTACTTCAGAGGCTTTTCCCGGTTTTCTTTGGAGTTTATGTTGTCGTTTTTTAGATATTTTTGCATTTCTGTTCGATGGAATGTCTTCTTTTTCACAACTTGTAAGGGATAGCGCTAATTCTTTTCGGAATTCAGTAATGCTAATTTTCTGCTTCGTAATATCTTTGTATAGAATGTAACTATTTACAAAACAGACTTGACGCGTAACATGTTGAATGAATGAATGCCTATAGGAATCCCGTCCCGAATGTAAACTATTTTCTGCTGCGATAAGAATCACTGGCTCTACAATACCAGCGCTTTTAAGCGGCGCCCATGGCCTGAACGGGATTCCCTAGGAAATACTTGTGGCGCTCAACGTGTTAAATCATCGAATATTAAAGAACCTTGATCATCGAAGTGCTGTACCACCAGCAACTTACTCCTGAGAATGCTTCCTTCTGACTGGTCATCATTGACTAGAACCACACTGACAAGCAAAGTTGCACAGGTCAAATTTGGAAACAAATATTATTTAAAACACTGTTGACTTGCTTTAGCGTTGATCTGTCACCTTCGGTGAACTACTGCATATTCCTATTGTTATTCTAACTGAAAACCTTTGAAAACAGCATTTTATCAAAAATTAATGTTTTTAAATGTTGGAAGGTATATAAGAAAGCAAAGAATGCATTGATGATGAAACAGTCTTTGGAAGACAATCTATTTTAAACAATATGTCAATAAAGTTAGAAATTTGATGTTTAGCAGTTAGAGATTTTGTTAACTATTTGAGATATTATTGAACAGGTTCCTATAATGTTTTCCAGTGCGTGTTTTGCTGTATTATATGCTTGGAATAATATACTTCCCGCACCATAGTATATTTCCTGCGTTTGCATTGGTGTAGACCGAGTGTTATTTCGGTGGCACACTGTCATTAGATTGACTCTATAGTTATTCATTGTGTTCTTGGTATAATAAATTAACGGAACTATATATTGTAAATAAGACAGTATCATCTAAAGATATAAAATTTCTTGTGATGCTTGACTTATTAAAACATCTTTATAGCATTTATATGAACAGAATTGTCAATTTGTATAGTTTTATGCTGCTTCTGAAGTTTCATTTTAGTTAAACATTAAGTAAGAACTTACCAGTTCTTTGAAAAATATGAGCTGTTGAATGTAATTCTGTAAGAAATCGTCGATAATATTGGTGCTAAGCTGAAACATCTGGTTGTGCTCACCAGCTCCAAATCCAGGAGGATCAATGACAGTAACTGAATAGGAATCACCTCTAAATAAAATATTTTATTATCTTTAATGTTATAAAATATTGTATAAAACCTCTACTTACATAAAAGTACACAGGTATAGCGCGAATAAGAAATACTAAATTTCCTTCGTGAAATAGCCACTAGAAATCTAGAATTTTATAAGGAAATCAATAAATGATTTTCTACTTTATAAAGCTATTTAAATATAATGATGAAAGAAATAATGAAATTCGTTTATTTTAATTTTTTTCTTCTTATGCCGTAGAATCTCATTTAAGTCTGATATGTTTATGACATTCGTGGAAACAGAAAGCGAGGCAATTTAATTCCTGCAATGCTACTTTAAAATGTACATGTGTGAGACTCTATACTAACGGATATTGTCACCTTCAAAGTACTCGCCTCTTACATAACATACAGTAACATACATTGCCCTGAACCTTATTTTTGGATCCCTTGGCCTTATTCCCTGGAAGTGAGTCTTCTCTCTTTCCATTTTCCACCCAAGAATGTAAATGAATTCGCCTGTATTTAAAGGGAGGTTTTGAGATCGTTAAGTTAGAGCGTGATCTGCCACTCGTTGCCATGTTGACTATTCTAGATAAGGGCTTCTGCATTTAGCCTTAGACTGCCGATAGTTGAATTCACGCCGGTGAAGTTCTGGTCAACTTCGCGTTAAATTCTCTGTGTAGCATTTCGCTATTAGTTATTTAAATTTATCTTTGACTTACTATACTTTGAGTTTCTCGCCATAAATGTTGGCGAATTCGTAAACACCAGGCATGCGTTCTGCTCAGCTTATTTAGTTTAAAATAAAAGGTCATGTAACATCCTTCGCAAGTTTCTGTTTTTATTTTACACTTAGCGATAAGTCGCTTAACGTATGCCAAGAGTTTGGTCATAGTTATAAAAGAAAGATTTTAAAACCTTACAATTTAAAATTTTTCAGAAGTTGTTAGTACTTTTAGCCACATCTAGCAAAAATCGGTATTTGATTTCCCACCTGTATGCTTTTCATCTTCTATCCGTATGTTTTCAAATAAATTTATTTTTATCGAATAAAAAATTTCTCTTTCGGTAATTTTCTAATATGGCAAATATAATCAAGCAAAAACATAATTGTTTTCTCAGTAGGAATTTTAATATAAAAGCTTTTGAAATGTAACAAAAAACCTTTGAAAGCAGCATTTTATCAAAAATTAATGTTTTTAAATGGTGGAAGGTATTTAAGAAAGCAAAGAATGCATTGAGGATGAAACAGTCTTTGGAAGACAATCTATTTTAAACAATATGTCAATAAAGTTAGAGATTTGATGTTTAGCAGTTAGAGATTTTGTTAACTATTTGAGATATTGAACAGGCTCCTATAACATTTGAGTCCAATGAAAAAATTCTGTATGATAACTTTGGCTGCCGGTGCGTCGTTCTCGAGTTAATCCAATAACGTTGAATTTTTTCTCGAAGAAAAAATTTATTTAGGTCGTACAGAAATGAATGACACAAATACTGCCACAGAGCGGAATACAATTTATTAACAAAAAACTGATAGCACATCAGTTAGAAATAATCCTCGTTTATGTCCATACACTTCTGCCATCTGGCTGGGAGGTCCCGAAGTGCTTTGGTCAACCAGTCTGTAGGGTGTTGGTGCACAACCTATGGACAACTGTATACAATTCTGCAGAAGATTCAACATGTTGGCCCCTGACTGCGTCCTTCATGTTGTCAAGCAAGGCTTAGTCCGAGGTCCACCCACTTTGCACACATATTTGTCATCTCCAAATCACTATGCCCAATCGCCTGCAATGTTTCTTGCGCAAGCCCTGTCTCCTCCTGCATCTTGTTGAACGTTATGCGCCTGTTCGCCATGATCAAATCCGACACGGCTACCACATTTGCTGTTGTATGCGATATTGCTGGTCATTCCGCGCTGATACCATTGGCTGCAATCTCCACTCCACTGCTAAACTTGGCTAACCAACGTGATACGGTACGCCTTGAGGGTGCTTTGTTCCTGCACACCGACATGCGATGATGGGTTTCACTACCTTGTATCTCTTCCTTCCATAGGAGACGCTTTCCAGCGCTGATCTCGATAATCACTTTCTATTATTGCAGTCCACGCTCTCAATGACGACGGCGAAAGGGACGTGTGCTGACTTATACCATTCAACTTGCAGCCAGCTCCATCTATGCATTCTGAGTAGCTCACGCCCCCTTGTGCCTATTTCACTTGTTTTCCCTTCGCATAGTGTAATAGTTTCGTTGTGAGAGCCGTTGTGTCAATCATTTCTGTGCGATCGAAGTATTTAAGTAGCCCAAGATATACCTTCTCAAAGCGAGTTTTTCTAAATGCATTATGACCAGTGATGAATTGTGAAGCTAGGCTTTTGATACAGACACAGTTGAATAATCAAGTAAATAACGCTCGAAAGGTAAGGCAAGACCAAAACATATTACATGAAAGTTGGTCATACATAAAGTTTATGTTAACTGTTTCTTCAATCGCCGTGATATTGTGCATTATGTATTTCTAACAACTAGCTAAGCAGTTAACAAAATGTATTAACTGAAGATTTTGCGTGAAGTAACTTGTAAAAAGAACTGAAATGAGGTGAGATAAGTCACAGATTTAGCATCACGACATTGTACTTGTTCAAAACGTTCTTATTGTTGATCAAGTTTTGGCCCAGACTTCAACAAATGCTGTTCCGTAATTCGCATTCACCTAATATGGTACCGTGAGACTTATTTTTATTTCCGTAGTTAAAATTACAATCCTTTGTGCATCGTTTTGAGTTTATTAATGTAATAAAAAGATTCTTAAATTACTTCGAGATTACTTTGAAAGAGATATAATAAGTATTGACAAGTAGGCTGAAATTTTGTGTTTATATAATCATTATCGATATTTTTTTATCACAGCAATTTACCTCCTAAATTATCTTGTTTTCCTATATAAGTAATTCTTGCAAGCTAGGCATCAATGTTGATAACTACCAAGTAAGATAACTAGATCTTTCCAGTTAAATAAATATATAGTGCGAGTAAAGGAAAGGTGATAATGACACTAAAAATTTTCTTCATGAAGATGGGAAACTGCCTGTATTTTCAAATGTAACCTTGACCTAGCCGGACGTTACGGAAGAGAGACAGATTCGTGACATCATGCAGCGAGAAATAACCATGAGCCCCCATGTATATAACCCGTTATATACATGGGTTCGCCTCCAGTCGGATGATTTGTGTGTTTGGTAAAAGTGCTGCTTAATTGGCTGTGAACTCCAAAAGATTTAAGTAGGTGAACAATATAGAGTCAAGGACATGTTTTTATAGATTGAAAGTAACAAACGGATCTTATTATATTATATTCATAATATAATGGAATAAGTTAATGTGGATTCAAAGAACGTGAAGAAGGAAAGCTTCTATAGACGTGATATAAACCAGTTTGACTACTGCACTGCTAAATCATCGAGTGATATATCCGCATTTCCAAATCGCTTGGTGCACAGGAAATCGAGGAATGCAATACAAAACCAAAATACTTATTCGTTCTTTGACAAAACTTTTGGCGACAATTTAAACTCGGATTTTCCTAATTTTTTTTTACTCAAAATAAATAATCCATTAAGTAATCTATTTGTGCGAATCTCTGATTTGACTTACGTCGATACTGCTGAAAAAAATGACATCGCAGAAGTTTGAACTCTTGAAGACTTTCGACCTTTGATAACGGTTTGATATCTATTTCGCACATGCGCATAAGGATATTTAGGCTGGATAGGTAGCCCCCGTAAATTAAATTTCGTGTATATTTTCCCCTCTTCGGTTTGAGGAAGCCACTTCTGCTTTGGCGTATCGTTGCTCGTTCTTAATCCTAGAAGTTCTTTGGTGGATTAGGGTAACTTTTTGCAGCTGAAATGCCATTTTCAAAAGGCACGTTAGTGAAAGATGCACGCTATCTGGAGGTGAACCAGTGCTACACGCCAACCTATTATGCATGGTTATTATCCTCGCTGCATGACGTCACGAACCAGTTTATGCCCTTATGCTCAGAGGTTAAGCATTTATTTGAAAAAGAATGAATTTTTCATATACTCAAGGCAGAATTTGTTATCGCCGTCGTCACCTTTTCATCTAACAAAACCAAACAAATAATCTCAAATGATAAGATCCGAAAAGAACAGTCGTGTTTATGAGTTATTCAATGCAAAAGGGTTTGGTGAGGTATTTTGAAATATGAAATAAATGCTTACGATTTATACCAAAAATGAAGCATTAGTTAAACGAACACTTGCTGAAAATGTAATTAATTATAAGGAGTGTTATGAGTGTTACTTTTCAATAAGATAAGATTTTTCAATTGTACTTACAAAACAAGACGTGAAAAGGAGAGCTGCTTCTTGAGTGAAGATACAATCCATTCAAAAAGCCGCATGTACAAAAACTGTACCCAAGCATCTCTTTTCTGAGTAACTTCTTCTAAACTATCACCTCTAGAAATGACTGAACACAACTGCTCATTATCTACACTCAAGTTTTTCGCAGCTGAAAAGAGAAATTATTTTAATCATACGTATTAATTTTTTTTTCACTTTTGTTTTCTTTGTAAATTTTACCTTGAGTAAATGCATATAATAAAATCATGTTTTGTCAGCACTATACAAAACTACTCAGAGTTAATATCCTCTTTAAAATGACACAGCGCTGTTCATTTAAGCTCTTGGTAGGAAAGCGTCAGTCAAACTTATCATGTATTTAAAACAAACATTTTTGCTTATAAAACCCTTATGAATTTAAATTTTTAAGTATGAAAATTTGAAATTTATCTTTATTCCAAAGAAAGGATGAAATTATGAAAGTGGGAAAACTAGTTTAATGAAGTATCTATTGCATCCTTATTGAAATATCGACAACAAAAACGCGAGGTCTGACCTTCGAAATGGATTAAAATTTACTAAATGGTAAATCCAAATTGAACTTAGATTTCTTCAGTAGCAATTATTCGATGATATATGCCGAGAGACCAATAAACAATTGCCTCTTCAAAGACCTAATCGTACAGGCTTTTTTCCTTTTGCAATTAAATAAGTAATATTATAATGCAATTAATGAAATTCATATTAAGAACAAAAAGGATCTGAATATTTTAATCACAAATATAGTTTTACAGATCTAAAAATCGGTTGTGGATCAAACATGGTGACTTGGATTTTTAAGCAGTTTAAACAAATGCCCCATATTTGACGATATATCACACTCTTTTTCCCTAAGGATCAAGACAAAATTGTGAGCCCCATTATGAAACAAGTGCCCAAATTTATGTATGAAATGCTTCTTCAGAAAAATTATATATATTTTGGAACTTACTAGCACCTTAATAAAAACCAGTGGCAAATATTTAGAAATGCACCAAATTTTGTCAACCATGCGCGTAACCGTTCTTCAAGCATGCGCGGTTCTTTTATTTAACAATGTCACCATCGTATACGTTCTTATTGTTATTTTGCAAGTCCAATTGTTTCTCCAGGCAATTCGTATTATTATGTATCATAAACTCAATTTTTAAAAACATTTTTGTGGGATTTGCCTGTAATGAAATGACCTAAGAGGAAATTTCTGCAGGAATAGAATGTTTTGAAAGCATGTTTTGAATTTAAAATAAAATACGAATTAAATATTTAAACATAAAGCAGTAAGTTATTAAGATTGTTCTGAACGTTAAAGGGCCGTATAAATAGGATTTTGAATTTTATAGATAAATTGAGACGCATGAAAAGGCTATAAGTTCCTTATTCATCTGGGAGTATTCTACATATTTTCAAACAATCCATTCTGGAAAAAAAAAAAAAAAATCAATTATTTATTTAGATATCGTTACGATTATTTCATATTCTAATACTAAAGTTTAGTTATCTGCATTCTATAGAACATCTAGAATGTTTTCTTTATATAAGGATTTGTGAATTTTCTCTTAAAAACTTCATTATTTCGAAACTTTTAAAACTCTTAATTTGAATAAATCGATTTTTAATTTTTTTCTTTTAAATTTCTTCAGAACAATGAGTATTAAAATAAAAAATTTGATATTTTTTGCATTAGTAGCTTTTATTTTACGGAAAAGCTAACTGAGGCAGACAGAAATTTTTTGCATCGGGAATCAGAACTTTATATGAAATCACGTTAGAGTATAAAGAAGATGTCTATAACAATGTGAAATTTGAATGTAACATTTTACACTAAGAAGAAAGTGAGATGCATTAAACATCTGAGCTTTGGAAGCAACTTTTACTTTGAAACCTTGTTAAAATCGGAATTTCCAGTTAATTATAAATGTCTGAAGAAATTCGTGATATCAGTTCTTACACATGTCACAGGAAAGGCGTTTAGCAAAATGAAAGAAATTTTATTTTAGAGATACGTTTTCTTTTAAACTTGAAGATACTCATTTTATTTAATGGTATTCATTCGCTTCTTGAAATACATTTTACAAGAATGACTTTAACATGTTAATTGTGTTATAGAAGGGGTTCTTAACCCCTTGCCGCGGGCGCCAATGTGCCCGCGAAGCTATTTTTCTGCGCCAGCGACTGTCCGCTATGTACTATATCAATATCAACGGTGGCCAACCCGCGGCTTGCCACGATTTTTCCTGTGGCCGCGAAATTCTTCATACTTTTAGAAATAATATATAAAGCCGTAAAATTATTGTATTGGCAATACTGTTTTGTGAACACTAGTACTGGTAACACTGTTTTGTTGGATCAGTTGTTATTGTCGTTGAACACCCTCGAGTTCAATCTGTTGCAGATTAAGAAATTTCTCAGCAATTTAACTTTTTGTTTAATGTTTATTTTAAGTTTCTCACCCTAAAATGAGTTTCTCCAGCAAAAGGCAACGAATGTATCATTTCAACAACGAATTGGGAAGAAGACTACGGATTTATCCAGACAAAGGACAAGTGTGTTTGTTTGATTTGCAATAGTACTGTATCAGTTTTGAAGAAACATAACCTCGAACACCATTTCAAGACTAATGACAATACTTTCGTCATTGATTATCCGCTTAAAATAGAGAATAAGGAAAATTAATCAAAAATCAAGGCTATTTGCCCAGCAAGCTGTTTTTACTAATCGTGCGAATAAAAATAAAAATGCCACAGTCGCTTTCTTCAGAATTTATCATTTGTTGGCGAAATGTAAAAAAAAAAAACTTTTCTCGGACAGCGAATTAATCAAGAGAGCATGTCTAACAGGAGCTGATGGATTGTTTGAAGTACTTTGTAATAAGCAAGAAATTATTACAGTAATACAAAGATGTGAGTTATCTAACGATAGAGAATACATATGCTATCAACTAATTTACACAGTTGAACGATGATATGCAAATATGTTAATGATTTGCAATTTACGAGACGACAGATTTATCTGATACAGCGCAACAGTATGCATAAGGATGGTTTTTAGTGATTTTAGTGTAAAAGAAGAACTACTAAAATTACTACCAGTGCATGGGAAAACAAATAGGAGGAGATATTTTTAATATCTTTAAAAATTATGCTAAAGAAATTAATTTGCCTTTACAAAAGGTATCAGCAATAATTACTGGTGGGGCTCCATCAATGGTGGGCTGCAATAATGGATTCATATCTCATTGCAAAAGAGATAAATCTTTCACGTTCTTCATGAATTATCATTGCATTATTCACCAAGGAGCATCATGTGCTAAAATATTGTCCTTTGAGCAAGCCATGAATTTAGTTATTTTTTTGGTCACCTTTTCAGAAGCTTTTGGAACAATCCCAAAATATATTCCAGCAATTTTCGATTATTGAGCCAGTGGCTTCATTTTTTGTAAACCCATTCAATCCTCAATATTTCTGAAATTGCAAATTCCGTGCAGAAAATTATTCAGGAAGAAGCATCTTCAACTGAAGATGAGATTTTAAATATTCAGACTGACATTGTATTAAAATCATGCGAACTTGATGAAAATATTTGAAATCTAGTCGAAGATAAAAAATATCCCCTTTTGAAAAAAGGAGCTTACAAATTAAAATCCTGTTTCGGTTCCATATATTTATGTGGTTCATTGTTTTCAATATTGAATACAATTAAATCAGCAATCAGATCTCGACTTAACGATAGCAATCTCGAAGATGTTAATATAAGATTGGGAATATCATCTTATACGCCTGACTTTTGAAAAAAGGAGTAAATAATTTACTTTTGAAAAAATACTAAAAATATCCCCTTTTGAAAAAAGGAGCTTACAAATTAAAATCCTGTTTCTGTTCCATATATTTATGTGGTTCATTGTTTTCAATATTGAATACAATTAAATCAGCAATCAGATCTCGACTTAACGATAGCAATCTCGAAGATGTTAATATAAGATTGGGAATATCATCTTATACGCCTGACTTTGAAAAATTAGTGGATAACATGCAATACCAAAAATCGCATTAAATGTAACTATTTTGAATTTTTTGTTACCTTTTTAGTGTAGGATATTTTTTATGATGCTTATGATTGGAATAAAATAACGAAATATTAAGAATCGTTATACATTTTTTTCAACTGCGCCCGTCAGCAATTTCCTGTTTGTCAGATGTGCCCAGACGGGGTATACGGTTAAGAACCCCTGTGTTATAGAATACTTTATTATTTATAAACTAGGTGAGTGACAAAAATTCAGCTTTAACGTCTGTAGCCACACTATCCCAAAATGAAAGTGCATGGAAACAGCTCAATATATTAGTGAGAACGTAACAGTAACATACTGATTTCCAAAGGCTTTAGAAAACAAGTTCAATTTGTGAACCAAATCATAATTTTTAACTTAATTTTAAAAGTAAAATGTGTAGGTTATTATTACTTAAATTAACAAGGTTTTTATGATTTGGATGTTTAATTTCTTTTCTCTGTTTTTCTCACCAAAATGTAGATGAGTTATATAGTATCTATTTATACTGAAATATTTGGATTGTAAGATAGATCGTGTTCCTAGCTGTGCGGGCACGTTATGTTTAGCTCCTGCCGCCTTTGATAATTGTAATTTTCGGCTTTGCGTTATTCGCTGCCGACATATCGATTTTGACGCGCCTTCACATCTGTTAAGGGTTTCTGACTCATTGTCAGTTCCAAATCAAATAAATCTACATAAGTATGTAATAATATAATGTTTTTTGGAATTTGTTCATTAGCTAAGCGCAAAATTATTTCGTGATGTTTTTGTGAAGAGAATGTAATAAACAACCAAATATGGCGTTGTTAAACTAAGTAAAAAATTATATACTTCAATATCATGCTAAGGAAGTTTTGTAGTAAATCTTTGCATTTTCTCCAGATCCTTTTACTGCAGCTAAAAATGAAGCAGAAAAATTCAATTGCTGTTATTATTTGTTCTAACATCTATAGCATTCGTAATTATAACAGCAGCTACCAGTATCTGAATGAAAGTAAGTAAAATTGCTAATGGGCTTAAGTTTGAGTTCTTGATCGAGTCATGTGGTTGCTTTTACCGAATAAGTGTATTTAAAATCCATCTCATAGAAAGTCTTCAAGAAAATCTGTTAATATAGGAATAATGATTCGAATCATACGAGACTTGGAAATATTAACAACAATAACCTTCAAAATGGAATTTTACAAAATTATTACTTTTTTATTCATTTTTGTTGAATGTACCACTTTAAATAACTTAATTAACAGATGTAATCATGAAACCTGAAAAATAACAAAAAGTAATTTTTCTTTCTTATTCAACTTGCAAAATTTATTCTTTTTAATTCTTTTTAATTTTATTTGTCTGATATATTTTGCGCTCATTTGATTTGTAGTAGACAGTTTATTTGCCTTATCAATTACCACAGAAATAAAAAGACTGCGTTGTATTTCTCAAACAAATAAAATATTCATATTGCAGTCAACAGGGTAATATTACCATATACTTTGGTTTCCCAAGAATAATGAATAAATCTAGATAAAATCTCTGTTTCATAATTTTTTGTTTATATGCTAGTCTTATGAGAAGTCTAAATAACGTCTGCTCTTGTATCAGTAAATCTTAAGAAAATAAAAAATGCCGGAGGAAAAACAAATTGAAAAATGAATTCACTAAGTTTTCAAAATAACTTCTAAAACTCATTATCATACCAGAAGAAATCAGATAAGGATTGCTTGCTGTCGCAGTTGATTCCTTCTCAGTATAAGTGACGTCACCAAGTAATAAAATAGCTGACAGTATGCGTAGAACCACCAATATTTCCTGAAATGTAACATTAAAGCATAATGCAAATAAGGTGCAGTAAGTCTAGCTAAATATAATTTGCATCTTACAAGGAAATTTGGAAAAAAAAAAAAAAAATGCGATTTTAGAGATCAGTATTTATGTAAATAAATTTCATATTAAACGTTTATTAAATCAATATTATCAAAAATAATTAAAATCTGTTTATCTTAAAAACTGTTATATAAATATCATGTTTATGTAGGTTTCCGTAATACTGTGACATGAAATCATGTTTTTTAGTGTTTTTATGAAAAACAAAAATTACCCTTTCCCCTGTTTTGATAAATTAGACAAAAATTTGGTTTTATTGTTAATGAAATAAAAGGAAACAAAATTGTATTTTCCCGTTTTTTTTTTTTTTTTTTTTTTTTTTTTTTTTTCCGGAAAGAATAAAAATGAGTGTACAATGACGTGATCCTAGACGTGTTTCCAAAAATTAAATTTCTTAAGCGAGAAGATTTATTAAAGAGAAATAACATACCGATTTTTTCCCATATTTCGATTCTGTGACTCAAATTATGCTCAACTATTAAACTTTATAAAATTTGGCAAGAAATTTACCGAGAAAATTAAAATTTATCTTGGTGCATTTTTTGCCAAGAATAATTCACTTGGCGAAATTCTTAATTTACAGTAACGTATTTCCATTTCTCTTTCTTCATTGTGCACGAATGAAAAAAAAAGGCGCATCGTACATTCTTTCAAATAATGTTAACAAAGTGCATAAAGCACATTTGGTGTTATTATCGTTTAAAACAAATATGCCAAATATCAAAACGCGCCAATATGTAAATTGACATATATCTTTGGAAATTTTGAATAAAAAACTCTAGTGTTTTGCAGGTATGTCTAGACATGCATCTACTTTAATGTGTGGATAAAAATGTTAATTTGAATCATAGAATCGAAACATGGAAAAAATAGGTATATCATTTCAGAAAAAGTCCGATTTTGTATCAGAACAATTATTTTCAGAGAATATTTGTTTTGTTTGATTTAAGAGGACGTAAGCTGTTAATATTTAAGTGTAATTCAATATAACTAGTCGATTATCAATAACGAGTTGATTATCAATCATTCTATGCACATTCTCTCAAAGCAGCAGACACAGAGGCGTTTGTATTCATCGAAACAAAACCAAAGCTGATTAAAAGTTTAGAAGATACTACAAAGAATAGGTTGTAATTCGAGTCATTTATTTGCAATTGTGTAGTTCTGCTATGGATTTCGGTCACAGAAACTGTGGTTATGATTATTAAATTTAAAAATTCGAATACGGGATGATTTTCTGCTTTATAAAATTTTCGCACAGTTATAAGGCTTTATCTTATTAATTTATTTCATTTCTTTGATTCTGTAGCTTTCATCTGATTCTTCCTAGAATAACTTAATTAACAGATGTAATCATGAAACCTGAAAAATAACAAAAAGTAATTTTTCTTTCTTATTTATTCAACTTGCAAAATTTATTTTTTTAATTCTTTTTAATTTTATTTGTCTGATATATTTTGCGCTCATTTGATTTGTAGTAGACAGTTATTTGCCTTATCAATTACCACAGAAATAAAAAGACTGCGTTGTATTTCTCAAACAAATAAAATATTCATATTGCAGTCAACAGGGTAATATTACCATATACTTTGGTTTCCCAAGAATAATGAATAAATCTAGATAAAATCTCTGTTTCATAATTTTTTGTTTATATGCTAGTCTTATGAGAAGTCTAAATAACGTCTGCTCTTGTATCAGTAAATCTTAAGAAAATAAAAAATGCCAGAGGAAAAACAAATTGTAAAAGAAGGGCAAGATATTTAAACTATACAAGAACTATTTGCAAAAATTTTAGTTTAAAAGGCATAAATTTGGCAGATCTGCCTTGCTGTTTGTTCTCTATGGCAGTTCGGTTATCTACTAGATACTAACTTAGAAGTCTAAAAGTATCTATTGATAAAACTATTAGTAAATTGATTTTTAATGCTAGAGATTCTAATTCAGAAGTCAAACAACAAAAATCAGCGTTATATTTTCAAAATTTTCACAGGACTAGTTTCGATGGTTTTACCGAACCACCATCCTCAGCTGCAAAACCGCAAATGAACAAGATAGGAAATAATGATTAGATAAGATAAGAATAAGCAAGTGGCGCCATCTGTTGATGAAACCAGAACTAAAATATAATTTCTTTAAAGGCCGAAGGCAAAGATGGATTGGAATTAGGATCGTTAACTAGAACAGAAAGATTTTTTTTGAATGTGAAATGCCTCTAGAAAATCCAGTTCTCCAATGGAAGATGTTTTTAAATGATTTTGGCAGCAGAAAAATTAAAAGTGTGATATTCGGACCAACAATGTTGTGCAACAGAAGACTTCTGTGTTTCCTTTTTTCTAACATATGCCTCATGTTCCTTGACGCGAAATTTTAAGGCTCTCTTAGATTGGCCAATGTGAATTAAACCACACTGGCAAGGAATCCTATATATACCCCAGGAATCCAGAAACTAGTCCTGTGAAAACTTTGAAAATATAACGCTGATTTTTGTTGTTTGACTTCTGAATTAGTATTTATTCGGCGTGTTATTGTGTCTAAACTAGAGATTCTAGTTCAATTTCATTGATTAAATTGGCAAGGCAAGTCCGTGGCTTTCACTAAATGCAGATAGCATACTATTAAGAAATTAAATCGCCTTTAGTTGCGGTCCTGCAAAAGGTGGTGATTAAATTTTTATGTCAAAATCTATAATTTACAGTTGATTAGAGAACATATAAACGTTTCGTTTGTTTTATTCTTGAATTGTTATCAATCCTACCAATATCCAATATTCATTAAATTAGGGTAGAAACAACAACTCGTCAGACACACAAGCTATATTTATATAGACACACAATATTTTGGAAATAGAAATTTAATAAAACTTGAAAAGTAGTTCTTCAAGGATCAAATCGCGTAAAATCTCTAAAATGTATGTATTGTTGGGGGTATCATGACGTTATATCTCTTCAGGAAGAAAATTTAATACGTTTAAACTTCATACACAAGAAAAATTTATGTCTATATTCCATTATTTTTAAAGTGCTCTTAATGTCAATTAAAATCCTATAAGCTAATTTTTAAACTCTGTTCTGTTAATTGTTTAGTTCTCTTTCTGATTAACATAAACTTCTGCGTTAATATTGAGTCTCTTTGGAACTATATGTATTTTCTTTGGATCTATATAAATAGAAATATATTCTCCTTTTAATACTTTATCTATCAGAAAGAATCATATAGGATTATAAACAAACCCTGGCAAAATATAGTTTAACGATTCAAAGAAGTTAGGTTTTCCCAATTTTGTATTTTACGATTGTACTCGGATTTTACACAAAAATGTGTAGACTCGTACTTTCCTAGGTGCCCTTTCTCACTTTAATTCCCCCATGTTTAATATAATCGAAAGTATTTGATTTCCCTGCTTTTGAAAAACTGCAAAATTTCCTCATGAAATTTTGTGTTAATTCCTTTCTATAATTTTTTTATATTATACAATTTAATTACTGCTTCCTGAGTTGATGAGTCTAATCTTTTAATAATTCCTGAGTCTAATCTTTTAATATTCAAGTATTGAATAAACATCACAGAAAAGAATTTTGATAAATGAACTTTTAGCCCAAAGAGGCAATTTGTCCAGAAGGGCTATTAATTTCGTTTGCGTCGATTCACTATAAACGACGAATCACTTTCTAAATTATTGCCACCAAATATTAGAGCCCTGTATTATATTTAAAGGAATTAAATAATGAATAATCTGCGTAAATATATACAATTTTCTCACCTTGTGTTAAAACAACGGTACTTAGAGCCATCAAATTTTGAATTACATACATCTCCACCCGAATATGGGCATCTGGAAGCCCAAATTTGGAATTTTTTTTATTATCTATTTCATATTTCGTAACATTTATGAGTTTGGGATTAAGAAACTCAATGATTTTAAAGCGAGAAATGGCAACACAGTACGAAAAAAAAAAAGTTTTTATCTCCAGCGCGCGAGGCTGTGTATCGGAAATTCTAAAGATATGCTCAATTTAAAATTGTTTTGCGATATTGCTGTTGAAATAAATTTTATGGTTAAACTGTGAAAAACATGATATTTAATAAATAAAAGTAACGAACAAAACGTTAAAACATTTGGGCGTAGTATAAAATATAAAAGCTTTCAGATTTTTTTTAAATTAACGTTTTTGTATCTGTTTTAACTGTTATACCGTAAACTTGGTCACTTTCATTTAACTACTATTGCTCTGGCACTGATACTCGGCAGCTATTAAGCTAGGTTCGCATGTATATCTATTTACTCAGAAAGGATCTTATCCCTGTAGAAAAGTGGCAATACAGTACCGCTCGCAAACAACTTTTGTATTCTCTTAATACTATTTTGAAATGCTGTTTTTAGAGCACTCCTATATTTAAGATGTGTTTTTCAATAGTTTAAAAGGCGAAAATACCTTTTACGTTGTTAAACTATAATATGAAATTTTCAGATTTAATTTTTTCATATGTTACTCTCCAGTTTCAATTTTTCCGCCGATTATGCGTTTCTTTCACCCTTAATGCGAAACTGACACGCAAGGCTTGGGAAAATACAAGAAGAAATACTTGGTTAACAGTTGCAAAGAAAATGATAAAGCTGCAATTTAGTATTGTTAATATTAAATCCTTTTTTCTAATGTAATTCTGTATCTTAATATGTGACGTTTCATGTAGTTTCTTAAAAGGTTTTGCATTTCTGTTTTACGATCCCGTCTATTCTTTTGTTTATTTGACTCCATCAGTTACGCAAATGAGAACTGAGACATAACAGAAGTTAAGAAAAAGGTGAAGTGACTAATTAATTGCTTGCGTAGTTTTAAATTCTTTAAGTAACCCACCTATTTTAAAATTATGCCCAAACAAAAAAGGGACTTCGTTATAGGTTTTTAGGAGAGAGTTCATTCATTTATCGTGTATTTCTTCGATTTAAAAAGCTTACTGTGGTGTAATAAATTTAAATTGTTGATGTTGTCTTTTTGCATTTATTTTAAATTTGGAACTTAGATTGATGAATTAAGTTTAAATAATTATGTAGGCAAAAATTGCCCTGAGACTTCGGCTAGAAAAGTGAAATACTAAATCAGAAGTCAAACAACAAAAATCAGCGTTATATTTACCAAATTTTCACAGGACTAGTTTCGATGGTTTTACCGAACCACCATCTTCAGCTGCAAAACCGCAAATTGATTTTTGTTGTTTGACTTCTGATTTAGTATTTATTCGGCGTGTTATTGTGTCTTAAAGAGAAATAATTTAGCAAAGAATTTAAAAAGATATTATAGTATAGGTTTTTAATGTTAATATGCCGTTAATTTTTTATATATCTAAGAAGAACTTAAGATTGTAAGAGACGATTATTTGGGAATGCACAGAACATATTTTGCGCAAACAGAAACAATATGCTTTGATACTTCAGTTTAATAATAAGCAGAAATATAGCATGAGAAAAACTTTACCTCTTCTGTAAAAGAAAGAATTCTGAAAGCATGATAGACATTTTTGTAACCAGCCACTAAATCTGCGGGATTCTTGGAATCTCTCTGAGGGAGATATCGTATGCTTGATAGCTTATCGAGGCCAAATTCAGCAAGTCTTTTCTCAGATTTCAGGCCTTCAAAGAGGTAGTACAGGATATGAAAGTTGCTTTCGTTTCTGCAATCATTAAAAAGAAGTGCTTAATTTTGATTATTCATAATAAAAGTATTAATAATTATGAATATAAAAATAATACAGAAATTTAAACATGCAGATTTAGAAATATAAAGGGTTTTATCGGAGAGTATTAAAGTTTCACTTAATTTACGTGAATTTTTTAATGTTTAAATGAAAAAAAAAGTTAAAATATAAAATTTTATTTTAATGTTTTTTATTACGAAGCTTACTGAAATTTAAGAATGTATGATTATAAAAAGTAAATTGGCGGTTCATACATAAATTAAATACGAGTATATATAAAGGTCCTTATATGAAAAAGAAAAAGAGTATTTGAATTTCAGAAGAGAAACTGAAATGAGAAAAAGGAAATCAGAAAAAAATCATAAATAAAAGCGATAATTGTTAAATAGTAACTATTGGATACTGTATTCTTCCCGCACATATTCTATGTTAGAAACGAAATGCCATAATTTGAATAACATCGAAATAATAAATAAATCGGTAAAAGAAATATTTCAATTTTTTGGAACCGAATTTAAGAAGAGATCTTCATGTTAAATGAAAGAGAAATGGCTAATTATTTTGTGTTTTTATTTGATGGTTAGGATAATTGCTTTAAAGTAGTTAAACCGAAAAAAAGTACATTTGGCTAGTAAAAAAATTACTTTTACAGATTATTTGACAGGTTGTTCTACATTATTATTTTACAAGTTATTCTACAATAAAAAAAATATTTCAAAAGAAATAATCATCAGTGATTTATAATTGAGGATTATTATCAGCTTATCGCAGTTTATGAATGACCAGATATTTATTGAAGGTATGAAATACTTAACGAAGTTAAAGGTTTGTGAGGAACAAAGAACATTTACAGTAGGCGAATATCGATGTACATTCTTAATAATATCGTATAGGAATATTTTATGAGCTTTGTTTCAGTGAAGCTCATTACGCTGTTGTTCAACATTCATTATTCGCAAATCACAGCTCCTCACTATATATTTATAGCGTATCAAAAATTATAGTACCAAAATAAATAAATAAATAAATTACAAAAGTTTGAAATGTTTCAGATTTTAAATTATGTCCAAAGGAGCGTTTTTTTAAAAAACATTTTGCGTGGTATCTTTATTTATTAAATATCATGGTCTTCGCACTTAATCCATAAAATTCAGTTCAAGAGAAGTATTGCAAAATAATTTTAAATTGAGCATATTTTTAGAATTTTCGATACACAGTCTCACGCGCTGGAGATAAAAATGTTTTTTTTTTTCTGTACAACGTTGCCATTGCTCGCTTTGAAATCGAGTTTTTAGTCAAAAATTCGTTAATGTTTTACAAAATAGGAAATCGATAATAAAACAAATTCCAAATTTCAAATTTGCGCTTCCAGTAGGATTACGTCATTCAAAATTTGATGGATCTATGTACCGTTGTTTTATCACAATGCGAAAAACATGCATATATTTATGCAGATTCTTCATTATTTAATTTCTTCAAATATAATACTGGGCGATAATATTTGGTGGCAACAGTTTCAAAAGTGAAACAGGCATTCAGAGAGATTCGACTCAAAATCGCAAAACAAAAACAATAGTCCCTCAGGGACAAAGCCTCTTTGGACTAATAAAAACGCAACTCAGATAATATTTCTAACATTGGTTATAGAGACATTAGGAGTTTTTTGGACGTAAGAGAGATTGAAAAATTAGCAACGCCTTCGCCAGAAATCGAACCGTGGACCTCTGGAATACGCGCCCAGCGTGCAGACCACCACATTACGAAGGCATGCCAAGGAGGTGGGAGAAATACCTTATAAGCTATCCCCCCCATAAAAATCCCAAAATGGTGACGCAGATGTGGATCTGCTGGACTATGAAAGATGTTCTCATGTGATCAGAATATCGATAATCACATTGTAAGAATGAAAACGTAATTTTTTACCTGTCACTTTTGTAGTCATAATTGAGAATATATCATTCGGATACAGCTTTAAGCACCATATCATGTTTTCAATTTAAACACTTTTCGTGCCACAGCAGACTTTTGTTAAATATAACCTTTTACAAAATTGTAAGAATTATATTTTAAGGTAAAATTTAAAATCTGAAATATTTATTACATCTGATTTCTTGAAAGTAAGTTTACAGTTCTGTAGTCAAAAACAGAAATGTAACAAAAAATTGCATTATTTCTGACATTTGCCTAAGTCATACATTGTTCTATAACAAAAGCAGAGAGTTAACTTCTTTCAATGTATTGGCATTTACTCCATGAAATTATCCTATTCCACTTTGGCTTTCGAGGATTAAACTGAAAACTCCAGTTTCATCTCCTAAGAAAAAATGTACAGTCGGATCACATTAAAAAAACCCTGGAATGCCATCACGACAAACATATTTCGTGCTTAGTTTAAGCATAATTTGACTACTCACAATGATATGTACGGAAATCAAAGTTGTGGTAATAACCAATAATAAAAAGAGTGCTTGGCTTGCGAACTAGAAAAAGAATTAGTATCAGATCTGAGTCATTTGTTAATTATTTAAAATCTTATTTCATTGGTATTAATATAAAAATGAATGAATTTTGACCTAGCAAAAAAAATTATTCTATTGCTTTCTAAACTGGCAGCAGAGTTGCCAGATTAAAATGTTAATTTGAGTCAAACAGTAATAGTAAAATGCCTTACTATAAGCCAAACAATTAAATATTTTTGATTTGCTCTCATTACAAGAAAAGCTTCTGCTAAGATTTCTTTTTCAGTCTTAATCAAACAAGTGCAATCTTCGTTAGGATAACTCGTGTCAGATGCAAAATGTTTGCCCAACATTTAATGCACTATCACTAATTTGGCAAGGTATCGCCAAGCTGGAATTGGTTCTGACGACTAAATTTTGTCGCCAAATTTGGTGAGAAATCTCCAAACGTCGTCAAACTTGGCGACATTTCGGTCAGATCCCTGTACTGTAATTGGTGTAAATGCCTGTGTAAATAGTAACGTTAATCCTCAATACATAACTGTAACTGTATCCGGCCTACGTAACTAAACTGTGTATGCCTTCTAGTAATTTCGAGAAATCGAAGGTACTGTAAATTTCTCGTCGAATGAAGAAACTATATAAAACAGGAGAGAGCAACAGTTTTCCGATTTTTGTTCAGAGTTGACTTCGGTGTATTGAGAGATTTCCATGTCAGCTTCGCTCTTTAGATGCATTTTGAGCTGAGTTGTCTTTAACGTTCTTAGTACTTTGAAGCTATAACTAACAATCATGCTGTGTGTTATGTTGATAATAGTTTGAATTTTCGGTTATGAAAGAGCTGAAGTTAACTACTTTTCTTATTTAAGAAAAATCTGAATTTTTATTCAATTCTTTGAATTATTAATTTAATGTTTTATTATTAATAATTAATTTAATATTCGGTTATGTAAATTCTTTAATTTGAAAAAAAAAAAAAAAAAAAAAAAAAAAAACCAATGCTTCAATGATACTTTTATTTTTCTTTTATTTAAATTAATGAAGAATTCCGCGTCCTTGCGAAGGATTAAGGAAAGGAGCAAATTTTCTCCTATTCATTCTCTCAGGGTAACGTACTTCCGTAGATCTTTCTAGAAAGAAATTGCTTTATTTCGGTTGCCTTGAATGACAACAAGTACGTGGCGAAAGGTCAGAGGGGCTAACGTTTCACCTACAAATGAGGTCATTGCTTTGGCGATCTTACGAAACACTTTTAGACTGTTAGATTTTACACTTGGACTTTTGCGCGGAGTAGAATGAGGTGAAGTTTTATGTTCTTGCAGTAGTGACGGCTGGGAGCGGCAACTATGCTCCCCGGCCGCGTGTCTCATTGAAATTGCGAAAAATAGGATTTTGTGTGGCGATCTACTGAATTATTGAGCGAGTTTTTGTAATATCTAAAAGACTTTTTGCTCGAGTCGTCGAAGTGATGGTTGCCTTGGAGTGAGCTGCAAGGAAAAGGGGGGGAGCTGCACTTGTAGAGTCATTAGGTTATTTGGAAGCATAAAAGATGAAAAATATGCATCCGCCTTCGCCGGGAATCGAACCACGGACCTCTGGAATACCGGCCCAGCGTGCTACCGTTACACCACGAAGGCGCGCTAGGGAAGTGGGAGAAATACCTTATACACTTATGCTCCCGACATTGTTTCTCTTTTTTTAAGTTCGGGAAAAAAAAAAAAAAACAGAGTTTTCAATGGTTAGCGCGAAAGTGGTTTTGCTCCCCAACTGTAAAATTTGTCTGAACTAACAAAAAGAATAATTCTGCATTATACGTTCTGGTTCTTCCCGCCTTTTTAGTTTAGGGCTGATTTGGACATCCGTTGTGCTTCGTGGGTTACTGCCAGTTGAGCGTTAATCTTACCTCCCATATACTACGATGAAAGTTGTTATCTCGAATGGCATTCTGCCTTAAGGAGTTTTATTATCGATTAGCGTGTTCCACGTGTTGGATACAGGATCTCTTAGCCGAATCTCGCTAATAGTTATTGTCGTGGTTTCGCCGCTGTGAATGAACCTCGTCTGCTTCTGCATAACGCTTCAGATCGCCATGTTCGGAAGTCCTGGCCTTTTCTTCGACGTTTTCCTGCAACTGGGAGCCTAGTTAATTGTACCAGCTGGAAAACTCTTATTCCTTGCAGGCATTTTCGGCAACCTCAAATGGAGCCTTGGTATCACTTCAATAGACAAATAAGTTTTATTTACTTTTTTTATTCATCACACAATTAAGAAATGGACTGGTATTGACAATGGATCTTGCTCTAACGTAATTTGTGTTGAAGGAATTTACCTTATTAAACTCAAAATTTAATTTTTTTGAAAATTCGAGTAGTTCCTTAATCCTACAGGAGACTTATTTTTTTAGGCTGAACCCAAATAATTAATAATTAATAGGTTAAAATTTTCTGAATTAATTGTTCGTCCAACTATTAACTCATACTTAACACCTGAAGGTGAAAACTCTAATAATATATCTTCTTCTACTTTATAGCTTGTATTGAACAGTATTAAATATGCCTTATTTCTTAGTTTATATCAAAATTATGAATTAAGTTAAAATACAAAATTTACTGGGTAATCCATAAATGATGATTCTGGGAAAATTCCTTTTAGACCTGAGAATATTTAATAAACTTGGAATTCGATCCTTACCTAGCATGGTCCCGGAAAGACATTACTCACAACCCGATGTCTATAAATAAATACAATCACAATTAAATATTTAATTTGCTAGCATTTATATTTCTATGATTATTTTAGGTTATGCTAGCTAATTGGTTTAAGGTTTAATAACTTATAATATTGGCTTAAGGATTAATAACTTATCACGAATTCAACAGATAATGTTGTGGGTCCCAAAAAGGTACAATATTACATTGGTGACGTTTATTAGTTACGGTGTCACCTGTCAGTTCTGTGTCGGTATTTTATTTAGATATCGTAGCAGAAACTGAACATGTGTCTTACTAAGAAGATCTTTGCGAGTACTATTGTGGAAAATTCCAGAGCTGTAAAGTGTTTCTTATGCGAAAATAAATATTATCAAGCTACCATCGGTTCTGTCAGTATTCAATCCATTGCGAATCTGTATGCACGTAAAATTATATGTAAGATTCAAGTCTAGTTTCTTACTTTGTAGTGGCTTCTGTATTGTTTAATATTGACTTTTGTACTACAAGGGAAAACAATGTACTACTTGAAAACCACAGTTACTGAAATATTACATTATTTCGAAAGCGAGAAAATGTAAAAAATCTGATGTTGAACAATCAGTATTTCAATTTAATGACCAACGTGAAAACTGAGAAAAAGCAAAAATTTGATCTTGAAGGTTATGTTTTATTTTGACATAGATTTATCTCTCGTCTTAATTTACTCGTATTACCATAACGTGGACATAAGTGACAGGTGATATTACATTTCAATATGAATAATAAAATGCTTACGCAGAGAATTCATACGGATAGTCATCCTTGTATGAGGGAAAAAAATCCTTTCAGACGAGGCGATTATAGCTAACACCAGGCGTCAAGAACAGAAACATAAAGAAGATTATTCGCAATCTACCTTTTGAATTTCTTTACCAGGTAATTGATGAAAAATATTTAACTCTCAAAACACGAAACTGAGAGTTTCCCAGGCTTGGGGACAAATAATCAAGAACAGTATAGGATCAAGGAAAATTAAATTAACTCACGGTGGTGTTGAACTGATTCTTATTCTATCCAGTAGCGTCGCTGTCAGAATTCCTGAAAAATAAGAAAAGAAATTTCAGAAAGTCATAAACGGAAACATGATAAATGATAATACATATATAAATGAAACTTTTTTTGCATCAGATCCAGTATTTATCTTACATGAAAAATGTAGTAAAGCCTCCATAAGATGACTAGTTATGATACCAGTTAGGATTTTTATTTCCTGCGAAGCTGGTTGCTTTACATAACGGCCTAACAGTGATCATTTAATTACGCTTACATTCTCTGAATCTTACGTTCTCATCATGAGAGGTTTCACAGTGCTATTTCAAATTTTAATAATTTGGCAACGATTTATTATATTTAATAACTACAAATGCGTTAAGTAGGCATGACTGTATTAAATGTATAAAAAAAAAAGCATTACTGGGAGCATTTCATTCAAAAAATTCCTATAATTACTTACCATCATTCTCTAGAAATTTAATTTCTGACATTCATTTTATATTTTATTTGTAGTTATAAGTATGCATCTTAACTGCAGGAAGTTAAGCTGTATAAATCAGCTCAGTTTCTGTAAATTCTGAAAGAAAAGCCATAACAATTGTTTAATTTTACTACTTAATTTCACAAATACTCTCCATTTTAGCTCAAGAAATAAATAAAAATGCATTGAAGAATGAATGAGACATCTAAATTTTAATCTAGGTATTAAGATTTTAAAATTATCTGTCTCCTCAGTTCTATGAAGAAGTGATGATAACTTTGCATTTATTATTCTCTTAAACATCAAATAAAATTATGTTTTTTCTTTTTGTTAAAATGCATAGCATATTCAAAAACCTGAGCGGCGCACTTTTGCCATACAGTATGAAGAAAATATTTGACACTATTTTCCACATAATAATAAAATTTCTATGGATACTTGTTTTAATGTTCATTCAGTCATTTAATTCCCTGCCAACAGAAATTTTTTCATGGGTGAGTTAGTTGCAAAATCCCTGACTGCACCTATTCTTAATTCGAAAATTGTCGTCCATGCAGACACCAAATTTTCTTGCAATTTCTATGACTTTGCGATTCCCGTCAATAATTTCATCAGTTAGCAATACAATGCCCACCGTGATCGACGTTGATGATCTTTCTTATCGATCATAGTTAGTTAAGTCAATTCAGCCGTATTAAAACTGTTTAATTTTTGAATATGGGTAGAAATGACAAGCTTGTGGAGGTTTTGCTCAGCCTCCTTAATTTGACAATGAATCTTAACATAGCTGTGGCCCTTATCTTCTAGCGCATTGTGTTTTTTAATTCAACCTTGGACTAAATTTTTAGTTAATGCACCATTTTCTCATCGTGTTGAGATGCAATTCTCATAACTAAGTCATCATGAAATTATTTTCGTAGAAAGGAGTGGACATGAGCTTTATTCTACGCATGGCACCACTACTGCACTATTCTTTCAAGTTATAGCTACAGCTGTAATTCACATTTAGAGTCCCATGCGTAAGAATCTCTTAATGTTGTCAATTGCAATTAATATTATTTAATTGAGAATTTGAAATTTTTTGCGCAAATTCATTACTTATATGCAAGCTGTAATACTAATAATAATACTAATATAATAATAATTTGTTGATTAATTTTTAGTTAAAGTAATTGGAAACGATTTCGTTTCGTCAGAGAAATCTATATTTACTCATTTTAACGTAATAAAATGACACGTTTGGAATATGCTGCCCAGGAATATAAATAAAATAAATTTTTAGCACTTTGTTGCTTTGAAGAATAACGCCTTTTTATGAGATGCAAGATAAAAGAAAGATTACAGACTTCATGAACTGAGATAACTTCTGATATTTGTTTGCAGATGGTAAAATTTACTGTCAACAGTATTGTCGGAGATGTTTAAAAAACACATCTACTGTTAACATTTATATACTTGTTACTGTTTTTTACTTGTCATAAATATAATAATATTAAAAATTTATTAAAATAAATTTTATTCATATTTTGGTTTGGGAAAGGCATACTGAAGGCTTTTCCTTATCTGTATTAAACAGCGTCAATTTGAGAGTCTATTTTTCCATTAAACTAACCGCTGCTTTATCTGTTTTTAATGATTTTCAATTGTTTTCGAAGTTTAAACAAATAAAATATTGCTACGAATTTTGTTTTTATGTAAATAATTTTAGTGAAATATGTAAATTGTAGTATTTATTGTATAATGTAATATGAAAGGATTCTTGAGGGCGAAGCATCGTCAGGAAAACAGGGTGATAATAGTAAGTCCATTGAAACCTTTGCGGCACAGTGTGTCCGGTCTGGACACACCTAAAAATTTCCTTCTGTACGCACAGAAAAAATGAATGGAAAAGGATTTATAGGTTACTATAGGTTACTCTGAACCTTCTTTATTTATAGTAGATGGCAGAGAAACACAAACCAGTCCATATATTTTAGCCATGTTTAGTTTTTAATACCCTCATTTTTCAAAAGAAATCTTCCAGATTTTTTAGGGTATAAAAAGGAATTGTTTGAAAGAAAGGTCTATATATTTTTGGCTGTATGGCTAATCTCCTTATTCTATATTATTTTTAAATTTTTAGCTTCAAATCTTGCATAAAATCAAACTCTAGGTGTGCCCAGACCGGGCTCACCGATAATCTAGAACAACTGAGAGTCTGTATTCTTTGTTTCTCCGCATCTCATCGGTCAGTTAATTGACAGCAATGCTCGTTTCAGCACTCATTTCGAAGCTCTATTCAATCAGTGTGCCACTCTAGGCACACCCACAGAATTAAAGTGCTATCTTCACAAAATTTTACTTGTGTACTCCTCTAGGCCTAATTAGACTGCCTACCTTTTTTTTTTTTTTTTTTTTTTTTAAATCAAAACTTCGACTTTAAAAGGTAGCGTGTCGGAAAGGAATAACATTGAGGTAAATGATTTTCTTGTCAAACTAGCGAGATAGCAACAAGCTGGCAATGCTTTTGGCGACTAATTTTGTTACCAAATGTGTCGAGAAATCGCGGAAACTGGCAAAACTTAGGTACCATTAGTGCCTTACGTAATTGTAACTGTGTATGCCTTACAGCAAAGTTTGAGAAATCGAAGGTAGAAACTTCTCAGCGGATGGGTAAAAACTCTAAGATAGGAGAGAACAGCAGTTTGCAGTTTAGTTCAAAGTTTAGCTCAGAGTATTGAGAGATCACAGTGCGAGCTCACTCATCTCAGGTTCTTTTGGGTTGCCTTGTGTTCAGTGTTTTTAGGATGTACTTGTAGTTTGTAGTGGTAACTACTAAATTGTGCTCAGTCATACTGAGAAGAGTTGTACGAATACTATTGTGTGAAATGTTCCAGAACTGTAAAGTGTTTTTATTCATTAGCCCGAAAGCGCGGTAGCCCAATAGGGCTGCTTGAAACGGCATTTTGGGTCGAATCACTATAAACGGCTGTGTCACTTTTCAAAATGTTGCCACTTAGTATTATCGCCCTGTATTATATTTAAAGAAATTAAATAATGAATAATCTGCATGGATATATGTATGTTTCTCTAACGGAGAAAAAAAACGATGATACCTAGAGCCATCAAATTTTGAATAAAGTAGATCTCCACCTGAACACGGGCACATAGAAGCCCGAATCTTGAATTAAAATTTGTTCTATTAGTTATTTCATATTTTTTAAAATTTAGGGAATTTTTGATCAAGGAACTCAACGATTTCAAAGCGAGCAGTGGCAATACACTGTGCGGAATAAAATATTTTTATCTCCAGCGCGCGAGACTGTCTATCGGAAATTCTAACGATATGCTGTTTTTAAATATTTTTTTAGTCCAAAGGGGCGTTAAAAACTTTCAGAATCTAAAAATTTTCAGATTAAAAAAAATTTTTTTTTTGAAAAATAAATTAAATTAAGCTATTATCGGTTCTGTGAGCATGCAATCCCTTACGAACCGCACACAAGTAAAAATATTTACAGGCATCTTCTGGAAATCGAATAAAGCCGATAACACCCTACAGCGAGGGAAATTTTATGTGATTAAACTTGTTGGGAACTGGCTGTAGAAATTTGAGAATGACGGTATTTATAAAAAAAAAAAAAAGAACATCATATATGTACGTCGCTTAGTGATTGTTGGACATGAACGCATCAATGGAATCAGTGGTTTAATAAGTGTATAATTTTAACCGAAATTTACGAAGAAGTTTTCCTTTTATTTATTTATTCAAGTAAAGTAATGGCAATAAGGTTGGGGAAAGCTCGGTTTTAGAACGGACACGAAAACGTTTGAAGAATCATGACTACACTGGCTGAAATGGTGAATGTATCGTTTCAGTTAATTTGATTCTTCTTATGTTTGCAGCATTCCGATAAATGTACTGTGGTTCTGTTACATTCATACTGAATGTATGAAATGCCATCAGAATGCTTCAACTGCAAAAAGCTAATTTTGAAAATGGTTTCCCAATAATCTAGTTTATTATGACATATATCATGCTATGAATGATATAAGTATTATCTTCTATCAAGCAAAATGACATCTTGTAAGCCCACTTATGAAATTTAATTCTTGGAGTATAGAATTCAGAACAAGAAGTTTATATTTCAAGTGCTTCCTACTTTAAAGAAAAATGTTTTGCACTTTTCTAGTATTCTTATATATATTTAAAGTATTCAGTTCATCTCCTTCCCCGAGAAAAGTTCAGATTTTACGTATATGTTTAAAGTTTCATATTGTATTCAAAAGTTCTTTATACTGAAATGTTTCTGCTTTTTCCTCCGAAAATATCACGATAATAAAAAAGATCAGAAAATTCACTCTTACCTCCCGTTATTTTCCCAGTCTTCGTAAAAGTAACGCTTATGGTTTTAAGTAACCTACTGGCGTTTTGATTATAGCTGGTGCGGGTTGAACCAAAAGCATCGAGGAGAGGACACAGCTGTTGAATCTTTTCTGCCATTGCCACATTGCCACTCTGTGAAAGAGGAAGTAAAAAATGTACACAACTTTTTTCTTCCAAAAAGATAAGCATTCGAGACTTACGTTTGAAAATCTAGTAAGAGTACGCAGACGCTGACATGGTATGTGCATTTATATTTATTTATTTCCTGAAAATAACGTTATGCCCTTTAAAAATCAAAAGTTTTCGTTTGAAAGCAAGCATCTTTGAATTCGGAGATAAAGCGTGCATTGCCAAGTCACTTTAAAAATAGGATTTTTAGATTGAATCCAAAAATAATTTTAAATGTTACATTTTGGATGTTATAATGCCGATTTTTGCATAGTTGTTTTGTGTTAACAAGGAAATAGCATAATGACTTCGATTAAGACTTATTTATTATAAGAAAAATTCCAAAAGCTATTTCTGTTCTGACAGAGAATATTTATATTCACGCTAAATCTTCTATTTTATACATTATATACAACGTAAAATAAAACAGCAGTAATATTCTGGTTCTGCTTTGATTTTATAGACGCACAATCTTCTGAAGAAAACTGACAGGCTAATTACATATTTCTTTTAAAAAACGTAGTAAAAAAAGTAGTTAAAAAGAGCATTTTTCCAAATTTAACCATGGGATTAGAAAGAAAATTTTCGATGTTATTCATTTAATTAGTCTATATATGAAAAGCAAAATATGTGCTATTAGGTGTTTCATTTCATATAAGAGATGAAAACTTATGCAGTGTAAACGTAGGTAATAATAAAAGATAAAATTTCATTTTTTTTGTTGTTAATAATATTTGCTTAAATGATATTATTAACTGAAACAAATTTTAATAGCAGCTATAGAAAAGAGATTTTCATGCTTAATAAATTTTTGAAGCAAATCTTCCTAATATATGCACGCATAAATATGTAAACAAAAATCTCGCCATGAATAATTATGTATACATTTATTTGCTTGATACCATAATAATTTTTTTATATATTTGTTAAAACATTATTCTTCAGTATAGTTTTTTTTTAAAATTTTCAGCTGTTATTTAAGCTTTATATTTTTAAGCAAAAATGAAACATTTTATCTCGGATGGTTGTATGTGCTAGTTGTATCTGTCTATTTCAAGCCACCCCATATTGTATCCAGAGTCCTATGTTATTTCAATGTCTTTTTTATTTCGATTTTGTTAGAATATAAAATTTATTTAAAGGTGACCTATTTATTTTGAAAAATTGATTGATAATTCAAAGTGTTTGACGTCTCCAAAATCATCGTTTTATTGTTAAACGTCTTATTCAGAGATTATGCTATTTCGTGTAGTAAGTAATAGGTAGCATTTATTTAGTACCTGTCATCCAGAAGCTTAATGATAGAGGGTTATGACAGGATGGAGAGGAAAGGAGAAAAACGGAAAATTTTATGCAGTTCTATTATTTCTCTTAGAACAAAACCATGCTCAAAATCATCTGTACTTATCAATTCTCCCTATTACATTATGCACTAAAGAAAAGAACTCTTCACTTAAATCAAATGAGGGTAGTAAATAGTTTGATTTACGCTAGTACCATTTCAAAATATATTACCATATTTTTAACCAGCTCTAAAAGAGTTCCAATAAAAGTATTACTTTCAAAATATTAACAGATATTGAACATTTTAAGATGACATTTCCATTGGTTATTATATTACATAAAATTATAGTATTTAAATTATAGTATTATTATTAATTATAGTATTAAGTTGCCTACAAAGAGAATAACTTTCGAAAACTGCATTATTTTCAAAACAGCTATATATGAGAACATACCCCCGAAAAAAACCGAAATTATTTTTAAGTAATTGTGTTATACTTTACATTAAATATTTTTCTTCTCTTCAAGCTTCTGTACATTTTCTCATTGATTTGCTCATTGCTGAAAACATATAAACAGTTCTGTAATGTTTGATAGCAAATATTATATAAGGCAAGTCACCTTTTTGCATTTCATCTACATCACTGAAATAATTTTTTATCGATATAATTCCTTTTTGAGAGCTTTGTTTGTATGGATAGAGAAAAAAAACATCGCATTGAACCAGAAGATTTTGTAACTCACATAAATGAGACGCATAATGTTCTCTTCAAGAATTGTTTGACGGAAAGAGCTTCTTTCTAAATCTGATGAAAGGTCTTTCTGCTGCCAGTTCTGAATTAACTAACCAGCGAAATCAAATTTAGAAGTACTCTTTCTTTTCAAATATCTAATTATAGCTGATCAATGTTCTGTTAATTTTTTGAATTCTTTGTTTCAAGTGAATTGAGGAAATGCTTACTGATCAGATATTCAGATCATTATTTGAGATACAAACAAAAGAAAAAAATCCTAGTTCAAATTTCTCCCACAGAAGGGAAATAAAGGTTTCTTTTACTTTTTAAGATTAGCATGACCTCATTCCATTCATAAATTAATTTATAAAATTATGTTAGGAGCATGTCTTTTAAACATTTAGTGTAGAAGGAAAATTTAAAGCTAGAAAAGGCTTTTCTGTAGGAACAGAATAGAAAACATCAATAAGAAACTTCTGTAAGAAATTTGAAATTTGTATTTAGTCTGAGACATAATATATTATCGAATGCATAATTACATTATTCAACTGAACGAATTAGATAATCTTATAAATTAAAATAATAATTATAAAGACAAACGTACTGTTCATTAAATACGCACCTGTAGTATGAACAGCATATTTGCTTTAATAATAATTTGAATAATAATAATAATAATAAAAATAATTTGAATTTCCTTTATGGATACTATAATTTCCTGTTTTTGGCTTAAATCGGAAATTACTTTCCAGCTATAGAAAAATTAATCAAAAACCAATGGTAGATTTTTATTTGTAACATTTATTCTTATTTCTGAGATCTAATTATATAAACAGATACTAAAGCTACCTAATAAATTAAGTTATTACTCATCTCAGTAATACGGTATGATATAACTCAATTTCAGCCCTTGGTACTTTGTACACTCATTTATTAAATGCCCTATAAAAGTTCTTGATTCAATAAAATTATTTCAGAATTTCTTTTATATTAGAAAAAATTTAAAGTTTTTCTATTGTTACGTCCTTGTACGAAGTGAATGAAATATAAAAAACCGCGAAAAATTTCGGGTGTCATATTTCAACAGAAATATTCAGTCGGATGACCATTTTCGAATCCATATGGACGATCTTTTGTTTGACGTCTGTACGTACGGACTGAATATAGGACTATTGTTACCAAAAAGGATTGTAAAATGGATTCAAAATGACTTTTTCGTGATGTCTATACGTACGTACCAACGTATGTATCTCGCTTAACTCAAAAATGATTAGCCGTAGAAAGTTGAAATTTTGTATATGGGATTACTTGTGTACTTCCCGTTTGTATTGAAATCGGCAGTATTATAAATGATTTACATTAGTCATGAAAAATTAAATTATAAGAAGTTTAAGTCCCATATGAAAAAAAATTGACCGGGAAGTATAATTTCCAAATTTGCAATTTTTGACTTCATTTTCAACTTTTCTTAATTGATCAGTTAATTAAGGTAAAAATATTCGAAGAAATAAGTTTAAATAAAGTGCCGGAAAGACTGTGTATAAATTAATAGGCGATACAAAGAAGTCATGTAGTGTTCACATCAGATTTCTTTTCCATTTAAGAGTCGACTTTAGTCCTTCGATTTGTTAGTTACCTATGCAAATCTCATGAGCTCTTGTTGGTATGAAGATAAGGAAGAGTTAGCGGAAGTTACCTCTTCACATTTTCAGAGGAAATAATACTCCATTATCTACATTTGCAATTTATCAAAAGCCTTTCTGTTGAAATACTAAAATCAGAATTCACATCTTTTCATCTGGGAATACATGAAAATTTTTTTTTTAATTTTCAGCTGAGTCAGTTATTATGAATCAAAATTTACTGAAATTAAGTCGAGGCAAGCAAACAAAAATATGCAGATACATTACTTCTCTTAAGTATAAAATAACACCAACAGTTGTCATTTAATAAAACTAAATCTTCCCCATTAAGTAACATTAAATATAAGCTAAAAATACTTCAGTTTTAAATGCTGTTGGAATGCTTTTGTGATTCGGCTTTAAACGTAAAAGGATATAGATGAAAAGCATCGAAATATTATTAATAAGTGCTCACGCTCACTCTTTTATAAGTCATTGATGAAATGTATTGCAATATGCATGCTACTTCGTCATAATTATCAGATTTTATTTTGAATGTAAGGGATAATGTACGATGAAACAAAGCTAGAAAGTTTGTAGAAGAATTTATATTATGACACTCTCTGAAGATATTTCAGCTGCCACAATCATATACTAGATTTTACCTCACTGATAAATATTTTCAGTAGTATATTTCTAACCATTTGTTTATAAATGAATTTTGGATTGCTGGATTATTGACGTCACATGTATGGTGTGGTTAAAGGAAGGGTAATGAAAACGCCGTTGTGGGGGAGCATATATTCGTTACCGGACATACGAGTAGCGCGGAACGACCATGAGCAATTGCGTGTGGGGTAGCATGGGCTCTCCTTCAGTAGGATTGCAGGCATGTTTGATGAATGCCTGCTTGAAAGTGGCTTTAAAATTCTTCGATAAATGCACAACGTGCAATCATGTGCTTTTTATTAACTGCACGCTATGAGATAATTCTTACTTATTATTTAAGACTGTGGAAACGTATTGAAAGGATTACAAGACCCGGCCAGCCAAACATAATCGTTACATATAAACTCAAGAAACCAGGTAGATCAATGAATGCTTCAAGGCGTAGGAGGAATTTTGAAGTTGAAATGCCATTTTTCTGCAGCAAATTTATCAACGCATGTGCCATCTGAGTGGAAGAGAATGAGTGCTACATGTAACATTAATGCGCTTGGTTCTTCTACGTTGTGTGATTTCATGAACCTGTTTCTATCATGTATTACACGGTAAGGTCAAAACTACATTTGAAAAGAAAAGGAGGTTCTGTTTCCACATCGTGAAAAATTTTAGCGAAGACGTTACCTTTTCATTTGATTAAATCAATCAGTCACACGATTAAAAATAAACCAATGAAGCTGTTATGTATATTATATTCAAAATACTTACTGTACTTAAAAATGCTAACTGGTTAATGATCTGCGTTGCGGAGAAGGACTTGCCGCTATTCGATTTCCCGAAGAGAATAATGACCTAAGAACATACAAAGTTAGATTAAAAATTGTTTTAATTTACTTAAGAGCTCAGTTTCAAGAGCACATTTTATTGCAAAGAGCGTCACAGAAGTCCCGCATCCTGATTTGAGTTACTATTATGCATTACGACATAATTTATGTTTGAAAGAATGCTTTTACCACTGCCTTCCATTGTCATGTCTGAAGGTTATGTGTGGTGAGATTGTGGTACACAACATTTATTTGCAGTCTTATAGGGAATGAATGAAGATCAATTCAATTTATGAGGAACGGAACTTTTGAGACACTAATTAAATTTCTTTTGCTTAAATATGCAGATACCTGTGATCTTTTATGATGAAGCATTTGCTGGTATGCTCTGTCCGCTACAGCGAATATATGAGGTGGATTATCTGATCGAGCCTTTTCCTGATACAGCATTTGTATCTAGAATGACGTTAAGAAAAAAAAAAGGCGATGCAGATTTGATATACTTCACATAAGTAATTATAAAGTTAATCCGATGAAAAATATATAAAATCGAGAATATGATTACAAACAAAATATGATGCAAAAATTGGAAAATATAAGTCAAATATTTGGTTTAACTCAAACGAAACTAAATTTAACAAAATATATAATACAACTGAAGTAATAAATTGATATTGACTTTTTTTTTTTAAATAATACTTTATCTTGGAATTTATCGTTTTTGATTCTTTCTTATTTCTACTTACTTCTAAAAAGCGATACAATACGGATATTGTTTTAGGTAAAATTTAGCAATGGTTCGTACTGTACAAAGACCGTTGCTAAAACCGCTATGCTACAAATATTGAATTCAAGCCATGTGATGTACATATAAAACAGCATTTTTAACTTATTGGGTACAAAATGACTGATAAATAGAAACAAAAACATTTGTGAGAGAGACACCTGGTTTTTAATTTGTTTTAAATTGTTACTTTTTATTTTGGTGTACTTACAAATTTTGGGGCGGGATTATGATTGTTTAAATAGCCAGGGAAAATTTAATCATGGGAAAAGGATTAGAGATATGAATTAATTTAAACTCTCTGTTATTCGGATTTAAACTAATATGATTTCGAATAAATTTCTCTTGGGATTTTGCGTATAAAATTTTAATACAGTATGATAATTTTATCGAAAATGTTTGAGTAAAACAAGAAAGTTTTTAAAATCTTAAGACAACAGAAGTATGTTTATTTTGGGCAAAAACTCTGACTTATGAAATCTGTAGAACGTAAATGTAATATTCATGATTTAAAAATAAGAATAGCTCGTTTACATAAAAATATAATCATATATATTTTATTAAAGATGATTAATGATGTTTTATTAAAGATTTTAAGCACTTTTCTACATTAATTAACATACTAATTATAATTTTTTATGCATGTCAACAAATTGTAATTAAAAATTAATAAGAACTTGTCTCTTAGTCGAATACTGCTCGCCTGAACTATAAGTCTACGGAAAGGGATGCCTTTAGGAAGGAAACTGGCTCTTATTCTCGTTCTAGTTTAGCTTATTTGAGGGGATTCGAACTCGGAATGGACAACCAGTATTTCGGGTTTTATTTATTTGGGCACTGTTATGTATTAATGAACGCATGCGTAAAATTAAACAGCTGCTTAACGTAGTAAGATATAATTTGCAACTGTTATGTAAAATAGATTGTTACATGTTAGCATCTTAAATACATGTTCTAAATAGACAGGCGGGAGGAAAAGGACAACTTAAACTTTTGTTAAAGTTCTGTGCAATGAATTACATTTACACATGCAGAGGATCATCTAAAGATAGTTTAAGAAAAAATGTCAAGATAAGGTTTGAATTCTGATTAACGCAGAAATTATTGTCACTACATTCATCCTAAATATGTAGGACCACCAGGGTAAAACATTCACAGTTTAAAAGCTATAAACATATAATAGTATTATCAATCGCTTATACAGGAAAAGCAAAAATAATTAAATAATTAACTCAAAATTCTTAAGTTTGCAAATAATATGAACTAAACTCTCAAATGGCTCATGCCTCCTCGTAGTTTCCATCTGCGTTTAATATTAACCAGAGAGGAAAGGTGCAAACAGCAGTATAGTATAAGATAATTCTAAAAACGTCGATGTGACATCTAATGCATGTGCTTTCTAGAAAGCTCTAATTCTCCTAAATTTAGCGAGAAATTGTCTAACGCCATCAAGGTTTAGTCGATTTCAAATAATTTAATAATTTCAAATAATAATAACATTTAGTCTTAATCTATTTTCACAGTTCCAACGTCTGTTTATATAGAACTACAAATAATGAAAAATAATAAAGCATTGGAACATATATATATAAACACACCCACAAACTGAAATGATTCAAAATATACAATGAATAAGAACAGTGTTATAATAAAGGGTACTTCCATCTTTCAGCAGCGAACGGGCTAGTCGTTATTATTGACAAATATACTAATTCCCAATATGTAACAAGAAAATTTAAAATGTCACCAAAGACTTAACTTGTGGCGTCTTTGAAAGGAATTCAATAAAATTATATGCAAAATAAAAAAATAAAAATAACTGTAAATATTAAAAATTACTCGATATATGAAACAAAAGTTTGCTGAATATAAAAAACAAATATGAAACTAGATACAACCAAATAAACAAAATTATTTACATAAGTAACATCAATATGTACTCTATGCATTGACAAACATGCATAAATACATAATACATGGATAAATTATTTAATTCAAAGGGAATAATTTCAAAATTATGAAATATAGGTTATTAAATATGCATCTAATTAATTAAGGATCTGTAACTTTATAATATCCAGGTCATTGGCTAGAATGTGAATAAGCCGGAAGATGGCTAATCTATTTGCTTCAGTTTTCTTTTTCTTCAATATTTAAAAGTGTTTGACTTTATTAAAATTCAGATAATTTCTTGTTATTTCATGACTTATTAAGATCATTTCATGACAAGTTAATCTTTTGTTTTTCAAAATGTCAATCTAATATTTCAGGTAAAAGTTAAATTTTTAAATATAGATATTTTGTTCTGATCTTATAATTACTTCCATAAAAGATACAAAGAATTCCTTTCGAGATCTTCAGTGTTTAGCATAGCCCATTACTGGCGTTGAATGCTTTCCAGTCCTTCACTCTACTGTAAAGACACCTTCTGGTCGACTACGAACATATCGTAATGCTTATGCATTTGTAGAGAAGATCGATTCTTCATTAAAGCGCACTTAAACATTATAAAACAAATTTCTGTCTATTGATACCGAGAAAATATCCAGGGGAATTAAAAAATAAGATTTTAATTAAAAGTAACAAAAAGGAAAAAAATGAAATTGAAGAAAATAATGAAAGGATTCATATTTTAAGGGTTCCCACAAAAAGATTCTTTTGAAGGTTGATATAGTTTATAAGCAGAGACTATCAACGGAGGTAGAGCTTCTATGTAGAATAGGGAAGCATTTTTCAGGATGCTAGATGTGTATACATTTGGACTGACATCGGAACATTATATATCTTTTATATATTTGAAAATTGAAAAACTACATAGCGTAATTCTATAAAAATGTTAAATGTTTTTAATTAGGTATATCATGAATTAAATGCAGTTTTATTTAAATGAATCAGATTAAAAAGTAAAAAAGTAATGTTCTTAAGAAATGCATCTACGCTTTATTTTTTTAATTAGTAACAACAGATTAAATATGAAAGAATAACATCTTACGTTTTTCCAAATGGCAGCAGATTGAAACAACGAAAAATTGTGCTTCGAGATTAAAAGCCCTTTTCGGCTAATAAAAATTCTTCAGAAATAATAAAATATCAATTAAGGTTTTTTTATACTTCAAAATAAAATATTTAAGAATAAGTACTACGGTATTCGTTCTTTAACATTTTTAGCTTAAATATATATATTTTTTTATTCACACCAAGCTCAATTTTGTTCTTTTTTTTAAGCCTTCAAACATTTAATGCATTATTTTCCGTCTTTATCCGAGCAGATATTTGCAAAATTATGGATACAGTTTTAAACCTACTAAATTTGTTTATTTTTTTAATAAGCATATTTTCACCAGATTTTATTGATTTATTTATTTTCATCCTTCGTGTAAATTTCATTTTGCTATCATATTTTACTTTCAAAAATTGGATATAATCCTCGTTCTTGTATAGAGCTTCACGAATAAAGCTTGCTGATAATATTGAATTTTCAAAAATTTTCCTTTTTCTGACCTTACTTAATTTTAATTTAAAAGGTTCTGAAGAATTTCAATTTTGTGAAGGTCTTTTTTACCAACCAGCTGAAAAACATAAAGCAAAGTCAGGGTTGAATATTAAGCAATAAATAAAATAAAATATTAATCAAATTATTTACTTAGAACATGAAATTGAATATGGAATAAATAGTCTTTACCACAATATCTAGTATGTGCAATTAATTTGGAAAACGACCACACAAAAAGCAAAAAAATAGGAGAAATAAAAATAATTATAATTAGCTTGTTACTTAAAAAGTAGGATGCCTTCATGCATAAACTATGCTATAATTAAATGTCGCCATTAATAATTAAGAAGTACAACACAAAAATCGGTATTTTAAAAATAATTATTAATTTAAACTTATAATAAATAATAATCATAAAATCATAATATAATATATTTATAATAATAAGATTATTTACTTTTCCCCCTTTTTTTTCTTTAAGTCTAATAATTTGTCTACGATTGTATTTGCAGATATTGATATAAATTTCTGTAAAAGAAAGTTATTGTTGCTTTATCATGTTGATTTTTTGCTTTGTTTTATTATTCTCCTCTGATAAATGTAATCCTCAATTTCCCAGCCATAATTTAAGGCGAAAACTTGAATATTTATCGCCTAAATATTGCTATAATTTTTACGTAGAGAAAGAATCTGGCACGCGTTTGTTATTTCTTAACCACCATGTCTGAAAGCAATTCTGATTATTTTCAATTAAAGTAATTGAAATGACACTTTTATTTCTAATGTAACGTACTGAAACGTATTTTTAATGCATTTGGATTCCACGGAACATAATTTGAGGGATTATTGATCTGAAATTACAGAAAAAAGTCCTTACTTGTTGTTTTACTTTGTTGCTTGGTATCTTAAGAACACTGTAGCAGAATACTACAGGTAGTTGATAATATTGTTCTTTTATATATCACAAGCGGAAAACATACTCATTTAAATGACAGATAGGCGCCTTAGAGGCTTTAATCAACTTTAGTTATCAGGGGAAAAAAGTAAAGGAAGGAGGACTGCACAAAATGTCTCGCCCATATGGCTGAGTAAATTAAAACACTCAAAACATAATTTGCGCTTCAAAAAGCAATATGCTCAATTAAGAATTGTAGAGGGATGTAGCTGTGAAATACGTAATTAAAAGGTAATACTTGAAATGAAAAAATTAAGTACAACGCAAAATCCATATATAGCTTATATATTTTTTTCTATTTTTCTGCAAGGAAAAAGATGAAAAAACTTTCAGTACTCTCTAAAGAGATACTTTTTCCATTTATCTAGAATTAAAATGCCAAATGTAGTGAATAAGCAACATGTTACAAACGCGTTCACTCAACTCAGCTGAGAATTATTGGTGCACTTTTTTTTCTGATAGAAACTTGCCATGCCTCTTAGTTAATTTTAAAATTATGCATATTATATTTAATTAGCAACTAATAAACTGAATTCTTAATTAATAATAGCAACTAATAAACTGAATTCTTAATTAAGAATATGATTTGGATTCATATCTAAAGTAAAGTCTTAGAGAGCTGAGGGAGTTTGGGAATATTTAGCTGATGTCATGAAGAATTATTCGAATTTTCACTTCGAAAGTGAATGTCATGATGATTAATGTGTTGTTAAGAATTAAGAAAAAATTTGGAAAATAAATACAGTGTTACAAATTAGAAAATTAATGTTGAAACTGAAATAATGATATTAGTTTTTACTGAGATGCATCTCAGTACCTAAAGAAATCAAGATTTCAGTGATCAATGCTTTATTCTTAGAATAGAATTAGTGTATTTTGAGACAAAGGAAAGACTCTTTGATTTAGAATTAGAATAAATTTGTTAATGATTAAGCATCCTGATTCTGTTTTATTCCAAAGTTTTGTAAGTACTCACTACTTCTATTATTGTATAAATTTTCCAGAAACATGTAATTGATAAATAGGAACGAAAAACGAAATAATGACAACTATGATGCCAGAAACAAGTGATAGTTTAGTGCTAAGTTAGAGAAAATAGGATATTAAATATCTTGTGCGTATAATGGCGTTGAAGGTAAGAGAACTAGAATTGTTTTTATTGTAATATTATAATTCAATGGATAAAATGGCGTGGCTGACTGTTTTACCTCTAGAATAGCTTTGCACAGCGGAAAATATCTAATGACATTTTTAATGTACAATATAATTTGTTTAAAATAGTATAACATTAAGCGTTTTTGGTACATTTTAAACTAACAGAAGCATTTGGTGAAATGCAAAAATTATGCTTAGAATTGTGAAATAGGCTATTATTGTATGAGTGAGTGAGAAAACAGTGATACGAGTTTGAAATTTAAAAATGAGAAAAATGAAACAAACGGCAACATTCGGACACAACATGAAGATAACATTCGGTTTCGAGGAAGAGGGAACGGTTTCATCACAACAAAATAAATTGATTAGAAGAATCTGTGAAAATATGTAAAAAGTAAACATTTCAGGTGTTGTTAGCATAAAAACTTAAAAGTGTTTTAAGTAGAGTACCAAGTACTTCAAAGCCAAGGCAAACTCGATAAAATCTGCTGCTGGTTGCTACCTATCACACGAAACATTGAATTTCTGTTTTTAAACAGATTGTAATTTTCATTGCTTTTCTTTAGGCTGTTACATTTTCGTCAAGACGTAGTAGCAGAAGAGTCCAGAAAGCTGTAAATGAGCTTTCAACTTTCTATAAACGGAAGAGAAACTGGCGTAAGTTATTCCTACGAAATTAAATTAAAACTGAAAACAAAAACTAAAATTTTATTTTCTTTAAAACTCGAAATTTAGATTTTTGTGTTTATTACTGCTATATGTGCATAAATTTCTATTTATATTTTGCAAATAAGTGCTATAATTATTCAATGGATATAGTCACTACTATTTCTAACTCTAATAAAAATTAACTTTGGAAAAATGATTAAGTGTAGTAGTTTATTTTTTATTTTTTTTTTGTTTATTCTTCAGCGGAACATTTTTTAAAGTGTACTCTTAAAGGAACTAAAAAACTTTTAAAGTATTCAAATTTATATAAAAATGTGTTTCTGGCAACATTTAAGAAAGAAAAAATATTCTCAGAATTTAATTAAAAGAGAATAGTTACTTAATTACTGAGGAAAAGTGAGCTTGGAAACTTATCGCACTCTCACATTTTTTTTCCCGAACTTATGTCCAGAGGCACAGTTTTATTTTAATAGAAATTTTTTATACCTGAGTATGTGCAATAATTAAAATTTATTCACAAAAATTATTTTACTAAATTGTTAGAGAAAAAACTTGTGAAATACCTTTGAGTCATATAATGGTAGTTTTTTTCTCGGATTGATGGCAACAAGAATATCTCCTATATAAGTATATATTTCGTTTTGCGAAAATCGACGATATAAGAAATCAACCACAGAATCCTAGAATATTTAAAAACAAATTAAATATCGATTTTTTACAGTTCACATCTATATAATTTCAAGTGAATTTCCACACGAAACGAACTTTTTTTTTTCATTAAAGTAAGAAAACAGAAGAAGAAATCACACTAAAGACATGAAAGGATAAGTAAAATGCACAAAAATAAAGTAATAATTTATTTGTGTTCTAAATTCAAGTTTCTTAAAACTGTCATGTAATTAACGAATCATACTGCAAATTTAAATTACTGAATAAAAGCAGTTGCTTCTTGATTCCATATCAAATGTGTCATTACATACTGTATAGCCAGAATAAAAGCAAAAATTCATTGACAAGGTGTTTATAAAGAATTTCTGACGATTCCCGGCGAAGGCGGCTGCTCATTTTTCATCTCTCTTGCTACCAAAAATTACCTAATGTCTCTACAATGTACCAATAAGTTTTATTCTCTTGGACATGGCCTTTTTGATAGAGGTACAGAATCCTAACGTATATTATCTTGGCCTTTTTCTTCGGAATTAAAAGCAGAATTATTAAAAAACAGGTTAAGAACTGATATTAAATATAAAGCTATAATAAAGGAATTAGGAGGTAATTATAATTGCAAGCCTTTTTATAAAATTATATTAAATAATTACTTATAAGGATTATAATTATAACTATAAGAATATAATTAAATATAAGAATTTAAAGCAGATGCGTGCAGAATTTCCTTTGAACCTTAAATAACGTAAACATTGTTTTCAGACTAAGAAATAAAGTTTTAGCATCCAAATTGGGAGTTTTTGAATGCTGACAGGAAAGTGAGATTTCTGATAGATAATATGGATTTAAATCCAGGTTTCCTTGCAATGGAAACTTCAGAAGCTTTTATTGCGTAACATATCTAGTTAGATTGAAATGAGTATATAAAACAAATTAGGATAGATCTCGACGTTCGGAGGGAATTTTTATATCAACCACACGGCATGTAAAGACACGCATTGAAACTGTGCTTGTGTTAGAAATGTATTAGTTTTAGAAACTCGGAAAATATATAAAATTTATGCTCCTGTACTTTAATTGTAACTAAATTTTATTTATTTAACGGACGTTTATAAAATTGTGTAGCTTAATAATAGCAAGACTTTAATTCGCATTACCATAATATGAAGCTATTTACTTCGGATTGATTTTCTATTGCTGCCAAATCGTCAGGTAGTATTTTGACATAGGGTGAGTCAGCATCACTTTTGAAGTTCCAATTTTTCACTGTAGCTGTAAGCGGATTTGATGGAACAAGTGGATAAAGATTTTCCTCCACCAGCGTTCCTAGTTTTTTCAGAGTCTGCAAAAAAAGCAAAGGATTATGCCTGTATTTATTTAAATAGTTTAATTTATCATCATATAAAACTGCCTTAAAATTGCCAAAAATGAAAATAAATGATAATAGTAAATTATTTAAAATATTTTATAAACAAGAATGAATTTTTTTTTTCAAATAATGGTATCATATAATCAAGTACAATCCGTGTATGATTTATATGTTTAGAAAAGAACGTAGGCCAAGCTTCGATTCCAGTAGGATGTCTAAATGTCAGTATTCGAAAGCGTATTCTCCATGCATTCAAACTCAAGTATTCTTTCAACATAATGCAGATAAAAGAATTTGTCTCTTAACAAATAATACAAGAAGAGTATTTTTCTTATTATTTAAGATTATTTAAAATGAAAGAAATGCTAATTGAAAGGATTTCTGTTATTCCTTAAAACGTAGACATATGATGCAATTATTGTTTTAGATCGTTGCTGAGTTTTGCTTTGGACAATATCAATAAATTCATGAAACGTTTCGCGACAAGGACTGTGAGGATTTCCAATATCTCTCATAATATGTCTTTTTCTTTATTCATTCGGATCAATTTTTATTTCAAAGTCAGACAGTTTTTGTGTCCTTTTTAACAATTCACTTAACTTTTTATACGTTAAAGGCTCCTTATATTCTTCACTATCGCTGCTTACACCGTTGATAAGATCATCAAAGATTTGCCATTTCACTACGTCATTTTAGACTAATTCTTTAATTTTTCCTCCTTTCATATCTGAAAATCCTTCATCTCCTTATTGCTTTTGCAATATTTTTGAATTCTTTGGTTTCATTTCAGTCGACAGAAATCCTTTAAAACTGTTAACAGCGGCTGGCCAGCCTTGATGCCAGCAAAAGTTCATTGTTGGTGAATGCAGCTGTTCTCATTTGAGTTTAAGCATTTCTATGCTGTGTATACCCTGAATTGCTTCCAAAATGCCATTAAAGTGACGAGCCTTCCTTCGTCTAGTACTTTATGTACAGTTATGTGAACATTCCTGATGTAAAATGCTTTGAATATTTTTATCATTTCTTGATCCAGATTATGAAAGTGGCCTTCGGTCTCAATAATGAAACCTCTACATTTAGATGCAATGTTGTGAGGACTTCAATACCGTGTCCTGGAGGATTATTGGGAATTAAGAGAACCTTAAAGTACAGGTTTTGCTTTCCTAAGCAATATTTTACTTTTTAATGAATGAAATTTCAAACCACTTGTTAACAAGGGCTATCACAACTCGACCGACGTTTTGCACTATAGCTGAACGCACTATAACGTTTTGCACTATAATTGAAATTTTCACATTGGACCAACTAAATGGAGAAAATTAAGAAACCGCGTATACTCAAGTTCGTGTTCCGAAAGTTTGCATTTGGTAAGCATTTACTGTAAATCGAAACCCGCAAACATTCGAATACTTTCAAGGAATCAAAATTGAAAAATATTAAATTCAAAATGTTTTAAAATTTTATATAAAAGTTTCACTTTTGTCTAATTTTTCGTACATAATGTTAAAAGTAACATATTTATCTTTCAGTATCATGCATCACAATGGTCTTATACCATAGGGTCTCTAATGGCTACCTTTCAAGATTCTCGAAAGTTCCAGAATTTTTAATAAATTATCAACAATGATTATTGTCTTAAAATTGGGATAACATATATGATATGAAATTCTCATATATTGTAAAGGTTAAATAATTTCTAGGCTCATTCAAGTGAGTTTCCGAGTAAAAATAAAATATCTTGAGGCTTTGTCATGCATTAATAATGACATTTGATTAATAATACAGCATATTTAAACAATTAAACTATTATTGAAGATTATAATAATTGATCAGCGTAATGTTTGTGAATTTGCAGGATTATAATTTCGTAAGTTAAACTATAAGTCGTAGTTGAATTTTTGAAAACGGTATTGAAAATCACAATAAAATTATTATCGACTTTTCTAGTCCCAAAGAGTTCTAGTTCCCAAAGATTAGAAATTTTGGAGCTCTGTGAACAAGAAAAACAATTACACCTTTTTATAAAAGCATTATATGACAAGAGAAGTGTAAAAATAATTACTTCGAATCTAGTTACATGAACATTAATGGATAAGTGATAACATTAGAGCTACTGAAATGTATGAGACAATTTGATTTGTTTTAAAAATTATTTTTATTTTTACATCACAAACACATAACTACAAATGGCATAGGAATGAATTTTAAAACTGCTTTTTGTTTGAGCGATAAAGTAGATAAACACTGGTTATTCAGTCTGGGGTTCGAATACCGGAGAACAGCCTGACTGCATGGAAGTTTTCTGGGTTTTCCGAATGCGTAACGTTTATATGAGCCAGTATCCTTCATGAAGGCTTACTTTTTCTTATGCACATAGCCGAGTCCATTGCTTAATCAAATAAACCAAATTGTCACAGTTTTCTTTTAATTTCTTCTTACGCAAGTCATTCGAATGATCCTAAGCATGTGATTTTGTAAGAGATTTAATTTAAAATTTTCAAAATGATACAATAATTCCAATAATTTACTATGGAAAACAAGGAACAGGTTAAATATTTTTGAACGAGAGGATTAAAGAATAAATGAAGCAGTTTTATGCCAAATATTAAAAACATTACATCAGTACATCACGCCCAGTCATAATATCAATTGAAATCGATCTTTTGCGCAATTAGAACCTGCGATTGTTTTTCTGTAAACTTGATTATATTTGTAAAATTAATAATAATAATAACATAAAAAATAGCAAACCTGAAATCTAATAAACTACTTTTTTCCAAAACTCCTGTTTATAATATTAGGGTAATTATTATTTTTAGGTTATTTAGGTACAATTATTTGGATTAAGATTATTCTATATGCTACTATATATTATAGAGAAAAATGTAAGGGGTCGATAAAGAAAAAGATTCTTTTAAAACGGGTTGATACAAGAAAAGGGTTGGGAATCCCTCTCGTAAATCGATGATAAGATATTATCCTCATGAAAATGTATTACTATTAATTTTATAAAGTTGAAATATTCAAAAAATGAACTAATTAAAAATATTCTGTAGTTAACGAACTCAATTAATTAATAAGATTTATTTTGTTTCTTCGGGGGGATTTCTTAAGCTTTAATATTTTATAACATTTTTTTTTTTTTTTTTGCTTTCCGAAAATCTGCAACAAAGAAGTTTTTTTTTTCTTCTTTTTTAGAAGAAACTTCTTTCTTTAGTAAAATTTCATTATACTTTAGGATTTAGGAGGATGTTAAAATAATCAACAAGAAAATGAAGTATTATGAATTTTCTTGGTCGGAATTAACACTAAACTTGAAAATGCGTTAAGGGTATTTCTAAAATTCTTTGATTACTGGTTTATTATCTTTTCAAACCAATTTCATCTAATACTACGAAAACGTATCTTTATGGAGTGTTAACGGATTTATGATTACTCAGCGACTGAGAAGGGTGGAAGAAGAGACATGAAAAGGTGATTCCTTTTTCATACCGAAATTTATATTTAGCTTATGAGTAGGCTTGTCCAGTCGTCCCACTTTGACCGGGATTACCTTATTAGTTAAATGATGTGGTCCTTGCGTTCCGACCAATTTGTCATTTTCTTCCGGTTACTTGGTAAAATTTTAGAAAAGATGAATATATAAGAAGTAAAAATAGTAGAACCTCAGGTAAAACAGCTATGTGGCAGTTAAAATATTCCCTCTATTACACTCACTGTTGGCAATTTAAACATTTTGTATCTGTTTAAAATAAGTACTTTTAAAGTTGTCTAACTGTTATAACCTCGAAATTATAGCACGGAGCTTAATGAATTTAGACTATTTATTTTTTCATCCAGGTGTTTTTTAAACAGTTTATAATAGCATGTAGCCTATGACCTAACCTCTTCCGGTTAAGGTTTGTAAATTGTGCATTATTTGCTTAACTTTATTGTTCTTATCTTTCTGTTAAGGTTTTTATGCCTTTAGTAAATCTGTATGCAATATTTTTAGAATTATCAACAATTTAAAAGTTGTTTAAGTGCTGCTAGCCTACTAATTTTTTGATGGCGGCCATTGCTGTTACATTTGAAAAGCAGAAGTAGTGAATTTGTAGCCAATCTAGAGAAACTAGCTTCGCAACAACAAAGATAACGCCTTCATTTTATTGCGATTTAAATCATGTTATCCTTTCTGGAATTTTTTCGAGGAAATAAGTCTTTAAGATTTACTAATTCTTAATTTTTAATTACAGATTTTTATTTTGTTTTTTATGTATTTTTGCCTTGTCGCGAAGTGAGAATTCAATTAATTGAATGAGAAATACTCAATCCTCTGTGAAAACTATTTCTTTTTTGTTTTGTTTGCTTAATTTCTTTTATACATCGTTTTAGCGTTAATATAGTATTTTAATAGAACATGTGGCAATGATTAGATAATTCTTTAAATGATACAAATTTTGTGCATTCTGAGTTATAATATTAACGAAATATAATACTGTTAAGTGAACCTAGCGCCAGAGTTTCGCTATGGTAAACCAATAGAGTGAATTTTAAAGAATGCATTTATTCTATTGTGGTTTATGCGCTGTCGGCGAAGAAGATTTAATTCAATCTAATAAATTTAAACGAAATGCAAGAAAAAATGCGTATAATTTAATATTCCGTACAAGGAAGTCATGTGGTGTACACATAAGATTTTTTTGCTTTGTATTAGCATTTATTTTGATTTGCATCATCATATTTATTTACTTATCTGGTACTTCCTGTTATGTGGACCAGATTCAGAAATGTATATATGTTTATATGATGAACGCATTCATGTATTTATGCACGTATATGTGTGTGTACACACACATACAAGTATGTATATACAAACAGACAAGCGTACTTACACAACATTTTTGAATCCGCTCCAGATAACACAAAAAAGTACAAATATCTTTAATTTGTATTTTTTACGTTGTACAGAGGATTTTCATACCCACAAGCTG